ATCACAGATGCGCCCTTTGCTACTTTACTTTCTTGTTTTCCTAACTAATATAAAAAGAAATACTCTTACCACACGTGTCATGATGGATCGGTGTAACACAATACATATATTCATATTATTTTAGGAAATAAATAATTTAAAAAATTGAAATGTTCTATCGAACCTTTCAGAACTTTCTAGGCTTAGTTTTCTATCAAGTTTAATTTAATCCCTAATCAAAAATCTAAAATAATATTCTATACTATCATCCATTCGGTTTTTTTTTTTTCGTCTGTATAGGTAGGCGTTTTATTCACAGCAATTCTGCCACTTGAGGCGCTCCCACCTAAGCCATTATTTTGCATTGGGCCCTTTGCCTTTCGGCCGAAGCAAATTCAAACTAATTAGCATAAAATTGAAAATGTTCTTGCATTTACCTTTCAGCGGAGGACCAACAGAAAAATGGAAGCGACCGGCGAATGAGCTGCGCGGATCAAGTGCAGTTAGATGAGAGACATGTTGCTTTCGGGAATAACCAAGCTAAATGGCTAAAGACAGATCCAGTTTTGCCACAGATCATATCGCATCCACATCGTCACATCCAGGCAGAAGAAGTTTGGGTAGCGAAGCGATCAACATAAAACAATTACGCCTACACTTGCTCGCTGCCTTTACTTTTCTTATTTTTTATTTTTTTTTTGGTTTTCTTCTCTTTTGCTGCATGTGGATGTCGATGATGATGATTATGTGCGGATGAGGAGGCTGTAGAGAAAATGGTGCGGCGGCGCTTTTGCAGTGCACGACCTTCCTTGGAATCCATTTGCTAGCCAACTACAGTACAGAGTAAAAAAAAACCTCTATCGAATTGTTTACCTCATTAAAAAAAGAGCGGAAATCGAATATATAAAAAAACATATACTACAATAGTAACTATAATGTACTTTAAATGGCACAGATAAAAGTGTTTACAGATTTTATTTGAGTAAATATCACAAGATTGTAAAAAGAAGCATAGCGTTTTTTATACGTTCATACCTATGTCTTAATTTATAAAGCAATACCAATTTCTTTACCATATTTCCAGTCCTTATTTATGAAATTTGTAACGAGACTGAAAGTAAAACCAGAATGTTTTGAAATTAGATTTTACATTTTTCAAAAGATAAATAGAATGGATACCAAATAAATTTTTGTTTTCATTTTTACTATAGATTATAGATACAGTTATTTGCGAAACAGATGTTAAAATTGTAAAAATAAAAACCAAACAGTAAATAAATTGTTATTAATAATTTAATTAATATTTAACAACTAAGGCGCTTTTCTCGCTGTGCAGTCTTCTTTGCGCTATATTAAGGCTTATTTTCAGTGCCCAAAACGGATTCCAGTCGGAAGCTGTAAAAGACTACTTCAGCCTTCTGCGGCAGGCTATGAAACACAGTATTCATTAACTTAGGGAGGCATTAATGCTGGGCCCAAACTGCCTTATGTAGCTCCATCTGCTGCTCGAAGACGACTTGGCTTGACTGGGTTTGGTTTGGTTTGCTTCGGTTTGGCTTGGCGCTCTATGGGTATAAATGCAACTTGAACGGTGCCTGGATACTCGGATACTTGGATGCTTGGATACTTGGATGCTGGGATACTGGGATACTGGATTCTCGATCGCCGAGACTCGCTGAAATGGCGTTGGTGGGGCTCGTGGGTTTGGCTATAAGTTCATTTTTTATGCTTTTTTCACGGTTCTCTCGGGATGTAATAATGCAGATATTAAACTCGGCGTTTAAAGGGGCTTCCTTATATCTGTGGCGAAACTGCTTGGTCGGAAAATCGCAGTATCATTTTCGTTGAGAGATTTTCACATCGAAGGAGATTGTCAATAGAAATCTAATGATCGTTGAGTTTGCCAAATAGCGCAAATTGGGTTCTTAATTTTTTTTAAATTTTTTTAAAATCAAATACACAAAGAAAACTTGATTTTGTATACATAGTTTTTGTATACATTTTTAAAATGTCTCCTTATTGTTAATTTTATGCAGACCTATATAGTATGAACAGTTAGCTAACAAGTTTTGAATTTAAACTGATAATCTTATAGTTTTGTATATAATTATTTTGAAAACAATTCGAAAAGCCCGCAGCCAAAAGAACTCCAATCACCTTAACTAATAGTTTGCGGTGAGTAAGGGAAAGGGTAGCATAATTTCAGAAGAAACTACTTAGTGAATGGTTTAGGTGGCTTCTGTGTGTCCACATATCGGTGGTCAGATGGAGCCCACATGCAAGCGCTCGGGACAATAACATCAATTTCCTGTTAATGTCCATATTGGGGATCGTGGCATACAAAGCAACAGCAAATTTAATTGAGCCCAATGCAAATTATGGTGAACAGAATTTTCCCACAGATTGCCAAAGGTTTTAACGATACTTTTTCACTGCCTCTTTTTGACGTAATGAGCCTTAAAGTCAAACGTAGACCTGACAGCTCCAATGGCTTAAACGTAGCACAGAAGCTGCAACTAACCACAAATCACAGGTAACTCCCGTATAGCATGGGCTCGGTTTTGGTTTTGGCTTTGGCCTCAACTCAACCTCTCTCTCCGTTTCGGTTCGGTTTTCGGATTCGGGTCCCTGGAGAGTTTGCGTTTTGGCTTTCTGGCTGGGAACTCCTAACTGGGAATATGGGAAGTCGACGCAACGCATAATCATTATCACTTAAATTGGGGGGCCCCCTAAATTGGTCGGCATACGATACAATATGCAATGCGATCCAAACCGATCCGATACGAAAGCCAAAGACGAAAACCCAACCCAACCCAACCGAAGACCAATTATGTGGGTAAAGCCAAAGTCAAAGTCGCTGCTAATACCAAAGCTAAAGCCAAAGACGAAGATGAAATTTCCCCCCCTGCTACTGCTACTTTTCTGAAAAAAAAAAAAAAATAAGCATATGCATATGAGGCTGGCTGATGGGATACGCCGGCACCTAAACAGTGGCCTCACTACCTCAGCTCCTGTCCGACCGTCGAAATCCCAATTCGAGTACCGTAACCGAACCCCCGAATTAAGGAAATGTTAAACTCTATGCGACCATCGCATCGCATCCATTGATTGGCCGACCAAGTTCCGAATCCATCATTACGCGCAGATTGCCAGTTAAGCGAACGGAGGCCATGCCCTTGGCATTGTCTAGGGAACCCCGTGGGGTATGCTCGAGATAATGCCATTTTAATGGTCAATCGACCTCTGAACCAGTTATCATACTTTTCCAAAACTGAAGCTTTGGGGAGGTGTCATTTGGGTGACCAAAACCAGGTAGTAGAGTCGAGTCCCGATAATTCGAAATGGCAAGGGGATCACTTTTTTTACGAATTAGACGGGAATTCGATTTATCGAGATTTTTTTCAAGGGAACAGAATTTTTTACGAATTATCGCGATTTTCGATTTAGCGGGGTACGAATTATCGGGATTCGACTGTAATTGTGCAAATAATTTGAAAAAGGCAGGCTCAACACGGACATATTTTAGGATGGGCAGTAAAAAATGTATTCCAATTACTTCACTTGTTTGATTTATTTTAAAAAAATTTCAAACTCGCCCATGTAATTTAACCAATTTATTGTTTTAAATATCAGAATTTTTGCGTAGCTCGTATCAATTTCAAATTGTGTACAGACATACAACAGCAATACAATAACATTAAATTAAAAAAAAAAAACAGTGATATATTTTCGTTTGCTTTGGCCATTATTTTCAATTCGCTGGCATTTTTTCCTTTCCACAATAAATGCATGCAAAAAACGTTATATTCGCGTGCTAAAAAAGTGTATGGTAGCTATTAATTAACGGTTATATGCATATCAAAAAGCTTTTTTACTTCCGTTCATACAGTTTAAGTTCATGTTAAAATCGTATTTTTAATATTTTGCAAGGGTTCCTTCAATCAATTCTCGGAACTTAATCTGAAGATAATGATTCGAGGAGTTAGCTTTCAAACGCATATTTTGTTTAAACTAGCTGAAGCCCAAAAATATATTAAGTTTTTTAGAAATATTTGTTTCCTAACATACTTTTTGTTTGGTTTGTGAAACCGATATTATTTTAAGCTGACGTCTCAGCAGTTTACTCTAGATGGCGCTGGAGTAGTTCAACAACTTACTGATATGTGGCGCTATTCACTGTTTAAATCTTCCGCTTGTTGTCGCTCTTTTGTTCTACCACTTTTATACACTGTTACGTGTTTTACTTTAGGGTTGCCACAAAATTTGTTTTTGGGATTAACTCATTAACTTTCATAAATATTAATCAATAAAAAATAAATTTATTAAAACTTGGTTCTTAAGATACTTATTTTTTTGTAATCATTATTCTGAATCTATCCACCTGGCAACGACTTAAGCCGTGATGAAAATGAAGAAGAAATTTTACAAGCTACACAAGAAGAAAACACTAAAATTTGATTGGCTATTTTTTTATTTTATGAGAACTGTTTGTGAATAATGGAATGCTTATATGTACAACATATTCGTTAAGTTTAGGCACTTTAATTTGTATATAGATTTTACCACAATCTTAATGAAATCTATATTGCATGAGATTCATTGTACTTAATTTATCCATGTTCCAAGTGATATGGAAAATGTAAAACATTATGTTTGATATTTGAAGTATATCTTGAAAATAATTTTTGTTTTTACCAGTGTAAGTTCTCCCAAATCTGAGCTCAAGCTCGAAACCCGCTATTCTGACAGAGCTATATATATCTGTACATAAAGCTCTCGGCGCTTGCTCTCTCCTCACCGGGAGTCGGCTGCCAAGTCGTTCGGATTGAGTCCGTTAACGTTCAGTGCGCTCTATTCCTGTTTCTTTCGCACTTACTTAAAAAACACCCTTTCACTCGCACTCATTGTAATGGTAAATAATGGACTGATGGACCGACGAGACAACTACCCTACACTATTCGGGAGCACGTTTTTGCCGCTTGATGTTCGACTTTTGGTTTCGTGTTGTTTATTTCCAAGCTGAGCGAGCGGTACTCAAATCTCAAAACCGCTTTGAACTCTGTAGCGAGCGGACGTGTGTGTTTTTTTTTTCGGTTTTCTGGTTGGTTTTCCGTTTTGCTATCCGCCGGAGAAGTACTTGTTGTTAAGTGCGCGTCGTTATACCGCCGCTATTGTTCACGTTTGTTTAGGTAATTGTCGTAAAATAAAGTCAAACGCAAACACAATCGCACACCGAGTACGGATTGTATCTGTGTGCCTGTTGTGACTGCCTTTTGCATATGTGTTATATATATCTTTTTTTTTATTATTATATTACCCAACTTGGCAAAAAAAAAAAAAAAAAAAAAAAGAAGAGGAAAAGAAACATATTCGACTGTTTTGTGAACGCTTTACTCTTGGCTTTGTAACCAATGTGTATGACGACGAAACAACACGGCGAAATTAATAATACTTACTCGAAAAACAGTGGTGGATTCGGTTGGTGGAGGGGTTTTTGGGGATCTCAACCACCGATTGTTTACAGTGGTTGTGTGAGTAAGCGAACGTTAGTGCGAGTGTATGTATCTTGTATCTGTATGATTTTGTATCTTTTTCTTATATTTTTCCTTTTTTTTTTTTTATTTGTTTGTTTTTGTATCTGTGAGTGCGGTGGGTTAGGCCAAGAGGTTCGTGAAAACGTTGGGGGTTTTCTTGGAGGCCAACAAGACCAACTGGGATGTTCTTATTGGCATCTGTCAGTTTGCCGTGCGGTGAATGAACTCTCGAACTCTCCAACTCACACTTTTGCCGCTGCGTTTGCCGCTGCCAAACCAACGGAAAAAAAGAGGCGCATTAAGCATTAAACAACAACAGCAACAAAAACGGAAAAATATAAAAGAAAAGCCCAAGCAAGCACAACCCAAACCACAAAATGGTGGCAGAGACACACAATTACTGCTTATTTTTGAAATATTAACCCAACTGTGCGCAACGGCAATAGCAACAGCAATATAACCATAACAATGACGAAAGCAAAAACCTAAAAAACAGAAAAAAAAAAAAAAAAAAACAAAAAACGGCCTAGGTCCAATCAGAAAAAGCCAACGAGAATAGGAGCCAGAGGCTGCAATTTAATGTCTTCCACAGTTGCCTTCATTATGGATTTTTCCAATCGGACATTGATTCATCTTATGAGAAAATCTAGTCGGAACTCTATGCGGAATTAGGGATGCAGTTGCATCCCCATTTTTCGTGGTGGTAAGCGGGAAATTTATGCTATATCGATTGACCGCTGCTCAGTGCTGTGTACACTGAAAAAATTCTAAAAGAATTCTATTGAATACAAAAAATAATTTTCTGGTAAAGAAGCAAGTTATATTTTAATAAATTTCTATATTTCCTCTAAATCATTTTTTATTTAATTATATTATAGAATTATTTTACATTTATCCTTTTCACTGAGGTGTTTTTTTTTTTTTTTTGAGTGTGGAATTCTGCGAAATTTTCTTTTACTTTGTTTAAGGGGTTATTTCCCATTACTGAATATTTGTATTGTGTGTGTGAGTTCGTTTTATTGGCTCTGTTGCAACGATACCCCCGTCAATAAATAAAATATCGATTCAATGTTAGTATATTTGTTTTGCTTTCAATTCAGTTCAAGTTCAGTTTAGAGTATTAATTGTATAATTCTTAGTAGTTTTGTTCTATATTCCGAACGAAATTAGCATATTGCATTTTGCATAAACGAGCAAAAACGACTTGAATTACCCTTGCCGCCTTCACACACACACACACAAGCACAAACGACGACAAACGAACGAGAACGTTTAGAAAAGTTCACGTAGTCACCGCACCGCAATTCCCATATGAAATTGTACAATTTTCGTACAGATAATTCTGACTGGGAAGGTCCAACTGGGGTCTCTCCCCCAACCCCTTCTCCCCCTCTTCCGCTCTGATTAGAATTCAAATTATTTATGAGTACTGAAGCGAGTTCTCGTTTGTATGTGTATATTTATGTGTGTATTTGTGTTTGGTTAGATAATGTTGACTATCTTATCAGAGGGCTTAATCTTTTGCAAGCTGGAAGCGAAAAAAAAAAACTGCGATCGAGTTGGGAGCAGCTGTTCGTGGAAACGTACTAACAGGCTTACTTCACCGAAACAAAAAAAAATAAAATACATAAAAAAAAAACATCGATCGAATATGCATTTAGTAAGCTTCTCAGCCTTCGGGCATTACTCACAGCTACAGTTCAGTTTGTTCGCCGTACGTATCTTTTCTTGCCAACATGCGAAGTTTGGCAAGACGATGACGAGGCCCTTGCCTCAGCAAAAGCAAAAAAAAAAAAGAGACAAATAAAAAGAACAAGGTACGAGTGCACCGACCATAGGATATCCTCTACCTACCGTATTAAAAAAAAAAGAACCTTTAAAACGCGACTCTAACCAAATAGAGTCGAAATTGCATTACTTTTTTTTATAACCCAGTGCGTAAGAATTTCTGAAACACCGCTGTGCATACTAATTAACTTCAACTGGCCACTGGTTCGCTTTTATAACCCTTTTCGAGGGCATTATAATTAGTTTTTGCTTTTTTTTTATTACCAAAAGACCAAAAGCCAACTGCGTGTTTGCTACCATTTCTGTGGGCTTCTTTTTGTAGCTATTGTAGCTACGCATTCGGCTTCAGTTGTTTTTTAGAGTGTGGTGTTGCTCAAGTTACCGATGATGGAGCAACCCTTTTTCAGGCCCTATTAGACGACGCCGACTTCTGCGGTCGATCTGCGTCGCAGTATTCAAATTCAAATAATCGCAGCTGCTGCTGTGCGCAGATTGAAATCAATTGTAAAACCAAATGCCCCCGCATTTAGCAGCAGTCGGCGGCACTACACATCAGATGTCACGGAATCGCAACTGAGTTAACCAGTTTCTCTGCCAATTACCGAACACGACTCCGTCGCACACACCAGTATTTGACACGGGGTGGCTCTGGCTGGCAATCGTTAGTGGGTTAGTAGATAAAATGCTTATTCGGGCCAACAAACCGCAGTGTCGCGAATTTGATACTAGGGAAAAGGTACACACACAAAAGTAGGTTGCCAATGCAAAAAGTTATGATTTTCCAAAGAGGAAACGTGCATATAAAATAACATTTCGCAATAAAAAATCAACAGACACCTTATGAATTGAATTACAAACAGCAAACTACTTTTTTTTGGCATTGTTAAAAATATTATCATATTAAACCATTTAGGTTTTAGCAAGATATAAATAAGAGTTGCTCCAACTAAAATCCTTCAATCAATATTGCACATTACCTTGTAAAAATTGCAGATAACACACTAGTATTTATACAGTGTTCTGTGTATTGATTTTTTGGTATTGGGATTCACTCATGACAATAACCAATAACCAACTATCGTGAAAACCTAGGCAGAATTGGCTCGAATGAGCTTCTCGTGTATTTTTACTCTTCGATTGCCGGATACAAAAAGCCTAGTCAAGTGCCATTGTGGCATTTTGACCTTTTTTTTTTTTCCTTGTTTTGGACGAGTGGCGGAGGGGGCCTTAATTAAATGATCAACTCAAGTGAAATTCCCGAGACGTAGATATCTGACTTGCATATGTATGTATGTATGTATGTATGTACACACAGTGGGCCACTCGATCGTAGTTCCAATTCGAATGTATATGTGTATGTGTATGTGTGTCTGCCTTTTATTGAGGTCGATTGTTCATTTATCGTCAATGTCAGTCATCAGGTGGCCTGCGTGCATGTTTTGTTGTTTTTACACATTCCCTCGCGATTTGTTTACGTTTACAGCGCTCATTACAGAGCATCCAGCCAAATCAGAGATCCCACTAGGTCGTTTTCCATTCGTTTTCCATTGGGCCTTCCCCTCGGGATTTCCCAATCGCACAGTATTCCAGGCTATTTCAATTTCATTCCCGATTTCCAGCAGCTGGAGTGGTTCGTTTTTCCCAATTAAGGCATTTGCCAGAATCTGCAAGGCGGCGTTCCATTGAATTTTGACTTTTGCGGGGGAAAAACATTGCCGATAAATTTCCAAATATTTCAAATTTTCAGGGCATATGTTTTTATTAATTATGGAGTTTCGACTAGGGAACAACAAGGTCGATTTATGGAGTATACATCTTGTCAACCGGAGTACTTTTAAAAGTTCTGTTCTGTTACAGAAATTCCATTTATTTGGCCAAATGTTAATACAATTTAAAAGGAATGTTTATAACAGTGGTTTCATTTAAAATTAGGTAATTCGAAGTGTTCGCCATTAAAAATATTACAAAGAGTTGTGGAATGCTATAAACCACAGAGCAAGTGTTGCACTTTTTGTTTTGGTTTAATCGTATAAACATCTTGATACAACAAATAAAGTTCCTTGACTTTTGCAAAGAATGTGTTATTATTTATAAACAAAAAGAATAATGTTTGCCAGGATTTTCGGAATTTTTCTTTAATGCTTTTTGATTTAACGTATAACATCTGAATTGTATTTGCAGATTTTCTTGTGCGGACGCCAGACAACATTATCGATGGTGGGCGTAGAGACGTCATCGGCTTCCAACTCTCTTCCACTCCAAGCCCTCTCGTTCTCCCCCTCACCAATCCCCCCCAACTACAGCTGCAAAAGATGTCTGAGACCATTGCAAGCGAAGAAGGAATCCGTCCTGTAAGCGAATCCAAGCCACAAGAAGTCGATAATACGCTTGATCCACAGGATCCGCAGAAAACAGCCAAGGAAATTGAGCAGGAGAACTTCGAAACCTACATCACTGCCCCTCTGAAAATCGTCGAACCCTTCGAGAAGTTTGAAGAAAAGGAAAAGGAGGAGGCTGATAAGGAGAAGGATAGCCCAGCCGAATCGGAGAGTCCCATAACCGAGATCGAGGTCATCAGTGCCAAGGCAAAAAAGTCGGTTAGCTTCAATCCGAATGACGAGCAGATCCGAAAGTTCACTTCAGGTGAACCGATTGTGGACCAAAAGAATCCGTTTCGCAATGGCAATGTAGTAACATCCCGGGATAAAAAGACACCGCCACCAGTTCCTACCAAGCGTTCGACCCTAAGTGTTCGGAAAACGGTGACCCAACAGCTGAGGGAACGGGAAAGGGAGAAGGAAAAGGAGCGGGAACAGCAGAAAAACGAGTCCAATACCCGCAAAACTAAGGCCAGTCGATCCCAGTCGCAGGCCGATGAGTATGTGACCACCGAGGAGGTGCTCAAGCAGTCCAAGTATGTGAAAACGTACATCAAGAACCCGGATGCCTACTTCGTTTACGATCCCACGGTTCTGGCACGTCTCAAATTCGAAGAGCTCCAGGAAACGACGGGCAAGCAGCTGCCCAAGCGAAAGCAAACTCCCAACTCCCAATTGAGGGCGGGCAAGCAGGCGCGCACTCAAAATCAGAGCCAAAACAAACAGGAGATAAAAAAGCCGGCGGTCACTTTTAAGAAGTGCTCGAAGCCCAACTACCCGGAGTTGGCCAACTTGAAAATCCGCACCGGCACCACCAATTCCGATCCCGAAAGCAGTGCCTTATTCAATCCCGCTGAGGTGACCAAGAATGCCCGAAAGTTCGACGAGCGGGTGAAGAAGCTACAGATCACATCGGACGATGACCTCGACGACATCGATGGACCGCTGACAAAGAGTGAGTCGAGTGACGAACTGGCGACAAGCTCATCGGTGCCGCCGAGTCCCGCGAAGCCGATCGCTATGAGTGGAAACGAGGATGTGGAGTCGTCCCAGCCGGGCACCTTTACCAACACCATCAGCTCGGATGAATTTCAGGCCTATCTGGATCGCAAGGGCCTGGCTCTGATGCCCAGAAGGGAGTTATTTTCGCCGACGCCCTCGCTACCCAGAACCTCGCCGCAGGGACAAACGGCCGAGGAGCGGCGCCAACAGGTCGCCGAATCCCTGGCCGCACTTCGCAAGAGCAACACAAAGAAGCTATCGGTATTGCAACGGCTGTCGAACAGCCTCTTTCCGGCCCGGCGAAAAACCACACCCAAGCTGGAAGCCCCTCTGCCACGCAATGTCTATCAATCGGACTCGGATAAGGAGGATTATCGCCGCAAGCCAGATGTCCCCTCCGAGATCCGTCGCATTCTGCTCGAACGTCAAAGTTCAAACGGTCAGCAACTGAAGCAAACGATGCCCATGGAGTCTACCACCCAGAAAATCGAGGAGATCCCTTTACGGAGATCAACGCTCGAACGACCGGGTCTCAGTCCCAGACGCCAATGGCCAGGAACGCAGATGGGACGCATTAATCGTTCCACTTCCGTCGATCGTAGCCAATTCGGTGGTGAACAACCGATCCTTGAACGACCCGTGGCCTCCTCGACACCTGTCCGAGGTCAAAATCAGTGGGACCAATTGCGGGCCATCAAGGAGGTGACCGATCGCCAGCTCTATCACAAGCTCCATCAGCAACAGCAATTGCAGGGACAAACCCTCCAGCATAATGTGAAACAGCGACCGAATGAGGATATCTACTCCCAGGTGGTTGTTCAGCCCGATCAGGCTAACTTCGTGCGAGGTTCGCTGCAACGAAACACCTTCTCCGGAATCAGTGGTCGCAATCGCCAGTTGACCGTATACAATGGGACACCTTTAAGGCAAATGCAACAACCGCCGCGATGTCAAAGCGTATTGGACAATATTGTACCGAATGGTGGGGGAAATCTGGGACAGCATCCGGAAAGTCAAACGCCGGTGGTAATGCGACACAAGCCGGATCAAGGGCAACAGCAGGCGGCCAGTCGTCGAATCGGTGGACTTCTCACACGCGAGGAGATTCTCGAAAAAGTCAAGGAGTTTTGTCGAAAGAGCAGTTCCCGAACACCAGACATCAAAACGCCGATGCAGGCCATCTACAAGAGACATCTAACACCGCCAAATGCAGATGTCTCACCCGTTTCGTATGCTTCCGTGGATGATCAGTGGTAATTAAGGGGTTATATGTAACCTATATTATGCTATTCGAGATCTACCACATCCAAGATCAAAATGATAATATAGTTTATTGGTTTTACAGTGCTCGACCTCAAGTACCACAGCGTGTCCAGAGTTTACCCGTTGCCCAGGGACGTTATGTTGCCGGGGGAATGCCAGTCGAAGGACCCTCGCCAATCTACGCCCATGTTAGCAAACGAAATAGTCTGCTCTCCAATGTCTCCGAACAGTATTTGTCCAATCAGCAGCTCGGCACTCTGCCAAGGACCGTGCCCCTCAATCAACTGGTGTTGGTGGACACGGGTGAGGGTGTTCAGGTGGCCCAGCTTGTGGACTACCTACCCTACGTTCGTCCAGCTCCGAACCATGGCTATGCCATGCAAGATGGCCGGGCCACGCCGCTCATCCTGGACCATTCGGCTCAGCAAACAAGCCAAATCTACTGGACGCCACAGCATCGTCAGCGGATTGCTCATCCAGTGCCGGCACCTCGTTTTATGAAGGGAGTGCCGACATCGAGGAATAGTACGATAAGTCGAAATATGGAGGCTAGGAATGGAAATGCCTCAGATTGGGAACTCAGCTCTGAGGCAGGTGAAGTGCGGCGGATCATGAAAATGCAATTATAAGGTGAGATAACCTGACCCCATTATTCACTAGGCACAACGCACGAATGATACGATGATTGAGCCGTTATTCTCAAGTTTAAAACCAAATTGATGTACATTTTTGCTTTTTAAGCTTTGCGGGTGGTTAAATAAGTTCCTTTATTTAAGTTGAAATATTTGAAGTACAACGATATCTGGTAATAAGAAGTATGTATTTATCAAAGTACCGTTAGTCAAGTAATTTAGTGGAGCAACGAACCAAGGTATATGTCCACAATAAGCTCCATCTTTTGGTATTTTAATCGATATCAATTTGGATACACTGACAGTTCCATCGAAGTCTTCCCACCTCTAGAGCACACAAAGGTTGGAATTTATTTATTTACTACTGGAGATAGCTGTTGCGCTAGTGTTTATTGAAACTATCTGCCATCTACGTTAGATGTCACAAATAGCTCCAGATCGAGGTGTGTAGTGTTTTTAAAGTTAACCCCTATTTCAATTTCACAATAACGAACCAATTGGAGCTAACCCACACAAATGCATTTAAAATACGTACTTAGCAATAGTTTTTTGTGTTTTGAACTGCATTGCGACGAGACATTCTGCATACATTCATGTACGGCTTTCAAGGTCGGAGTTGTAATATGCCTAATCACCCTACACTAAAATTGGAGCCTTGCAATCCCTCCCGAAATTTCCGTTAATGACGTATTTATTTCTATCACGCTCACACCTTCGGAAAAGTGCGCATGTGAGAAGTCTATTGCTTTCTCGCTTGTTCTTACGCGGCTGCAGAATTTTCTTCTCTAGGTCAGTGTCAAAATCAAGGAAAATCTTTGCTAGTCCCCGCTTATATTTTACCTTACGCACTCTTTAATGTCTGACCTATTTTTAGATAATTTTCCATATCTCATTTGAATGTACAAGAGCCCATTTTTAGGTAATGATAACATAAAACAATATTTTTATTGTGCATATTCTCATTATTTTAAACCAACAAGGGGCCTGTTGTGTGTATGCCTCTTAAAAGTATATTATAGACATGACCTGCTACTTTAGTATATTGATAGCCGAGCCCCGGGTAACCAGCGCACATTGGGGTAATGTAGGCCAAACTGGCAGACTAAATCATTAAACACAAAGAACTTTTTGAAAACTTTGTTGCTCAGATAATAAGCTAAACGGTTCCGTATTTAAAGCCTTTTGTTAATTTTGCTTTAATAAATTGCTTTCAAAAATTAAATTAATACTTTAATATCCCATTTTACAAGTACAATTTTACACTGTTTCACATGATTTCACAAAAAGACAAAGCCTGAAGGTCCGAAGTATGTATTTCTTTCAATTTTATATAGTATAGCTAAACCACAAAGAAGTCTTGGTTACCCAGTTATATACTCTATGCTTCAGTCGAAAACAGTAAAAGGAAATAATCAAATGCAAGTCATTTTATTTTTGTTTTCAAGTTAAATGCATAGAGGATAGTTTCTGCTTTTAGGTCTTAATTATTTGAGGAACCCAAAAGTTCTTGGAAATTATTTATAATTTATTAACCTTATTTTCAGACGATAGTTCAGAGATGGAGACGGAGGGCAGCAGGTGCGAAGATATTGGGCCAACGAAGACCAGGTCGAATTTAAGCGAGGAGTCTCTGGGGAGCAGCACCTCATCATCAGTACTTAACTCGTGGACCATTTTGCCAAAGGAGAAGGATAATGAGCTGGAGAAGACCGAGGAGTTAGCGGATTCAAGGCCGGCCAGTCAAGTGGAGAAGCAGAAAAACGAGAGGTTAAGTTATTTCTAGTTTTAAATGTTAACATAAACTCATCATCGATTATTTTTGTCCAACAGATGCAATAGGCCTGCGGCCGAGGATCCCCAAGCGGATGATATTTCCGATGGAATTTCGATAATCAGCGATTGCGAGAGCACCGATCGCATCTCGCCAAATCTTTTTCTGCGCGAACCCCTTGTCGATTTAGGTTTCGGCGAATTGCCAACGAGTCCAATAGAACTAATTGCACCCACTGGCAGTGGACAGCAATTAAACGAATATCCTGAAAGGGAACAGGTCGATTCTGCCAATATTGTTCGATCCAAGTTTGAATTGCAGCTGCCGCCTTTGGTGCAAAATGGCTTAACTGCTTTCTTTTATGTGGCTGCCACATTGGCTATTTTGGCTTTTGTGGGCAAACTACGTCATCCCGAATGGCAGGTCCTGGGCGAGGATAAACCATTGGTCGAACTCGAACGCCGAGTGGGTGAACTGGAGCTGCAAAACAACCTGTTGCGTGCCGAGATCGATATAATGTCGAAGAAGCTGCAATATCTGGGATCTGGGATTCAGGATTCAGCACAACAACAACGACAGGCGGCTCGTTCGAAAGGCGGCAAGACATTTAAGGCCTGGCCAGGCAATGGCGACTCTGTAAGTCCCGTAGATATTACCAAAGAGGATCTAAAGCAGCCCTTCCAATGTCCCGACGGCCAGTTCGTTGAGATTGCTGGCATGTGTTTGGAGAACAGGCAGCATATCGAATCACTAACCGATGAGATTGGCGATGCGGTTAACGATGTTCTAAAGCAATCCGGAGCCTTTCACAAGTTTGAAAAGGTCACCGAGAAGCTGGGCAACTTTGCCGGCGAGGATGAGGATGAGAAACCGTCGAAAAGTAGTAGGCCAGATGCCGCCACTTCCCATGGCCAGCAAAAGCTGGCGAATGGTTCGAAAGAGCGCTATAGGCCGAAATACAAGCAGGATAACTCGTACGAGCGAAAGCCGAAGAGCTCCAAGGAGCAGGATTACAGTCGAAGGAGTCGGCAGGATGATCACTCCAAGGAGCAGGCCAAACGAAAGTACCACGATCAGTCCGGTCGAGGACGCTACAATAATAAGCACTCCAAGAAGTCCAACGAGCACTCCCATGAAAACAGCAAGGAAGGCGATCATCATCAGAATAACGACGACGACAGTGGCAGCGGTGAGTGGCACGAGCGAATGATGCAACATCGGGAGAACGCTCGTCACAAAAACGCCCAGAAGCGAAATAAAAACAATTGGTTCATTCAACGGGGCGATAGTCGCGAGCAAAAACGTTCCGACAACCTGGAAATTTATTCATAAAGAACGAAAGGGATTTCGAGTTTTTGCCCAAGGTCAAGGATATATACCTATATATATATTTTAATCCCAAAAGTATACTTAAGGACGACGTGTGCTAAAAAGCGCGCACACCGAATTGCGCTGGTTCCTAACTGGTTATAACTATATATATGTTTCTGCAGGATGTTTTGAGGAGAGAATGGTTTTGAAAAACACACTGCTGGAAAACAAGGAGCTTAACACGCATCAATCGACGATGCAAGTGCTTAATATTTATTTATTTTTTATCTACGAATACAGTTTTTGGCTGCTTAAAGGGCAGCATTATCCTTGTATCCCTTGATTTTGCATTGTATGTACAGACAAAGTTTGAATAGTCAGTGTTAATTGCTAGTGTATCGCATTTTTAATGGAAACATCTCATACATATCGCACACATTTAACTTAAGTGGCCACAAAGTAAATATCCTGTTCATCTTTGCGATATTTCTTTTGAAGCAATGCTGCATCTGAAGTTAAATGTGGGCGATCTTTTTGTATATTATTGGTTCCTTCCACTTAAGGGTGTGATCCTTCTACTAAGTTCCAGCTCAACCTAAGAGACAGACCGACCCAGGTGCGGTTTCACTTGGCGCAGTCCGTCAATAAAGCAAATGCAATTTCCTTTCAACGAGTACATCCAATGATCCTTTTGAAACCGTAGATTTTCGCTAAAAATTATGTATTGATACATACATATATATATTTGTGATACCTATACTAATACTTTTTTTTAGTCTAGACAAATAAATTATTGTACCATATTAGGTATTCCTGGAAAGCCAATTCAAAAAGCAAAAAGAAAAAAAAAAACATGGAAAAAATTAAATTGAAAGGAACAGAAATCAATATTTTTGTATGCATGTTCGTTCAAAATCTAAGCGTATACCTATATATGTATAAATAAATGTATAAATGTGTACCCAACATGTTTTGCGATAAAATAAATAAAATATCCTTAAAATCCATTGTTTGTTTATTTGCGGACTTCAAATTCTTAGGTTTTGCAGTACGTATAAATGTTTCTAACACAAAAACAGCTGATTTCTTTCTGGGATCATAAACAGATGATAAGCTCTTACATTTAGCCGTTTTTGGGGCACCAAAACAGAATATCCACAGATTTCTGTGTTACGTCAAAAGCGCAAAAAAAAAAATTTACCCATAATTTTTTTTTTAAGCAAAACCGAAAATCTGTTAGCGTGACCTTTGACATTTCATGCGAACGAGGTCCACTCTAATGTACACATTATTTTTGTGTGTACGCATATGTAAACGTGCTTATGCACTTTCATTTCTTGCCCCAGTTTTCGGAGCCAGGGGGCGGACTAGTGACGAAGGCTGAAGAGAGACTTTCGGTCGGCTGACGACGTGGTGGGCGGCGCGGGGATCTGTACTAAAAGTGTGCCACGGAAGGACTTGCACTCAGCGCGCAAGCCCTTTCTAGGCTCAATTTTACTACGAGCACAACCGACACACATCCACCCACAAACTCCTGCATTCGCACAGTCACGCGCCACATTATTCAGAGCATTCGAAAGATACAAAAACAAGAGGTGAGTCTAATTTGGAGAAGCCGAATCTCATATATCCTTGCATATCTTGGAACAATATGTAAACGTCTGTAAAAATAATAGCGCAACAATAGCGCTTACAGTGTAAATCGAACTTATTATCAAAAAAACAAACAAAAACTTGTTAAAATCGATTTGATATCGTTCTTATCTGAACAACTCAAAGATAAAAACGTTAGTGTGGACCATTTATATCTACCTTGTTTGTACATTTTTCTGTAGAAATAACATCAATAAGATAATTAACCACCTAGGTTATATTTGTTAGTTATACATCAACTAGAAAAGCGATTTTCTGATAATCTCAAAGTGACATCCTTTGAGAGAAAGAATCGGTTTACGCAGAATTTGATTTACCCAGATGGTTAAAGGTCAAAGGTGCAATTTTTAGGTCAAATCATGGTACTCTTTGAAAGGGTAAAAATGTGTCGAGAGAAAATCACCCACAATACGAAAAGTGAGAGATGGAAAGAGGGTAAACCGTAAAAGCAGGAGAAAGAGAGAGAGTGAAAAAGAGAGTAACCGTGTTTAGAACACTTAGCTTCGTGAGTGATTCGTGCGTAGTGCCGAATGTGTTTTTTTTTTGCGGGGGTGATGGTAGTGGTAATGGTGCCGAAGTGTGCCTGTGCACTTGCTTTGTTGTTGGTTCACTGGGGCTCGTTCGCGCGTCAATAAAGTCTCAGTTACTAAACCGATTTCAAGAACCACGGACGCTCCACTCGGCCCTTGCTGGTGGCGTGTGCTACAATTAAGTAACGGGCAGAGACATTTCACAAAAATAAAAAACCAAATAAAACCAAACAACCCAAAACGAAATCAACAATGAGAAACCACAAAATCCCCAACAAATCTATTACAAACAAGAAATGAATAAATAGACAGACATCCGAGCACATACATATACCCACACAAAAGTCAAAACGAAAAAAAAAAAAAAAACAATAGCATACCAGTTGGAACAATTGGGGCTATTTTATAACTCGCCAAACCCTTCGTTCAAATACAACGACGACCAGGAGACAACTAAAAAAACAAAGCCAGAATATCGGGCATCGGCAAATCGCACCGGTATTTTTTACAAAAATATTTCAATTACATTTTTTTACATATTAAAAAAAAATGAAAAATAACGCAATAGTTCTGTGATTGTGCTGTGCAAAAATTGAGAATGCTGAGAACTAGATTCCCCACTACACATACACACAAATAGTACACCTCTCCAGCCCCTACAAAAAATACAATAACAATAATTGAGATAGAGCAAAAACAGAACAAAAAAAATAATAATAGAAAGGAGATGGAGCATCTGTTCTCTCACTTTCGCTCGGCTGTTTTCATATCGTTTTGTTTTGTTGTCGTTATTGCGCTCAGTAGAGCACTGGGTTTTGAGCTCCGAAAGGGACAGCTGTTCGTCACAAATATTGGGTAGAGCCCGACTCCCGGGAACGGGCACACTGAAAGCCACTGCAGCAGGTTCGGCGCCAAAATACTGTACGACTTTATTACTTTCACAACTTAAACCAAAAAAAGAAAAAAGGAAGAAAAGTACAAATTTGATTTTTTTTTTTTTTTAAACCTTAATATAAACTTAAATATGTATTAAGTAAAGTATTTTGGCGGCAAGGTAACGAACAATTTAACTTTTTATCTCGCCCTATTGCTCTCCCGACAATTTGTTGCCATAATTCGTGCTTATAAGCTAGATCTGACAGCTGATGGCTGCGGAAGCGACCCCCACATACAGTCTGTCCTGCCTAACACACACCTGCAAGTCATTTTAATTGTTAACATGGTTTAAAAGGAACTTTCATATTCCGGAGCTGTTTTCTATCATATTAGTTTATTCAAAATATGAAAAAGTGTTTCACTCATATATATTTTGTAGGTATCTAAATTCGCCAAGTGTTGGCCATGTTGCGTTTTAATAAAAGTGCTTAAGGGTAGACAAACACAAATTTCAATTGATTGTGCAGCTGCAGAACCAGCCTGTCTCTTCTAAGTTCGTCCCACTGTATTTCCCACACAAACTTATACAGTTGTTGCACAACAAAAATTCAAATGTTATAATAGAGCATGTGCAAATTCATTTGCGTAAGATTTTGAGGCAGCATCGATGATTCGATAGCGATTGTTGCAAGTTGCAGGCGAAACCTGCAAAAAAAAACAAGAGAATATTGTGGCCACCGACTGCAGCTGTTTTTGCATTTCTGCCAGAATTAAAAAAAAAAAAAAAAAAAAAACAACATTTCGACCAAACCCAAAAACCCAAAATACGAACCCCGGCCAGACGATATATTGAGTCAGACCATCATTTGGCATTTTGTCGCGGGGTTCGTCGCAAGCTTATTTTGTATCTATGTACGTTCATACATACAGAAAGAAAAAAATGTATATTGCGCTCTGTACACATTCGAGTGTGTATAGACATTCCGGCATGACAGTGTATTTGTTATTTCAATTTTCGTGTGTGCTCAGATAAACGAACGAGAATCATGTGCCTACATTTTTATTTTCCTTTTTTTTCCCCTGACGTTGTGAAGTAAAATGTTTAACATCTTTGCCATTGTGTCGAAATGTGAACAGCTGATTTTGTTTTTGTGGCTCAGACGTTGCTTTATGCTGCTGATGTTATGTCGTAACTCATAAAGTATTCAAGTGAAATGTATATATTTTGGCAAAGTGCAGAGCACAGGTAAAAATAAATAATAATAATACGAGGAAGCGAGGGAAATGCCAATAGTTCACGCGCACGAAAACATTCACTGTTTCGGTCAGCTGTTTTGTGTTGTCTTGAGCTCACAGGGTCTCTCTTTTACTTTTTTTTTTTTTTTTTTTTGTCCCCCTCTGGGTGTCTCGTCGTCTCTTCTCTATTGAAAATACCCCTGCGCCACTTGGGGAAAAATTAGAGCAACGCCTGCTACAACGCTCGATAATCTGCGGGAAATGCTGCAAGCAATAACTAAAAATAATTTGTGATGATCTTGTAAATTGAAGTACTGCACAATGTGAATATCTACAAGTTTGAAATGCACATAAGGACGTCGTGTGAGTGTGATTTTACCACCAAATGCTGCAAGGAGAAACCCCAAAGCGTTATGCAATGTACTGACAAATCGCAGAGCTTTTTCGTTGTTGTCAATTTAAATATGGTCTAGTGCGCCCAAATCATTAGGATCTTTAAATATTAGGACGAGAGCGGGTTTTATGTAATGACTTCGTTCTCATTTCATTCGCCAATTTCGATAACTGTGTGCTTTGATTGCTGTTTACGAAACGTAGACAATTTCACTTCAATTTGGCACTTCCGCTCACAGAAACGCAGTGGCAGTGAATTAGAAAAGTGGATTACACTTTGGTATGCAAAAGATGAATGCAATTCGAATAAGAAACGAAAAATAAAATAAAAACAAACAAGCAAAATAAGTTGAGACACGACATGTCGGTAAATACAGCTGTTAGTTAAATAAAAACAGTTTTCTTAAACTTCGATTTTTTTGTTTTTTTTTTTTTTTTTTTGCCTTATATATTTATATGTTTAATTATTTGTTCAATAACATATAATTATGTAATATTTTCATATTTTTAAGAATTATTAAAACCACCTGTACAGGTTAAAAGACGACAGATTTTGATTACCCTTTGAGTTCATTAGAACATAAGGTCCGCACTAAACTTAAATATTCAGCTGCATGAACATTTGTGTAATCTCCTCTAATTATCTTCAAACAAACGAGGAAATGTCAGCTTGCAAATAGTCGTACCTTAAATACCCTTACCTCATTATAGTGGCTCGCAAATTGACAGCTTAACTTAATTGATTTCAATTTGGCTAATTGGAAGACAAAAGCATTGTGCCAAGCGAATCCGATGAAAGCTACATGCACACAGAATAATTTCCCATTTTAAATTTAAAATGAAATACTACCTTAAGGGAAAAACTTTCAAGAAACTTGCGATTAAGTTATTCATTAGATTTTAAATGTTTTTCACACTTTTGGAAATCTAATCGTTAAAATACTGTAGCGTAAGTTTCAGACTTTTCCTAGTCATTGAAGCTTTCAAAAATCTTGGCTTAGTGCTTCAGCACTATGCTCTTTATGCAAATGCAACTTTAATGCAGAGTTATGTAAGTATTTGCATTAATCTATTTACTCTGCACTGCGCGTGTGTGCGCTGGCCAAGTGAACTTGAAAAGCCCTATTTTCACTTTTATGCCAGTAGTACATAAGACACAAGAAACTACGTCTTTAAGCGAACCAGACACAAATCTGTAGTTGTTCGCAATGGAAATTGGGGGGGAGACTCCCCGAATTTATTTTATCGGCTGGCATATAAAAATAAATAGACAGAAGGCGGAGTTTTTACCAACATGATATGGCCTTCTGGCTTAAGAACTCAAACAAGACGTCGTCGTTCATGTCTTTTTAATCAACCTTTAAAACTGGTGGCCCAGATTTTATTGATTTTATGTTGCGAAGAGCGACCCACACAGTCCATTGAAGAGTGCAGTGGCGCTCAGTAGAGAGTGTCAAATCGAGAGATACCGTTGTGCATTGGGGGTGAGGGTGAGAGAAAGGCCATCAGCTGAGAGAGTTCACTTTCTCCGCCCGTTTCCAGTCCACTACGAGCAACAGCAACCTGAATACACACGTACATATATATGTATATATGTATGTATATATACATGTATTTATAAATATATGCATGTACGAACTCCGAGCTTGGGGATGTGTATTTGTGGAAGGAATATAAGGTGAAATGTCAACTGTGTCCCGCCTTCGGCAACTTGGAGGAGTTGCCTTTAGTTAAGTTGGGAATCTGAGAGGATTTAAATATAGACGTGTACGCTTCGGTTGTTTCCTGAAATTTATTCAAGCCTTTGTCGAGTAAAAATTATGATAACCGTGAGAGAAATAAGGACCTGCCATTAAGTACCCTGAACAGCATCAACAGGCGAATCTACATATATCTGTATGTACATATGGCCATTTGTTGAGGGCACGACTTTTAAGCTTGAACTTAATCGATTAGAATCCTAAAATCCTAAATAGTTATTTTTGATCTTGCATGTTTTGAAATAATTAATTATTATTTTTTTGTTTTTGACGTAACTATTTTTTAAATATATTATAAGTATGTAAGGTTTATCGAGTAGCCAGATTTTTTAACACAAAATAGATCCCGTAATTTATTTTTTCATTTTTTGAGATCACTGCATTTGATCTGCTATGTTCAGGATTTTTATACGTTTGTAAAATGTGTTCTACCCACACACAACTAAATTGGGGGCTCTTCAAGTCTTAAACATCTTTAAATGTAATTAAAGAGCACTCTGCTAACTTTTGTGATTTGAGTGATTTAAAAACTCTAAAACTTCCATTAAAATCTCAGTATCTGCAATATTTTCTAAAAACTCCAATATTTAATCAATACAGTTACTGCTATCTTTAAATGAAAACTATTGTCTGTCGCTTCCGAGATCTACTTTGAATTTGGCTCGGATTTAAGCGATCTAAATTAGTCCAATAAAGCTGTGGAGCACTGTTAGCACCTATACCCCGATGAAGGCAAATGTCAAGCCTTCGCAACGGCTATGCCTTTCATGGCGTGGCCTTCAATTGGTTTACAAAATGCAAAAAGCAGGTTATGTACATGCACATAGATACGCACACAGATACGCATGACCCCGCTGCATTCACACAGATGCACTTAGTGCTAAAAAAAATACGTGTGTGGGCGCGATGAGGTCTCGGTGACGTATGAATTTATGTTTTGTTACTGCGCAGTGGAATACTATTAGAGAAAGAAATCTGAGAGGCAGAGAAGAGCCCACTACAGGCCTTTTCTTCATGCTTTCTTTGCCAAACAAAATTTTGTTCTAAAAGCTCCTAAATAAATATTAAGTATATTATAAAAAAATATAAAAAAATAAAACAGATTATCCTTTTTCTCAATATCATCGTAAGGAAAACAATGGTACTTTTTTCGGAGTTAATAATCGAATTCACCACTTTTTTTAACACCTCAATAGACAGAATTATTAATTGTTTTCAAATACTTAAATCATACCATTGGAAAACCACTTAAAAACTAAAGATTTCCTCGAATTTTCTTATAAATTGCAATAATTTTTCGGAGTGTATTGTTTCTGCGATTTTCCCTCTCTAAATTCATGTTAAATAGCTCTCCTTGCTAACGTTCGTGTTGTGTACATTTGCGTCTGTGGGACACACGAAGGCCGTCAATTGCGCTTCGTGTGCCTCAAATGCGTGGGTTGAGAAAAATCTCACTACGATTCTCGCTCTCTCTCTCGGTAGCCGCCGTTACCGTTACGTGGGTGCCTTCGGTCTAAAACGCTCAGCTGTGCTCCAGTTTCGCTCCCGAATGCAGTTAGTCCTGCCCCTGCAAGCCCATTTTGGAGTAGAGCTTCTCCTTCCCGGACAAACAGTTAACCTAAATTCCTTGAATGACGTAGGAAGGAGAGCATGCACATATACATATGTACATGCGAACATAAATTGGCTGGTAAGCCGTTGCAGAAATTGCATTCATAAATGATTACCAACAATGAGCTAAAAATCCTACCTATGTATTGGTATAATAAGGGGAGGGTTTACACCAAAAAAAATATTATGTGTTTAGTCATTAAAAACTGATGAGACGTGGAACTTTTTTTTCTATACTTCTATAAGAAATAAAAGAAATTATTAAACGTACATACTTATAATAAATCGATGATTACTTTTATACATATTTGCTTTTTGTACAATTATTTTATATTTTATTTTGCAACCATACAAGCAAAGTGTCTTTTTTTAAATCAAACTTTATTGGAAGACAGCAAATTTTGGTAATTAAACATCTCGTAAACATTTCTAAATTAACTAGCATCATCGCTGGTCTCAACGATGCGGCACATAATGGGTATATCCTCCTCCTTAGTGATATTACCCTTCTCCTCTAGATTGAGAAGGCTTTGGATGTAGTCGTGTCGGAATTTGTTCCACTGCCGGGTCTTTAAAAAGTTGGTAAACAGGTCCTCACGTGAGGGCACGTTACACTCAAAGTAGAACCGGCGTCGGTGCCATATATTTCCCGGATTTTGTTCCTCTTCAAGTAGCCAAAAGCGAGGAATAAGCAGGCATTGAACAACAGTGCGTGCCATTATAACACGGTGTTCCATCTTTTCGCCCAAACCGAAGACACTGCCAAAAGTCAATGAGCCAACGTCTATAAAGTGGGTTTCGATAGGATCCTAAAACGGGAATTAGGATTGTAAACTGAACCCTGTTTCGGGTGTTAAGGAAACTAATCAAAGCTAAGAACTCACGACGTGGCCAACGGATGGATTGTCGAAACTACTCTTTCTTTCACTAGTATACGAACTAGCCGTAAATATTTCTGATGAAGAACTGGACTCTTTTTTCTCGACTTCTTCGGCTTCTTCTTTGGGACTTTCAGCGCTGTGCCGTTTCAGCTGCACTTGTACCATTGTTCTGTTCAACGAGACATCGTCCGATTCGTCTGAGGTCTCCGTTGTACTGTACTCGTAGAGACCATCCTCATCATAATCGTCCAAATCATCTTCATCATCAAGACTATCGTCGTCCATATAGAAATCCAGTACGTTTGGCATCCAAGGTGTTTTTCTTCGCAGTGCTTGTATCATCATAGTTTTTCGGACCTGTGCCGCCTGCGTATTCATAGTTTTTCTTGGCTTCATCTTTCGACGAATCGGTGTCCCAGATGAACGAATTCCACAAAACTTTTGAATTTCTTTAAGTCCCATTTTGCGTAACTGCACAGGAATTGATTAAATGAAATGAATTGAAAACAATTTGGGGAAGCACACACCGTTTGTTTCTTTTTTGTGGTACCTTCGCCATCGTCAGATGTTGAGGATGAGGCCAAAATGTCCTGTATGTCTATAAAAGAAGCTGGAATGCTGATCTCCTTCAGTGATTGAAACATTTGAAGTCCGTCCTTATCCTTGTCAATTTCGGTCAGCACGTAGTTTATTTTTCCGTCGTCGTGGGTTACCTAAAGATGTTAAATTAATATTGCTAAATAGAGTATACCTTCTGATTAAATCGAAATCTAATACGTACATTCATACTTAAGCACTGCAAAATGACGCACTCTCCGCTAAGAACAAACCGCACAAAACCCAAAGAGCCCTTATCCCCCAAATAAATGGTCTCCAGTGGTTCGTATTGAACCAAGTGAGCGTACTTGCAAGCGAGAATTATCTGAGTGGAAAGAACATTAGTAATTTGTGGATACGTGAACACCTAGACTAACCTGTTCAGGGGTCAGAAAATTAAAATAATCAAATGCACTGAGTGCGACCTTCTTTTCATTCCATATTTTCAAATGACATGGTTTTAAAATGCGTTCATAGTCCACGTCGTAAATCGATAAAACCTCGCAACTAGCTAAAATACAAATTAGGCTCCCTGTTGTCAATTTTTTTTTGAGGTTCTTACACATCGCTAAATACGTATTCATCCTTGGGCAATCCTCAACCATTTCTACGTCTCCAAAACAATCTCCTGGACCGAAAATTGCCTCCGGCACTGTGTCCTCTTGTTTTGTAGTCTAACAAAGACATTTTGTTGGTTTTAGGGGGTTCAATTGTGATTTTACATAATATTATTCTTCATGAAGTTTTGTTGACTTTAAATATCAAACAAGAAGATTTCTCTTATCACCTACCATCTTTGTCTTTTTAATGTAAATGTATTAAAATCTTTTATGAATTACTGTTTTATTAATTGATTTTGTTTACTGTCTTTCAGTTCTGTTGGCAAGAAAATGTAATACAATAGTTAACAAAAAACACACCAAATAAAGGACTCAAGACGTGCTTGCTGGTAAGTAACTTCTTAGAAGCAGATATCAATATAGTATATTACCTTATTGTAAACAGTCTTCTGCATTTCGACCTCGCCGTTTAGGATGAAATAGACCGCGAAAGGCATGTTGCCCTTTTTGATAAGCGTTCGGGATTCATTTATCGACATAAACTTGAGGACCGGCACCATGCGAGCTCGAATTTTCTAAGCTCGTAATGGAATATTTTGGTTAATAGTAACTAAAATATATAATAGAAAATGTAATAGTAATATTTGAACTAACCGGTGGAATTCTGGAAAAACAATTTAAACCAGCTATAAGCAAGCAAATCTTTTTGCGTTCCTCAATTGTCCTAAAAGCTGGATTGGAACGTAAAAGTGCTTTGTCCTAAAATCATTTTTCAAGAATTATAACGTATTTTTAGATAAACAATTATTATTTACCGCTAAGGTTAGCATTCCTGGCTTACGTTTTTGGCGCATTAAGGCGACGTTTCTCTTGACGTTCATAGAGATTCCCTGTTCCTCCTCATCGGAGAGCCACGATTGATTCATAATCACCGCCCTAACTAACTTTTTAAAACGGGCCCTAAGGTCCATTTTATGTTTGACGATATCCGCATCCCGGTTGCGTTTTGCGGCCATTTTTGTGTATGATATAGATTTATTTTTGGGTTACTATTGTGTTTTGTTTTTTTAGTTGTTCTTCCCGAACAAGTTGTTGGGAATTTACATAAAGTATATATCAACTAAACGTCAAAGTGTCAAACAAACCAAACCAAATGCATTCTTTGATAGGAAAAATGTTCGTAATTTAAGGATCTTATAAATGTACTAAGATTGCATGTTTTTCCTTTGCCTTTCAGGAGACATCAGACATTTGATTAAAGTGCAAGCCTTTGAAAACCGGTTATTAATGAAACCGTTTTAGAAAAGCGTGCTCGGATTGCCAAATCAGTAAGAAAAAAGAGAACCGACAGATGCACCACCAAAAGGAAAAACAACCAAATTACATTGGTATCACTGTTGCCAAATAAAAGCCGACGACAAAAGACACATACATATACATATGTACATAATTTAATATTCGGATATGCCTTGTAAATACAGCATAAAAATTTAGGATCTAGGCAACTACGCTTAAAACGACAACTGAAACCAGGAGAAGGAGAACGAACACACCTTTTCGATTTTCAATACAACACGACGCTCATTCTAGTCGAGAAACTTTCATAATTACAGATATTCTTCACACGGTGAAACACTATAAACATTAGCTAAACAATAAACAAAATAAAGACCTTCCCCACCAAAACAACAGAAACAAAACAAACCAAGCAAAAAAAAAAACAATAAGAAATAAGCGAAAAAGTAAAAAAAAAAAGAAAAGAAAATAGAGGAAAAGATAACAGAATTAAACGAATTACAAATAGGCCACAACAGCCAAGTTTTCCAAATCAGTGTGCGGACGATCCACAAAGATCGAACATAACTCAATCCTGAAATCGAGAGGTAATTGCCAACAGACGCAGCTCGAGCTGCGCATCTCTTCGCATAACAACATAATAACAATCAATTCGGAGCCGGAAGTAGTGAACATTAACGGATCCGGAAACGGGATTAACGGCAATCCGAGATCCGTTAACGGGGAAAGGGGTAAATAAACAAATCGACGAAGGTGGAAAGAGATCAAAGGCTTTTGGAGCGAAGGGGACGACGAAGGGTCAAGATGCATATTGAAATCCAGGTGGCTCTCAACTTTGTCATATCCTATCTCTATAACAAATTGCCGCGCAGACGTGTAAACATATTCGGCGAGGAGTTGGAAAAGGCGTTGCGCGACAAGTTCCAGGGTCACTGGTACCCAGAGAAGCCCTTTAAGGTTAGTACATCTTTGATTTGGCTATCTGTTATTATTCCTGTACTTGTAACTTATTTCGTTGCAGGGCTCTGCTTATCGTTGCTTGAAAACCGGGGATCCCATTGATTCGGTTCTCGAACGGGCGGCGAGGGAAAGTGGAGTGCCCATCGGTGATATTCTGGAAAACTTGCCCAATGAACTGTCCGTTTGGGTTGATCCCGGGGAGGTTTCATTCCGCATTGGCGAAAAGGGAGCAGTGAAGGTAATCGCATTAAAAAAGAAAGTGTATTTTTACAGCTAAAGCTGGAACATAAACTAAACATTACACTAGAGGACTTCCCGGTTTATGATATATGATATGATATATTATATATCTTTTTCCCCATCTTCTCTGAATTATAAAATCAAAATTTAATTGGCAAATTATAAATGATTTATGAACCTATCTTACTGAATCCCCCAGATACTCTACACGGAGAACAATGAGAACCACGAGGACAGTCACTCGGCGGACCGCGAGGTCACCAAGATGTTCAATCCGGAGGCGCAGTGCTTTCGTCCGATCGATGCGGTCAACACGACCATGAACAACTTGAGCCTCAGCCCGAAGGCACTTCCATTGACGCTGCCCCAGGCAGGATCCTCGCCGCACTCGGCCGCCTCCAGTTCGCCGACGTACAAGGGCAGTCCGAATCCGACGATCTCCGGCAGCTGCAGTTCCGGAGCATCCGGAGCTGGTTCGGGAACGGGCTCCGGCTCCGGCTCCGGATCTGGATCCGGATCGACATTGGGACCTGGCCCAGGTGCCGCTCCAGTGCCAGTGACCGGCAACAGTGCGTCGGCCAATGCAGCTGCCGCCGCATTTATGCAGCGCGGCAATCAGGCGCCGCTCACTTTCACAACGGCCACCTTCGCGCAGACCAAATTCGGCAGCACCAAGCTGAAGACCAGCTCCAAGCGCACAAACAGGTGAATACCCCTTACTAAGTAGCACTTGTATTTTAGAAATCCATTTCATTTGCTTGATTTGAATTGCTTTAAATATACATTTAAAGTATAAATATAAAATATAAGTATTTAAATTTAAATATACATTTAAATATGCATTTAAAGTAATTAAATCAACGCCAACTCAATGAGTATAAAATATATTGTGAACGTAAACAGTGCGTATGAGTGATATAGTATATGAGTATATTCATTACTCATACGCACTGTGGTCGTGTTGCTGTCTATTTGATCTCTGCTCTTGTATTTTAAAAATCCATTTTATTTGCTTGATTTGAATTGCTTTAAATATCCATTTAATAATATTTATTTTATAAATATAAAATATAAATATTTAAATTTAAATATACATTTAAATATCCATTTAAAGTAATTAAATCAACGCCAACTCAATGAGTATAAAATATATTGTGAACGTAAACAGTGCGTATGAGTGATATGGCATATGAGTATATTCATTACTCATACGCACTGTGGCCGCGTTGCTGTCTATTTGATCTCTGCTCTTTTTTTTCGTATGTGCAAAGCAGTAAAACCGAAATTTTGATCGCAAATAGTTTTGTAAATTCTGAACTCTTTGTTCTTTGCAACCCCAGCAGCGCCTACCGCATGTCGCCCACTGAATTCTCCAACTACATCAAGCAACGAGCGATGCAGCAGCAAATGCACCACGGCCACGCCGGAGTTGTGCCATCGGGCGGATCATCGGTGTCAACGTTTGGTGGCTTGGACGCCGTATCTCCAGCCCGATCCCTTTCGCCGAACCCCCTCTCATTGGGCGGCAGCAGTCAGACGACCAGCGGCACAGCAGCCGATCCCTTCTACTATCCGAACATGGCAATCGGTCTTTATCCGCAATTCGGCAATCCACGCAGCCTGTTCGAACCTCACTTCAATGCAGATGCCAATTTGGGTCTCTTTTTCGGCGCTGGAACTGGAGGAGCCACAATGACCACCGCCGCAGCCGCCGCCGCCGCTGGCGGAGGTGCCAACAAGTATAGTACTTATCTGGAGCCGTGCTACTTTGGCAATTCACAGCTGCCGCAGCAACAGAATCGAGGCGGTTCGATCGGCATGGATCGATCGAATAGCAATGAAAGTTGCTTTGGATTGAATGTAGATTGTGGCCTTGAGGATGCATCAACATCATCGGTGGTCGGCGTAACTGTTGCCGTTGCAATGGCCGGTGATTCATCGCCGGATATTAGTCCCTTAAGTACTCCCACCGTGGGCGTGGCCGGTTCGGAGAATTCGACAGGCAACAACTTTAACACAACAACCGTTCCATCGACCAGTAATAATCATCAGCAGCAGCAGCAGCAGCAGTCCCAACAGCAGCCAGCTGCTCAGGAACCGTCCTCGGGAAACAGCAATAGCAACTCGAACAGCAAACTGATTGATGGCATTAGCTCTTTCTATGGCACTGGATCGTCGTATCAACAATTGTTGGTTGCCAACTAGAGTTACCTCGAGAACTAGTCATCCATAAAAGAGCATCCGCCGTAGGTTGTTTATCCAACAAATCAAAAAAAAAAAAAAAGAAAAGAAAAAGATAGGTCGACAATGATGACTAGAAGTTGGATACTCAGGGCTGCAGGAATAATAGGAATAGCAAAGAACTGATAATGCAGTTTTGAGAGAAGAAGAGAGGGAAGCGGAAGCACCTACGATAGGAGAAGAAATGGGTTAAGGTGAAGTCGAAGCCAAAAAGGGGAATGAGGAGGGACAATATAGAATTACAATCCTTTGCCATTTTGGATAGCCATGCAACAAGTGTCCTTGCAAGAAGAACAGCGACATTGGATGCAAATCTATGAGAACGAACCATTCGATTCGATGCGATGTTGGACTCCCACACAATATGAAACACAAAAGAAAATCACTCTGATGTTTAAGCGAGCTATAAGAAGAAGTATATACAGATGCATATATATGTTGATAGGACCAAACACCAACAAACTGCGAGAGTACTGTGTGTGGGGACCTATAAATGTAGATATGCACGTGAACTATATACAGACATGTATCAGCCATAAAACAATATTTATTTTGTTATTAAAATCAGCATAGAGAGCAAAGTAAAGTTTCTTTCTGGTGTCAGGAGCGTGCATAGAATAAATAACTAAGCGTAAAGCAGAAATACATATGTACACAGGTGTAGCCATAGGCACATACAACATATGTTTGCCACACAACACAAGCAAATGATATAAAACCAACAAACCAATAAGCAACCAAAAATAATACCACAAATATATATATATACATATATATATATATATAAAAGGACAAATAGAATGTCTCAACTAATTGTTTTTACTTGTTATGAATATATATAAATATATATATATACATATAAATATATTTAATTATCCAACTTAGGATCAACTTTTACATTAAGTTTTTAATTAGTTGTAAATTAAAGATAAGATCATTTTTGTAGATCAAGTTGCTAAACAAACAAAAAAAAAAAAAGGAAAAAAACACAACATACACATGTATATTGATAAAAGTCAACATTGTTATTAATAGAGATGCAACTTGCATACCCTGAGCATCCTGACCCGTGAAAAAAAATTATTTGCAGCAGTAGTCCTTCTTCCGATTCTCTGTATTTTTAGAAAATATTATTTTGTATTTTGTATACGTCTTAAAGCTAACTAGCAAACGAAGATACTTTACTGTATTCAGTTTTGAAAATATTAAAAAAAACGATTACATTTTTATAACTGAAAAAATGATCCAAAGAACTTGTTTGGTATCTGAAGTTTTTCTTCCTTAATCATTTTGTACAAATGCCTTGGTGAGTTAGTTAATTTGCCAAAATTTTAAACTTGACAAAAGAACCCCGAATAATGTCGCTTAAACTGTTTACAAAACCACCAGGTTCTAGGTACCCCGCTGATAGACTGGAAAATATTTAAGAGAAATAAGAACAAAACCCCACAAATTTGCTCAAAAATTAGGACGTACCGTGTAGCCCAACTCTTAAAAGTAAACATTTGAAAGCGACTTTCTCTTGTCCGAAATGCACCAAGAGCTAACTTTTAAAATTATAAAGTATTTTGCGAAAGCTTTAACCGCTGCAGAGAGTCAAAAAAAAATTATTCCTACACTTTTTTACATGATCAAAATGAAATAATTCGAAAAATCAAAGACTAGGAAAAAGGACTCTTTAGTTTTCCGTAAAATTCAAAAGCGTTAGGAAATGTATTTCTAAATTTGAGATTCTTTTAGCGAATGCTAACCAAACCTTAACTTCCTGAGTCCTAAATTATCCGACATTTAATTGTTTTGCCACAAAACTTCTTTGAGCAATCGATCTTATTGAGAAAAACTCATATACCAGATATATAGTGTACAAGTTATGATTTTATTGATAGTGCCAAGGTCGCCGGGTCACTGCTAGTTTTTTTTTTACCCCAAGATACAAGTTATGCAAGCTGTGAAAAGCTTTTAAGTAAAGTAAAATAAAAACCAAATAATAAAATTGAAGAAATTTTATATTTTCGTTGTGTGTTATATTGTATGTATTACCATTTGACTTCGTATTTTTTTTGTATATATATATCTATTTTTATATGAACATTTGTAATTTTTATAAATCGAGTACAGTAAAAAAAATTTTATACTTTTTATATGGGCTTACGTGAAAATACCTTGCGCTATATAATTGCTTACTTTAATTAAAAACAAATGAAGAAAAAAGAAACCGAGAGAGCATTTTTGTTTAATTTATATGAGTCTCCCTGATGAAACACAACAAGTTAATGTAAATAAGTAATTTCTTATATAGTTTCCTTTGTTCCGAATTTAACGGCAAACACTTCTCAATGTATGTTGTTTATTGAAAGTATAGTGGGTTTATGAAAGTATGAAAGTACTTAGAAGATAAGATAATAAATGAAATAACAAAAATGTAGTCAGCAATGGAATTCATTCTATGTGTATCTTGTTAAGGAACATTTGTAATTTATGAAAACATTTTTTTAATGGCCTAGTCAGCAACAAGAGCAAAAGGAATGTGGGAAACTGGACGAAAGGGGAAGATTTTCAGCTTTTGAGAACTGTATTCGATATGTACCTACACATCTGATAGATGTGTGTATCTAAACCTACCACTGAAAACAGAAATTTAATGAAACATTTAAGTACCTTAACGACGCTTCTAATTATAGCTACTGTGACCACGAACAAGAGTCAAAATCAAAGCCAAGCCAACAAGAAATGCTAATTCAATCGAATTACAGATTGCAGATTGCATTGGGCCTAGCTTTTCCAATTCTGATCATGGTAGCGAATAAGTACCTACAGACAGACAAACATACACACACCATTTGACATGCACACATTAAGGATTAGGCACGTTTTTTTCTTAGATATATTAGAGTGTATTTAAATTACAAACAAATTAAACAGAAAACAAGAAATTTTGTACTTTTATATATATGATGAGTATATATATATTCGTATACAGTATACATATGAATGCCTCTAACGGTTCAACTAAACGGATTCTCAATGTATTTTTTGTATGTCTCTCAGAATGGCAGGCATGAAAACCAAACCAACAAACTTATATTCGTAATGTTAGAAATTGTCTTACATGCCATATATTCTATAAGTAAGCATATTTGTATGGCACAAGTATAGGCCCCGAAATGTATGCTATCTGCCAACCTATCTTTACCTGAATCATAGTGGGAAATGGAAAGATATGATGGGAAGAGTATTGTGGGAGAATACCGATTGCTTGCTTATAAAACTATTCTATTGTGATTGTGATAACAATGTAAGGCACAGAGATACAGATACAGAGAAGTACAGAAACCGATGTGGAAATGGCTAACAATATTCATACATATGTATATGTACATAAACGGGAATAAATTAAAATAAAGTATCCGCCTATCATCGATGTCCACCAACTTTAAATTTTAACTCGATCGAGATGAAAATGTATCCGACCGATCTAATAAGCAAAATGAACCATAAGGTAGATACACAAATATACAAACATATTTTACAATATGAAAGAAATAAAAACCACACACCAACCAACATTTTAATACACACTTAAAATGAAGAAATGCTGATTCCAAGCAAATCAAGCAAGATGTAGAAACAATTCACTAACTAAAGTAAAGAGCGATATTGGTATGTATTTAGCTACAAGGACGACAACAAAAAATATAAATAATACAGCTTTTTATACCTCAGATATGTTTCTATATGTATGTAAATGTACGAAGAGATATCTCACGCAATGCAAAGTAACATTAAAACCAAATTTAAGTAAATTAAGCCCACTTATTGTCGATAAGGTTCATAAGTACAGATATTTTGATAGGTAGTTAGATGAACAACTCATTTACGAATGTAACTTTTATATATTTTTTTAGGAAACTTGTTTAATTGATACGCGATTTCCAAACATAAATCTAAATGTGCATTACCAACCACAATTGTGTGGCCCAGACTCTTAAATAGTATTTCCGGAAATTGGTTAGTGGACAGATCTGGATGTTAGCGTGAAAAAAAAACATTGCATATATATATAATATATATATATATATATATATAGATATCATAATACAACTGAAAAAGTATCAGCATATAAGCAACTGTACTTTGTATCATAAGTGTTATATTCTTTCCAAATTATCGGGCTTACAAACAAAAATTTATCTGATACAAAATATTTTCTCATGCGTGTCTAGATTTTACATATGTACATAAAACGATATGTACGTATGTATGTATTTATATTCCTAATTAACACCAAGCATGAATATGAAATTTTATGTGATCTGAGTTCTCCAGTTATTTTCTGTTAAATAAGGCATATGTACATATATATAAGTAAAGGCTGAGAAGGCATACAGACATACATTTACTGCACATATGTACGGATGAATATTTGTATGTAAAACTATGTTTTAAACTTCAATTCAAATAAAATGTGGTACCGATTGATATATGTATGGCTTTCGTTTAACAGAAAATCAGAAAGAAAAAGTAATTAAATTAATGCATATCAGTGATTACAATAAAGATGTACATACATGCAAAACAATAAGAAAAAATAATGAATATGTGTGACCACATAAACACACAATAAACGTGTATGTATATCTATTCTTAGTACCGAAATATTCAATCAATTTAAAACCCTTTACGTGTGGACATAGGCATAGAGGTAAATAATATAAAATGTATGTAATATGTATAGTAACAAATATAACTTCCATATGAGTATTTTTCGTATTACCTTTAGTAGAATAAAGATTATCGTATAATTAAAAATCATTGTTTAAACAAAAATAGTCCGTGATCAAACAGGGCATCTGCCCTGATCACCGATACACCTTTTTAAAGCAATTGGATATTGATAGAAAAAAAAGATAAAGTTCGATGTTTTCTTCGCACTGTTGCATAAGTATTCAGTATTCTGAAAACAGATGTCCTTTTACAAGATTAGTACTCACGGCAAAATAAACGCTCAAAAACAGTACGTACCAAGGTAAAATAGTGCAGTACTTTCTACCTTTAATATGTAAATAAATAAATGAATACATTTTACCTTCCCCAGGCATGGATTTTGATTTGAAGATATTAGAAAAATTTTAATGTTTTTTGACTGTGTTTCTATTTGTTTTACAGAAATTATCCCTATAACCAGAAAACTTAATTGCTGTGAGGACATTTCATAGTACAATTATTAAGGCACAGGAAACTGCTGTCAGCTTAAAAACCAAATAGGTCTGATTTTATATTTTTTAACGTGTAAATATGTTTTTTAATACTGTCCAATTAGGTTTATCCATTTTTTGAATTATAACAAAAAATGTGTCACAATATTTTTCTTTCACTTTCTCTTACCTCTTGTAATCTTCTTGGCGTAACCTTTTCACAGAGCGTTTTGGATGTTACAATATAGCTCTCCTTCTTTAAATTTTCTTGCAATAAGGTTAGGTTGAATGATTTAGCACACGATCAATGGCGGCTGTGCGTAAACGCTCACACACATTCACACGGAGCCACAAGTGCGTGTGTGAGACACAAATTTTGGAGCACCCTTCGAAGAACGATGATTTTAACGTTTTAACGTAAAATTATGATCGAACTTCGTTACTCCGGCCTGCAGTTTGCTATGTGCGGCCAAACGAAGAAAATAAACACCAAATAAAATGTAAACAATATATGTTTACCAACGGCCGCCGATAACAAGTTATCGATTCTGCGTGAGTCCAGGCACGGATGCGACTTTTTAAGCCTCTGGAACTGGTTCCCCAGGAATAACTCCCAAGTGAACCAAAAAGGTGAATTTGAAAAACTTGAAGTATTTTTGTGGCGAAGAGAGGATGGAAAAGAAAAAGTGCATTTTGCTGAAGAGGTTAAATCAAGAAGATATCGGATCTATTTTTCTTGGACAAGTTGAAGGAGGAGCAACACCCAAAGGAAGAGGGCAAATTTTCTTTTAAGAAAAAAATTAACCACTCATTGCTGGGTGGCCCCCAGGTTTTTGTTTAGCTTAACTATTTATTTATTACAAACTAATTAGATTTAAGTTAAAATCAAAGACAAAATATGAAGTAAATATTAATGAAATAATCCAACAGTCCAAATATTTATTCCAAAAAGAAGTAAAGTAAATGAAGTAGTTGAAATCTTGATATTAACATGTGATATACGCCATACTTATTTATTATTTCTTATGCACTATTTATTTATTTATTATTTATTACTCTCGATTTATTTATTTATTATTTATTTCTAATTTATTATTTGATGTTTCTTGTAATTCGAGATGAGGGCGTATTTCCACGAGTAAGATATTAGGGAGGTGCAACATAAGATGCACCCATGGTTGGGCGGGCCTCAGAAGAATCTAAATATATCTTTTGAGTCCATATGTATCTGTCCCAAAATCCGTTGTTTTTAGTCCATGTTCAGATTGTAGTTTCAAAATTCCGTTTTGTTTATTTTTGTTGTGACTGCCGTGTAAGTGTTCGCTATGGTTGTTCCCCTCCCTGGGATATCGACGGCTAGTCGGCAAGCGGCACAGTACACCAGAAGAAAAAAAGGCAGGACATGACAAATGGCGCCCAAGCAAAAAAATATAGAAGAAAATTAATAAAATGGAATCAATAAAAATATAAAGTAAACACTCACCAGGGTAAAGGCCAGTAAATAAGATCTCAGAAACCATCTGTTTGGACCGTGGGCAGGCGAAGTAGGCCAGACCCATCGTAGCCACAGTGGGGAGAATTCTGGGAAGTCCTTGTTGCTGAGCACAGTCCTTGAGGTGAAAGGAAGACCGACTAGAAGTGGACCCATGACCGAGTAAACACGGTACATGCGAAGCCAGGCTAGAAGGTACACAGTGTCTGAAAAAAATAAACAGTTGTTTTTTTAATATGTTGTCTAAAGTAAAGTAAATTGGTAATAACTTATCTAAATCTGTTGTCTTTGTTTGGGATTGTTGTGGTCCATGTACACTGGTTGAAATGTGTAGCATCGATGCCCAGCAGTTGCAAGTATAGACTGAAAAAAAAAGAAATTAAATTAAATTGATTAAATGCAAACAAATTCAGATACTAACCGGAAGCGGGAACGGAAACCAGCTGTTTGGACCGAGGTCACTACCATCAGGGTGGTGATTCTCGAAGCCACAGTGGGACAATCCTGAATTTCTTCCTGCGAAACTCGTCCGAAGTGATAAAAAAAAAATCGCTGATCTGTAGTGGACCCATGGCCGAGTAAAGAACGGTACCAGGCATGGTACCAGTCGCACGTCGTCCTGGGGGAGTGCATTTTCCACCACAAGGACCACCGTCTGACCAACAGAGGAGCGACCGAAACTGGGAAGGATTGTTGAGACCGGCGATAACGCAGGAACAGATTCATTCGAATCAGTTGTCTCTGAACATCGACCAGCCGGAGGAAGAAAGCGGTCGTCAAGTTCACTGGTCGCGAACAGCATATCAGGAACCTCCGTCCGGCCAAAGCAGAATGTCAAATGGCAGTTATTCTGGGCAGGATCCGCGTCTGGGGAACGGGAATAGAAATGACCCATTAGTACAAGTTGGTAAATTACGAAAATGGGGAGTTACCTTTGATGGTAGTCCTAAAGGTATGCCGGTATCCGAGTTTATATTTCGTTTGGAACATCTCCAAAAGTCTTATCAGGTCCCGTGGAAGGAAGTCCTTAGAGAGTTTCACGTATTAGTCGAAGGACAGGCTAAAGAATGGTATTGGATCTATGTGAGGTCTGTGGAGCGACCAGAGTGGCCTTACCTAAGGTACGCCCTGCAGCAGCAATTCCAGAGCCAGCGTTCAAACTTCGAACGGGAATATGAACTGCGGGAACGGAAACAGAATGGAAAGGTTCCGTCCGTATGTGGAGTGGATGCCGTTCATCATAGTCACCGATCATGCTAGCCTGCAATGGCTATTGACGCTCAAGGACTTGAACGGGAGATTGGCGCGATGGTCTCTGGTCAACATCGAACACCGAGAAGGCAAGGATAACGTCGTGGCGGACATGTTATCTCGACCGAATAAGGTAGCCGAAATTGAGTTCTTCGACTTCGAGACAACAGAGTTTGAAAGTCCCGAATATCTGGAAAGACTGCGGTTAATTGAAGAGCATGGAAATGATAAGTTTCCGGACTTACGTGTCGAAGAAGGACTTCTCTTCAAGAAGACACAATTTAAAAGAGAAGAAAGCGACGAGTTTGAATGGAAACTATGGGTTCCTGAAGCTCTGACGACGACATTAATCCAGCAAGCTCACTGCGGCAACATGGCAATGCATGGAGGTATGGGAAAGACCTTAACGAGACTCCAACAGATGTTTTACTGGCCCAAAATGGTGGTTCAAGTCCGAGAGTTCGTAGCAGCTTGTGAAAACTGCAAGGAAAACAAACATACGACACAGATAAAACGACCAATGATGGGAAAGGAGGTACAGTCGGATCGACCTATCCAAAAGTTGTACTTGGATTTCCTAGGAAAATATCCGCGCTCCCGCCGAGGAAATACCATGCTATTCATTGTGTTAGACCACTTTACCAAATTTGTATGGTTGAAAGCGATGCCGAAAGCCACGTCGACAGCTGTGATCCGATTCCTGCAAGAAAATATTTTCACACAGTATGGAGTTCCGGAAATTATCCACACGGACAACGGAAGACAATTCATCTCCCAGGAATTTGAGAATATGCTGCAAGAGTACGGGATTACACATATGAAAACAGGAAGATACGCACCGCAATCCAATGCTTCAGAAAGAGTAAACCAATCTCTATTAGCCGCAATTCGAGTGAATATCCAGGACGACCACACACGATGGGATGAACACTTAGCAGACATACAAGCGTCACTGAGGTCATCTGTCCACAACAGCACTGGAACTTCTCCATATTTTGCCATGTTCGGACAACATATGTTTACGCATGGGAAAGATTACTCGCTAGCTCGCAAGCTGGGTGCTCTTAATGAATCAGAGGTAGCCCAATTGCCTAGATCCGATCGACAACAGCTGTACAGGGAGAAGATAAAAGAAAGGATACATCAGGCCTACGAGAAAGCAGCGAAAAATTACAACCTGAAGGCTCGAGAAGTTCGATACTCACCTGGACAGGAAATATATAAGAGGAATTCGTACTTAGTGACTTTAACAAGAGCAGAAACTCCAAGTTTTGCCGAAAGTACACTAAATGCCGAGTCACGAAGGCGTTGGGAAATTCTTTGTACGCTTTGGAAAACTTGCGTGGCCATCCTTTGGGACTTTTCCATGCCCGGCTAACTCAGTGTGTTCTCTTGTTTTTAAAATCAGGGTCGTGGGCGGTGGCCTACGTTGGGCTGTACAAAATTAACACACCATCAACAAACGCACATCCTCCACTCCTGTTCCGCGACAAGCCTTGAAACCGTAGTGTGCTTGTTATGTGCGGCCAAACGAAGAAAATAAACACCAAATAAAATGTAAACAATATATGTTTACCAACGGCCGCCGATAACAAGTTATCGATTCTGCGTGAGTCCAGGCACGGTTGCGACTTTTTAAGCCTCTGGAACTGGTTCCCCAGGAATAACTCCCAAGTGAACCAAAAAGGTGAATTTGAAAAACTTGAAGTATTTTTTTTGGCGAAGAGAGGATAGAAAAGAAAAAGTGCATTTTGTTGAAGAGGTTAAATCAAGAAGATATCGGATCTATTTTTCTTGGACAAGTTGAAGGAGGAGCAACACCCAAAGGAAAAGGGCAAATTTTCTTTTAAGAAAAAATTGTCCACTCATTGCTGGGTGGCCCCCAGGTTTTGTTTAGCTTAACTACTTATTTAAGTTAAAATCAAAGACAAAATATGAAGTGAATATTAATGAAATAATCCAACAGTCCAAATATTTATTCCGAAAAAGAAGTAAAGTAAATGAAGTAGTTGAAATCTTGATATTAACATGTGATATACGCCATACTTATTTATTATTTCTTATGCACCATTTATTTATTTATTATTTATTACTCTCGATTTATTTATTTATTATTTATTTCTAATTTATTATTTGATGTTTCTTGTAATTCGTCCCGCGGTACCGTGGTTAGGTGTTAGATGTTATACATGTTAATATTTAAGTAAAATATCGCCTTGGCCGTTGCTCGTGGAGTAAGGATATACTGTGCTTGTCAAAAAGTATGTACCATATTAAAAAGTACATGTATTCTTTATCAGGATTATTGATATTATGTATGTACATATGTCAATCCGACAGTATAAATGTCGAGAACTCAAAAACTATAGGTAGAACATTATTATTAAACAGACAGATTCGAATAGTGAAGACGCAGCGAAATAAGTTTTAAAAAGAGAGAAGAGAGAGGGCGTAAATTTTGATGGCATGGATATTTTTATGGATTTTGATAATAAATACGTTACACGTCTATTTCGAATTAATTATAAATTTTTTATTCTTCACTAGTGAAGGCACTCTTTTAATCTTTGCTTTTTATTAAATTTTTTAAAATTGGATTCCTAATTAACAATTTAAACTTATTTGCTTGCAAACAGACAAGTGTTTATTTGCCTATGAAAGTCAATCTTTAGCTGAAAACTGTCGAACTTCATCATTTGGAACCAAATTAATTTTCGCAAAAAAGAATACAACTTTTAATGCTTACTTTAGTGCACAGAAAACTTCGTATATCTTAATTGATGAATATTAGTTATCTTCAAAACGTGATTGCTTTGTAAAGAATAACACTTAATCAAAATAATAAAAAAAAACTTACATAAACATTAAGCATTTATACCATCTTGGTTGAAAAATTTTAAAATCATTAAACTGAACTCCACTCTGTAAGTTATTAGGCCGAGAAATATGCAGCACCAAAATGGTCAAATAAAAGATTTAATTACAATATATACTTTTAACTATTTAACTGTATATCTGAAATTAAAGGTCTAAATGAAGACATTTTGTATTGTGTATTGAGATAGTTACAATAATTTTTTGTCACAAAATTCCAAATCGGAAAACTTGCACATTGTTATATTTTTACATCGCTGTAAGAGGTTAAAGTTATGAAAATTGTTTTCCGTATAATTTGAGCCTACCAAGCGCATGACATTATTTAACTGCTTTTGAAGCCTATTAAAGAGGTTTTTTATTAATTGCGTGCCTCGAATTTTTGTTATTTTACCCCTGCTGCCGCGTCTTTTTACTACCCATCACACTCACATACACTTATGGAGATGAAAGCAGATCGAGTCCATCGAATTGAAAAGGTGAAAATCCAACTAAAACCAATAAAAAGGCATAGGCAGTTTCAAAGCAACTGCGGTTGGAGAAAGGGGCTCGCACAATTAGTTAAAAACTCATTTTTCGGAAGTGTACAACAATTGGTTAATTAATTTGTAATCATCGTTTTATTGTAAATTTATTTTTAAGCAAAGTCGCATTTTTGTAAGGCTTTTTTTTTAAATTTTAAATTGTTAAACATGGGCTACGCCCATGGATTCAAGGCAGAGATGGTCGTGAATGGCTCGAACGAAATGCCAATTTCGGTTTGTATGTACACAAATGTGTGACTGTTGTGTTTATGCGCCAGCTTCGAGCCAGTTTGTTGCCCCTGCTCTTGCCGCTTCTCGGCCTTCTTCAGTTCTTCAGCTCTTCTGTTGGCGTTTCCAGCCAGAGTCCCGAACTCGATTCGACTACAAGCCGACGCAACTTAAATCCAATTCGACGCAAAGCAGTCGCGCAGACGCAGTCGCGGCTTTGGTCGCTCGGGGATTACACCTTGCGCAGCGCAGCATTCCATCGATACTACAATACTACGGCCTCCGTTATTGCTCTCCAATTTTCGTTCTCAGCTGGTTTCGAAAGTCGAACTCTCCACGGGGAAAGCACAGGCGAGCAGGAGAAAGAGGTAAGTCTAAGTATCTCTTTAAGCCACCCACTTATTACCGAATAGGTAACTACCTTTTAAGAAGTTTGTTGCACAATGCACATTGCATCTTTGTTCGAAGCACCAACAATGGGTCTGTGAAAATGTCAGTCAAAGAAAAGAAAAACAACTATACACACACACATGCACAAGCAAACATTTTCACTGTCAGTGTTTGGCTGGTGCGAAACCCCGCTTAAAGTAGAAAAGTCGTGACGATCGCACCTTTCAGATTTGTTAAATCTTTTATTGTTTACAACTATTTCTTTATGTTCTCTATTTAAGTTTTGGGTTATGCCCTTATACTTACTTATACTTTGGTAACTTAAAGAAGTAGAAAAGTCCTAATGACCGCCCATTTTAACTTTGATATATTTTCATTGTTTGAAATTATCTCTTTATGTAGTATTCTAGTCATTTTTTTTGTTTCTTGGGCAGATCTGTTTCTTATTTCTTATACTCTGGCAGCAAGTATTATAATTTCAGTCAACATTTGGGAGCGCAGTGAAGAAGGTACCAATGACTCCATAAATTACCTCCTAAAATTTTACCGATTGTTTCTATTGCAGCCAAATAATAAAGTCTTTCGGTTTTTAAAAAATACAATTTTACCGTAAACAAATCCAATGTATATGATTTCCAGTTCTGCAAATTTCGAATAAATTGTAATGCCCTCTGCATGGGTGTGAAAGGTTAACTTTAATAAAAATTAAATTAAATATATTACCTTTGTACACCCTTGCAGAGCAAAAGGGTACTATAATTTCAGTCAGAAGTTTGCCACGCAGTAAAGGGGACACCTCAGACCCCATAAAGTATATATATTCTTGATCAGCATCACCATCTGAATCGAAATACGTCTGTACGTCTGCCTCTCAGTTTTAAAGCTATCTTGCTGAAACTTTCCCAAAAGTTGTGTAGTTATTGCACGCAGTATATAAGTCGGAACGGGCCGGATCGGCCGACTATATCGGATAGCTCCCGTTCGAGAGAATGAAAGAAAAAATTCTCACGCCGTTGTTTTTGATCAGATCAACTTAATTTCTTCCAGATGGCGTTTTCTAACTACTATTGAATTTCGGATTAAATTTTATCAAAATCGGATAGCTCTATCATATAGCTGTCATAGGAAATATCGAAAAATATATATAGAAATAATGGAAAAAAAATTATAACATCGTTGTTTTTAATCCGTCGAGCATGATTTTCAGAATATGGAGCGTTTTAATAACCCTTGAATCGAGAAAAAAATTTCATTAAAATCCGACAACGTTATATAGACAAATCTATATAGAAATAAGCGAGATAAAATTATAACATCGTTGTTTTTCATCAGACAATCATGATTTTTGGAATATAGAGTTTTCCTACAACTCTTGAATAACGAATTGAATTTCATAAAAATCGGACAACTATATCATATAGCTGTCATATAAAAGTCGTCAAAAATATGGATAATTGATAGAAAAATCGTCATAGCTTCGATGTTGTTTAGTCTTTATGCATTTTGATCGTCATATTTGATGACTGCAAGGGTATATAGGCTTGCCGAAGCTAGCTTCCTTTCTTGTTTTTTTAATAATTAAGAGAAATGCTGTGTATCACGTCTGAAATTTGTAACTTACGCGAACTTTGTATTTTTGTAGCCAAGATGCGTCAGCGGTGCGGAAGTGTTTACACCTGGAACTGCGCCGGCGAGCTCTATGCCATCGAGTGCTCCCTGTGCGAGCAGCGCCCCCTGTGCGCTCTCTCCGAGTTCCCGGAGCACATGGACGTGTGGCACTCCGACTGGCAAGCACCCGACGCCCAAGTCGATGAAGCCACCTGCTCATCTGAAGCCGTTCCCGAGGATGAGCTCATGCAGGAGGTGCTGGCAGAGCAGCGAACCAATGGCGAGGACAATGAGCTCAAGCAGCAGCTGGTTCTGGAACTAAATGCCACCGAGGAGGAGATGCTTCCAGATGAGTCGGTAGTTTCCGTGCAACCAGTGGATGCTCTTGCTGAAGCAGAAACATTTGAGCCGCCAGGGGAATTGGACAAGTTTTTGGATACATCCGAAGAACCAGCTACAAATGCTGAAATAGAATCCCCACGAGGCCCAGATACCACTATGCAGGTAGGTGCATATCATAAAAAAAGTATACGATTTGGGTGCTAGAATGTTGATTTATAATTGAAAACAAAAAAAGTCTTTAACTATAACTATAACTATAACGTTAGGAGGAAATCTCTAGGTTCGGACAGTTAAGATTTTCCATTTTTTTTCCTTAAAAACATTTTATACTGTTTATTTATTATTATTCAATCAGAAAAGGTAAAGCTTTAGTTTTTACTATAAAATAATTGACCTATAGTTTTCAAGTTCAATAATATACTAAAATTGAAGTCAAAAAATTGATTTTAGTTATGTTGATTTTTCTATTAATTTTATAATTTTTATATAATAATCCGCCGCACGAACACACAAGTTCGCAATTTTAGACGTTGATAAATCCTAAGCAAATATCAACTTATTTGGTTTTAATATTTTGGTTAGTCGGCTTTACTAAGCGGCGCATTGAATCGACATGTTTTGTTTATACCAATAAATGAAGGAATGCGAAAAGTTTTTCAACTATGGATTAGAATACGTTTTATATAAATTCTATATCATGGTTCGCTGAAGAGCTGAAACTTTAAAAATATATCTCAAATAATAGGCCTTCTATATTTGGATTGGAATTAAACAGTATTTAAGAAGTATTTAATACATATTGGTGATGATAAAAAGTAAAAAAAAGAGTAGGAGCGCTCAAAAAATATTGTTTAAGTCATTAACATTTGATGCATCACATAATCGTATTTACAGGCAGGGATATGCTATTAGCTTATAATAATATAATTATAATTATATTAGGCAAGATGCCTAGCTATTCAGGTATTTTTTTAATAGGGGCGAACCAATGTATTTATTTGGTTGAATCAGTTAAAGAAAGTCACGGCATTTATTATGAGAACTTTTCCCTTTTGGAGGTGCGAACTGCTCGCAAACTTGATTTGAATGGCAGTTAGGCTACCCCCTTCTGCCACCGCAGCTTAACCCGCCCGTGTCCCAACCTTCCCTTCTTCCCAGGAGGCATCCCCCGTTCCGGAGGGCCAGCGTCTCAGCAGCCAGCACATCCAGCGCCTGATCGAGTTGTACCGCTCGGAGCCGCGTCTCTGGAACCAGTCGCACGCGGAGTTCCACGACATGGAGCTGTGCCGCGCCTCCTGGCGCCGGATCACCGACGCCTGGGGAGCCTACTGCGGCCGGAGCTTCAGCGTGACGGACGTCCGGATCCGGGTGTCGACCCTCTGCCAGCGGTTCCTCAAGCAGCGGGAGCGCCTGGAGGCGGACGGTGAGCTGGACGACGCCGCCAAGTTCGCGCACTTCGACCAGCTGGGCTTCCTCTGCGAACAGCAGTCGCTCCTGAAGCGCCAGCGCCACTACGCCCGCGAGAACCGTCGCCTCTTGGAGCTCTACGAGCACTACCCGGTGCTCTGGCACAACGCCCACAAGAGGGTGCGGTGCGCGGAGTCCGTGCGCCAGCGGCAGGACGCCCACCTGGGCCTCCAGATGGCGCTGAGGCTCTCGGGGATCACCCTGTCGCCGGTGGTCATCCAGCGGCGGCTGCAGTCGCTGCGCAAGCGCTATCGCCTGGAGAAGATCAGCTACCTGCAGAGCGTGGTGGAGGGCAGGCAGGCGGAGTTCGTCTCCGGGTTCGAGCACTACGCGGAAATGGAGTTCCTGCACAAGCACATCGATCCGTACGTGTGCGCCGTGTGTGGCAAGATATTCGAGAAGCTGGAGGGCCACCAAGCCCATGTCCAGAGCAGCTGTGAGGCGCGCAGAGCGGGTGAGCCAGAGGACGCGCAGGCGGAGGCGGACCAGAGCCTGCAGAAGCACCTGAAGGTGGTGCTGAGCGAGGAGAACGAGCTGGTCAGGAAGTTGACCCAGCAGACAGTCGATCTTCTCAAGGAGAAGCTGGCAGAGGCACCCATGGTCGCCCAGTCGGTGGAGGACTCCCTTGGGAGTGGAGCCGGTGGCCAGGAGACACCTGGTCTGCCCAGCCTGGCCGAGGCCTGTGCCGCCGCCCAGTTGGACGATCCCGGCGAGCTGGACACCTTCCTGGATCCCGTGGAAGCGGAGTCCGCCGAGGGAAGAGTGAGTCTCCGGTTGAGCCCCTCGGAAACCCAGGAGCTGGTCCGTCTCTACCGGTCGCATGTGTGCCTGTGGGACCCCAACCACCTGGACTACCATGCCCGCAACCAGAGGCGACTGGCCTGGCAGGCCATCACCGAGGAGCTGACAACGAGGGCTGACAGTCGAGGTGGCCAGTCGAGGTTCACCTGGCAGATGCTGCACCGCAAGATCACCGACTATACCAAGTACTACCGCAAGGAGCGGCAGCGGCAGATCAGGCAGACGGACCCCCCACTCCAGCTGGAGCCTGTTCGAGGAGTTCCGCTTCCTGGACGACGTCCTGCCCATCAGCAGCGAGGTGCAGAAGACGCTCAGCCAGCGGGAGACGAGCCTGAAGATCATCGCCGTCTATCAGAGCAGCACGCAGCTGTGGTGCACCGACCACCCGGACTACACCAAGCGGAGGCAGCGCCAGCGGCAGCTGGTGTCCCTCTGCACCAGGCTGCAGGAGGAGTGCAACCTGCAGATGACGGTGGAGCGGCTGAAGAGCCGCCTCATCGAGTTCCGCTGCCAGTATCGCCACTGCAAGGAGGCCCGCCTGGAGGCGCTGAAGGAGTCGAGGCCGTGGACACCCAACTACGAGTACTACGAGCCGCTGCGCTTCCTCGAGCTGCACGTGGCGCCCTTCCAGTGTCCCAGGTGCCCGGCGTCGTTCAAGCGCCGCACGGACTACCTGCAGCACGAGAGGAATGTCCACGCGGAGGCGGAGAAGTCCCTCGACGGGGAGTTCTTCTACGTGCGGCGGAGAGGGAAGCGGGGCAAGTCCAGGGAGGACCAGAACATGGCGAACATCTGTCACATTTGCGGCCTGAAGTTCTCGCTGAGGAACAGCCTTCTGGCCCACCTGCGCCGCCATCTCGGCCAGAGAACCTTCGCCTGCGCCGAGTGCCCCAAGAAGTTCTTCAGCTCGACAGCGCTGCGGGTACACCAGCGGAGCCACACGAAGGAGCTGCCCTACGTGTGCGAGCACTGCGCCCGGGGATTCGTGAATGCCAGCAAACTGAACCAGCACGTCAAGCGGCACAGGAACCAGCGGGACTTCCCCTGCAACAGGTGCGAGAAGGCCTTCTACACGGCCCACGAAAGGGATCGCCACCTGCGCGCCCACCTGAACATCCGGGACAAGGTGTGTCCGTACTGCTCCCGCGCCTTCGTGGTGGGCAGTGCCTACTACGCCCACCTCAACCTCCATCGCAGCGAGAAGCGCTACGCCTGCGCAGCCTGCGGCACGAGGTTCGCCCAGTACGCCGGCCTCTACAAGCACCGCAGACGCTGTCTTCCGGCAGAGGTGATTGAGGAGTGATTTCGAGGCATGATTCCATTTGTTACTCTTTTCGGAAAGGAAATGTCCAAGCAAGCACCTTATCTACATTAAATATTGATTAATTGTTACACTAGATCATACATTTTTTCAAAAATGTTCAAAAACCTTCCTCGAGTACAAATCTTTTGAAATTTGCCTTCAGTTAAGAAGAAAATCAAATTTAAACAAATAACAAATATTGTTCGACAGAATGAATCTATGCCATATCAAAAGATATTTGAAATACATCCGAAATGAAAAATTTCAAGGATTTTAGTAAAAAGGCTACATTTGTAAATATGCTTTAAGTTGAATTGAAAAAAGTGTTCACTACTTTAAAATATTCATAGGTTATTGTTCTATTTAACATTTTAATAACTACAATTGGTTTTAAAATACAGACACATCGCGATGGCTGCAATATTTAAATAAATACCCAACAAATACACAAGTACATAAATTATTCTATTTTAGGGAAATGTATTTATCAAAAGTAATGCAATTGTAACCTATTCATACACATCTAATATGATTTTTGATCTTCGTATTTCAACAAGAAAGTATTAAAATGGATTTAAAATTATTACCTTACCTTATTATTTGTCTATAAACCCACAGCTACTGCAGCACAAAGATACCTTAGTTTATCTTTTTATTTTCAGTATGTTTTTTGTAAATGCATTAGTTAAAAAATACGTGGAAATCTGGCTAGACAGCGGACTTCAGTTGGACTTGGCGAACCGCTTTAGCTGGCGCAGGCGGTAAATATCATGGGTGGGCGGCACGGCTGTCTGCAGCTCGTCGTCACTGTCATCGCCACCGGGAAGGAGGCGTCGCCTTCGCGGCGGAATGGCCGTGACACTGTGTTGCACCCCCGTATACGTACTCGTGTCCACGATCCAGTGCACCGACTTGGCCAAATCGAAGATCTTGGGCGACAGCTCGTTGTCTCCGTTCGGAAGCGGTGCAGCTACAAAGTAAATGAATAACATGTGAATAAGATGCCAACGCAACGCAGTTGTAACACTCACAGTCGGGCAGATTGAGACGCATGAAAATATCGAAGAGGAGCTCCACGCTGACGAAGGGTCCGCGGAAGGAGTTCGGAGGTGGCAAGGTGGCGCACAAGGCGGCCAGAGCCGGCGGTTGCGGGAAGACACCGCCTGCCAGCGGATGGGCACCTGGATGAGCACATGGACGCGGCTTGAAGGGAATCATCTGCGAGAAATCCGGACGTGGAAGCGGTGGCGCAGCCTCGCTATCCGCCTCGGCCTCCCCGTTGTTTTGGCTTTGCACTCCGCCTCCCACCTTGTTTAGGATGATGCCCACATTCTGCAATTACAAACATTTTCGAAAACATATTAGGTTTCAGCAAAATGTAAGACTAACTAACTAAATGTAAGACTAACAAAGTATAAGCAACTATTTTGTAAAACTGGTTTATTTAATAAATTAATAATAGTTCGAAAATCCTACAAAAAACGATTTGAAAATAAAGTTTTGGATGGAGCCCCCCAAGTGTGAGAAAAATGTAGGGACATTAATATAAAAATGCACCTCATAATCATTGTTGCCATATGTTAGCATATTTTTAGCTTTTTTTTTTTAATTTTTAGCTTATTCTAGCTTATTTTTTTCTTCAATCTAGCTTAATTTATCTTTCAAAATCTGGCTGCACTGCTCATAATGCCTTCAATCTATCTCGCTCTCCCTCACACTTCTTGCTGTAGAAAATACTCTTGCTCTTTCTTTTTGGTTTTCGTTGTGTAAAATAAAAGCAAGAGTATCAATGTTTTTAACGTATGTATGCCTTTGAATATAGATATCTACCTAAATGTGTTTTTTAAATATGTCCACAGTTAAAAGCTTGAACAGGAGGACATGTTGCGTATCTTTTCCAAACATTTGGTCCTTTCAAACAAGAGTTTGTTAACATATTTAACAGAATTAATTTGCTACTATATAGCATGGGAGATAACTCGAGAGACTAGTACGCTATGCAAAGCGAGTAGTACAAACTAGTTATGAGCATTATAAAAGAACGCACCTCTGCATATCCTATGGACTTGAGTTCGGTGCTCGTGCAGGGGTAGAGATCCAGGAACTTGTATCGGTCCACCAGCTGGGCGGTTTCCTTGCCCTCGTACTCTTTGAGCTTCAATAAATAGGAAGTTCGGTAAGTTTACAATATTCTGCAGTACTATAGTACCACTTTAAAAAAGTGAACACCTACGTTTTCAAAGACGGCACTCCGGCGACGTTCAACCTTGACGATGCTGGACAGATCCCCAATGTTGGACTCGAATTCAAGGAAACGATTCCACACCTCCACGCTTTTGTGTGGTGACAAGCCGCCCGAGCTGAGCACGCGCTCAAATAGGACTCTCGTGTTGTTATCCTCGTTCAGATGTGACAGGTAGTCGATGTAGCACATCACGTACTCTGGACTGCCGCCAAATCGCTTCAATCCCAACTCAAAGATGCGGAAAGCGATCTCCTTGTCCTTCGAGCAGTAGTACTCCATCAAGGCGGCGGCCACAAAGATGTGGTATCGTGAGCGAACGTCTTCTCTCGCCTTCTTGAAGATGCCACGCGCAGACTTAATGCCCTCGGCGCGTCGAGCGAACTTCATGTACTGAACATATACCTGGAGGAGTTGATATCAAAATTGTAAGTTGACATACAGCAATAACATATGTAAGTGCTTTTACCAGTGTGGGATCAATGTCCGGCAGCTGCAACAGCTTGTTGTACATGGAGTGCACCTTCTCGTACTTCAACCGGCCCTCTTCAAAGTCCGCATAAGCGAAGTAGAGCAATGCATTCCGGTTAAGCACGCCGTTTATGGAACGTTCTAGTATGATGGCGCACTCGTCCGCAAATATCTTAGCCGCCTGGACGTCCTGCAAACGTATACATAAGAAATTAGCATAGGAATACACAGGGTTTGGCTTATAGTGGTAAAGTGATTAAAACGCGTGCGGCCTGGCCAAGAGCAATGGGGCAAGCGGCGACGGTGGCACAGAGGCTGCGATTCGACACCGCGTGCTCCCTTACTCGAGGGGCGACACTTCTCAACATATAAGAGACTATGTTTGAATTCGTTTTTGATCTTGACTTTCGCGCAAAGGCCAAAATCCAATCTATTTGCTTGACTACAGGAACGCAAAGAACGAAGAGGGTGGTTGTTGCAACACTAGTACGCACGCCTTTTTCGGTGAGCACGCGAGCACTGGTGTCCAGGAACTGAGAGGCCTGGTGCCACACAGCCGGATGGTGGGTCAGCACCAGCAGGCACTGCTCCGTGGCGAACATGACGCGACGGGTGACCAGGGCGGTGTCTTCGGTGCGCAACGGATTGGACTTCTCGTATGTAATGAAGCGCTTCCACAGCTCCACCTGCTTCACCTCCTCCTTGGTCAGAGTGGGAGGAACTGCGGGCAAATTTCGATTAAGGCCCTTGGTGTGATATTCCAGCTCCTTGGCCACGCGACGGGCATTCATGTAGTCCCTGGTCAGAAGAGGAACTTTAAATGGTTTTCTTGTAAGGGCTGGGCAGCTAGCTTACTTGGATCGCTCAAGACTCATCTTCTCGGATATAATCGGGTTGATGTTTTGCTCGAAGGCGATGTAGTCCTTCCACAGCTGCTCAATGCCCACAATAGGTGTCACTACCGCCTTTTGGTAGACGCGACGCACCGCGGTTATCTTCTGGTTCTCCGCATAGTTGCCTACTGCTTCGACGCCGCGTAAAAAGTAAATGTAGTCTTGCCAAATGCTAAACGAGTGCAGATCCATCCCGATCTTTTCTAGGGCGAAATCGTATGCCTGCGCCATTTTTTCTCTGAAAAAGGAATTTAGTAGGATAGATAATATTAGTATTCTAGTTATAATTATAACTTATTATACAATATCAGACCTGAGCTACAGCTGACGTGGGAAAAAATGATTAGTCCTACCCCAACCGAAAAAAAAGAGTTCTGAGTGAAGAAAGATACTCACTTGTGTGTGCTGAGACCAGACTTGGTTTCCTTCACGTAGGTGAGGTAGAGCTTCCAGAGGTCGATGTTTAATATCTTGACCAGACAGCGCTGAAAGAGCTTCTCCACGCGCTCGTAGTACCGGCTGCGCATCTCCATCTCGATGTAGAGCTTCCAGTAGCGGGCGGTGGTGGGAAACACATTAACCAGCGATTCGTAGAGGCTGCGGACCTCGTGAATGGGACGCGTTTGGGCCTCGCGGATCATTACGCTCCACGACTCGATGTCGTATGGACGCAGTTCCACAACTTGTTGGGCCCGCACCAGGCGCTCCATTCCCCATTCCTGGTGGTGATTTCGAAAATGTTAGTGCGGCTCATTAACATACTCGTACTTCACTTACTATGTCGATTTTGATCAGGTCTCTGGCCGACGACATGATTATTGCTTCCTGACTGCGCTTTTGTTGTTTTGTGCCGACGTTGTCCCACTATAATTGATTATAACTAGGACTGCTATGATGTTTTTGCAATGCGGCTTTGACCAGTGTTGTAAGACCATAGAACAATCGAAGAAAATATCGATTGAGCTTCTTTGATTTTTGTCGAAACATCGGTTCCTTGTTTAGGAATTGGTATTCATATTTGATGCTATTTATTAAATAAACTGAGTTTTTGTAGTTGATTTGAAAAATGTACTATTTTCATTAAGAAATAAAGTTCGGTTACCTCGAGAATGTATGGTGCCACATACATTTTTTTAATTGACCTAATATATACGGTTTCTTCGAATAATCAAAATTTTATATAAAATTAGTGATTCGCTTATTGCTTATTTTAGTTCATGCATTTTTTTAAAACTATATTTCTTATGATTCATTCATTATTTGTTTTTTTTTTTTTGGTGCTTATTAAGTTTTGGTTATTATCCAGTTTATGAAAGAACAGGCGATTAAAAAATTAAGAGTTGAAACAAAATACAGTTTCTAGACGCAAGCAAAGAAAAATCATACCTAAATGGACTTTTATAGGTGTCATTTTGAAGCCGACCGTATTGAGTATTGAGAATATTTTTCGACACATTTTGATGGCTTGCAATTTTTTGACAACAAAACATGTTTTACCAATTTAACTTATTATGTGTATCTACTAAGAAACTAAGCTAACGGCTAAGATAAATTGGCCATCTAGCATATGGATGTTGCCCAGTGGAAATCCACTATTATTAAATTCATTTTGAGTTTTCAATTGTTGTCTTATGGTCACACTGCTTAGTAGATAAAACCGTCGTACATTTCTGTTAGCAAAGAGGCATCCGACCCGCGAACCAATGCATAGAGTGGTTAATGAAATCGGTTTGGGGGAGAGCTGGATTTTTTAGTGAAAACTCATTGGCCGAGTGAAATTGGGGGAAAGCCATATCACTGAACACTGAAACAATCAAGCGTGGCAATCAAACGAAATCGGGAAAAACTCATGAGACTAAAAGCAAAGGCAACGAGTGGGTTTTGTTAATAACTGAATAGGCTCTCAAAAACGAAGTGAATTAACAACCCACATATGGACATACGCGAATTTCGGAAGCAGAAGCGATGACCAGCTGTTGTTCGACTGCATAGCGGTATCATTTTGGTAAGCACCTGCAATCAATACGCTCTGTTTTGTTTGTCACTCCTTTTTGACTCTCCGCCGAAGTAATTATTCAATGGCTGCAGGTATCGTTTACTGTTTCGCTTGGCTCTCTGCTTCTTTTTGTTGACGGTTTATTGACCGACAAGCCCAGTAAAAAGTAAAGCGTACGTGCACCACTCTACCCCTGCCTCTCCTTCTCCGTTACTTTTAGTGTGCTTGTGTGTGATAAGGCGTAATAAGTGTGTCACACAGACGCGCTTTGTCCCTGCAAGCATTTTCTATTGCAAAAGACACTCTTTAGTGACTTCTGGAATTTCAAAATTGTTGCCCGCGATATCTTTTTTCGAATCGCGGAGGTGTCTTTGTTCGGGATAAAATGCGCCGCTTCGTTGATACTTTTGGAAGTCACGAGTCTTTCAGAAGTAGAGTTTTTTTTTTCATATATTTAATTTTGAAATACATATATGATCTTTTTACCTTTCAAAAGTGATTCTGGGCTCTAAAACGCTTGTGTTTTCATTTAATTTCTTTCTTATTTTGTCTCCTTATGATTATAAATGCGTTCTGTTTTAGGAAAGATTCATAAATATGATCGGTCTATCGTCGGTCTCCTCCTTACGAGTAATAAGTGGTGGTTTTCTAGGCGATAAGCGATAGTTTTCTTATCCAAATGCTTGCAGGTGTGTTTAACTGTTGAAAGTGTAATGTGTGTGTGTGTTTCCCTTTCACTCACTCGCACACACTTTCTTTTGGTTCTAATTGAGCATGTATTAACCCTTACATAAAAGTACAATTTTACCACTCTTGCCCCACTTTTCTTTGTGGCTCTGTGTTTGCCTACTTTTAAGCGCCGGTCACACACTCTCTTTTAGTTTTCCGCTCCTCGCCGCAAATAAAGACGCTAATTATTTGTAACGCCATTATTTTTGCAATCGCAGTAGTCGCTTGTAGGGCAAACCCATTTCTGACCACAAACCATTTTGGAAACCATGTAAAAACCGTTATTCTTTATAATACAGTCGAGTCCCGATAATTCGAAATGGCAAGGGGATCACTTTTTTTTACGAATTAGACGGGAATTCGATTTATCGAGATTTTTTTCAAGGGAACAGAATTTTTTACGAATTATAGCGATTTTCGATTTAGCGGGGTACGAATTATCGGGATTGGACTGTAATTTAAAAATTTGAAATTCTCATATACCTAACAAGCATTTCGAGCGATTGTGTTAATAAGCCGAACTTGGGTCCTGCAAACGCTGAGTAATAATTATTAGCTCAGAGATTGAGAAACAAGAGCTTGTATGAGAATCCAAACCACATTGGTAATGTATTTCTATACTGTATGTAACAGGTTGATGAAAGGATGCATTTTCTTGGTCTGGCCATTTATGTTCTTTTGTCCGTCCGTATACACTTAGACCTTTGGAAACTATACGCACTAGCGATATAATGTTTTTGACTGATTATCTGGATTTTAATTATAGGCAGCGGAGGGTTTTTAAAAAACTTGCCACACCTACTTTTTGCATAAGCCTCGTGCACGTATCCGTCTCTCTGTATGGTTGATTTAACATGTAAATTCTAGTGATGCAATTCCACTGCTTGTTTATTTAAAAACTCGCCAACAACCCTCTAAATTCCTCGGCAGTTGTGCAAATTCTAGAGGTGAATATCCAGCGGACAGCGGTTAGCGTTAAAACTATATCACTATAGTCAAAAAGTCTTGTTGCTGTTGCAGATCGTGTATATTTATGTATGCATGATGGAACGGGTGGCATCGGACGACTATATGATTCAGCTGCTATAGGAATAAGAATAACATATCTCGTTTAATAACAAAAATTCGTACGACTTTGTATACAATTCTTATTTGCGATATTTCCAATTTATTTAAAGATTCTTGAATTATGTACTAATAAAATTTCATAAAATTTAAAACAAACTAAGAAAATGATTGTAAACAAAGTGATTAAGGGTTTTTGCACTGGTTTGACTAAAGATTTTCGCTCTTTATTTTGAAAAATAAAAAAATAACTACACCTTTATTTAAGAAGTTTTAATGTATGATATATGTACGCCATGTATACTTACAAATTTACTTAAGTAAATTATATGAATATGTTACCAAGTTCAAGCTATGTGATCCATCATCTAATCAAAATGTTTGCTAATCCTTAGTCATTAACATTTACTGCATTAATTAGGAAAGACCTGTTAAAGACCTGTTATATTACCTGTTCTTCATTCGTATAACTGCCATAGAGGTATACCAGATAATTCCGTGAATATGCAAGGTTACCTCGATATTCTGTTATATATTTTGCTGACGTGACTTTTTATTTATACCATAATAGATAACAAAACTAACCCTAAGAAACGCCGAGGTACATGCCTCTATCAAAATAATAATTACGGGGCGTGGGGGCGTTTACGACTTGTGCCTAGACTTTCGGTTGTAGGCCCAAAAGTGTTGTATCCCTGAACCTACCCTACCCTACCATTCTTCTAACGTTCTCGACGTTTTGTTGGCCTGTGTCGTTGTTTGTCGTGAGTCGGAAAATGCAAATTGGACTGAATTGGCTTGTCGAGGGGGGTGGCATGAAAGATGTTCCAGTTGCAATGATTAACGTCATGAATAAAACTAATTTTGTTATTGAGAGATTGGCTTTGCTTCGCTGAATGTAGGAGTTCAACGGCTGATAGCTGTATTACAACTTCAGATTCATTTTTAGTAATTTATTTTTAGTAACACGTAGACAAAGTTATTCAAATACGGGCTTTAATATTTTACACCAAATCAATTTTGGTTGAATACAACAAAAGCGATTTTTATTGCTCCCTTTTTAGTTTCCATGAACTACTTCATTTTAAGCAACACCAATAATCCATTTTAAAACTATTGCTTGTAATTCACGAGATGTTAACAAGTATTTTGATTGATCGAATTTATTAGAAATGGAAAAGGGTATTCAAGATTCCAATTAACCGTCCACTTTCGCCTCTCTTTACTGTCCCTATTACCATTCGATGTCGAACAAACGACAACAAATCGCGACCTGACGTGATAAAGAATAACCGCAAACCGTTGTTGCCAACAGAATTTGTATTGTTCGGTTGTTCAATAAATGTACATAATTTGAAGCACCCATCGGTGGCCAATTGGGATGCTCCACTTCCCCCTTCCTCCCTCATCGCATTCCGGTAACAATGGGCGATGAGGAGGAGCCATCAATGACAACACGTGCAGTTCGCTTCGTTGCCTCCGACGGGCAAGTTGGCCTGGAGCGGGTCACCCGTTCCATTGTCCTTCGAATCCGGCTGTCCGACTGTCTGCTGTCCGCTGTCAGTTGCCTGATTTCCTGCTTTGCTGCCCTCTAATCACCCGGATCATGTGCTCATCCGTAGGCCTGGTCGTCGAGGGCATCTCCCTCGGCAGTGGCCGCCAGTTTACTCCCCGGTTGACCATGAAGCGGGAGTACAACACCAAGTGCTTTCGGCCGGAGCGGTATCGCCACGAGGTGGCCAATCACTACAGGGACTACAAGCTGCAGCAGCACGTGGGATCCGGGTCTGGACACGAATCCGGACACTCGGCCCATCGACGGCGCAGGAGGAGAAACCGTCTCTTCTTTGCACCCGCAGTGTCAACCTCACTGGCGTCGGGGGGAAGTGCGCAGTTCCGCGATGTGTGGCCAACCCATGTGCACTACTTTCCCAGGTGGGTTGGTGGGTTCGTAGGTTGATGGGTTGGTGGGTTGGTGACTTGGTGGGTTGTGGTTCGGGTGCAGCCCACTGGCAATTTGCGCCTGTGAAGCGCTCTCGGGCGTGGCTCTTTGACAGTTTCTGCCATAAATATACTCGTAAGTTGGCTGCCTGAATAGCATCTCCGCCGTTCGGGTTACATGGACATGGACATGGCCTCCCCGTCCCTGTCGGCGGAAGTATCAGGCTGCAGTTGAGTTTCGGTTTTCACCTGCAAACCTTCAGCGCGACAGCATCCCCAAGCAGGTGCAACTTGCAGCTTCAGATGGCTTTGCCCCTTGTCACTTCCAGGCCAAATGCTATTTGAATCCACTCGCACATTTCTTGAGTTTGACAAGGACGAATTTACCAAAGACTTTTCACTCACTGTCCATTACAGATAGTTCTTCTGATGGCTTTGGTAAGAGTTTTTGGAAAGAATACTCGTTTGTAACATAAACTTTCTGAAAATAGTGACGTGTACGCAAAGTATGTTTTAAGCTCGATTGAGAGAATTACATACATATATTTTTGTGAGATTTTAGGTACCAAACTACCCAGTAAGTAGTGTAGAATCAGTTACAAGGAAAACGAATTTATGTGGACGCTAGCACTTTGCCACGAAATGTTCTCAATTCTTCAAAGTCTTCCGAGTGTTTTGTGATCAAGACGTTGACTCCAAGTCATTCGAGGTCTAAATACATATGGCATGCTTTTGTTACTTTAATGCAAGATGACGCAAATATCAAAGCAATGGCGTAATTGCACGCTATTTCGGAACAGAGTGCCTCGACTATCAGATACCTTTCACTTTATTAAACCATTTTTATTTTGCAAACCACTGTGTTCTTTGCGAATTACTCACTAAAATGTTGTGATCATCATACACTTTCCAAATAAACGTGCGCTGGGTAGGCGTTTCTAGGATCTACGTGATCAATTTCAATATTCTAATCTCTTAGGTTTTTGAGATTTCCACGTTTATACGGTCGGAAAAAGAGACATTCCTGATCAAGCATATTTATATATTTTATGAACAGAAGAGGAGCGAACCATGGAAGACAAGGTAGTTAAAGAGAACCTTTAAAACAACTACTAATTTCCTGTTTTAATTCATCCGGCTTAAGTCAAAGTTTTACTAATTTAAAAAAAAAAAAAAAAAAATAACAACTTCTACTGTATTAGTTTTAGTTTAAATGCTATTGATGAACGGACAACTTACAGCTTAATTAATTTGCACTCTAAATTGCGTACTTCCACGGTAACAAAAGAGACAAACTCCCAAAATATGGCTGGTGGTACTCGTATTCCCCTGAGGAGCAGCTTGCTTGGCTTTTTAATTATATCACCCTGTGCGGGCAGATATCCCGTCCCGTCCGCTTCGGTTATAGGTACAGGTTATATGGGTTATGGGTTATGGGTTATGGGTTATGGGTTATGGGTTAGGGGTTATGAGAACGGACTAGGGACTACGGGCTACGGGGTTACGAGCTTTGGGTTCGGACTTTGGGCCGCGGGTTAAAGAAGCTCGCTTGTTTGCCCGCTTTGTTATCGTACGTGTTTGCATTTGGCATTGTAATTAATGTGTTGTTTGGTTTGGTTCCATTCTATTTTCTGCCCACGATGTGGCTGTGCCTGTGAATGTGCCCCCGTCTAATTGGTGCTTCCACTAATTACAGATCCGACGATACAACGTATGCGTCCCGCGGCCGACGGACAGTGTGCTCCGGTGAGCCGCCCGACGACACCTACAACGACGCAGTGCGTCGCATAAGGAGTGCCCACAGCTGCGAGCAGCTGCGCCACCTCGTCCACCGCATTCCATGGAGGAGCAAGTGCCGAAGTGCCAGCAGTAATGCCGTGCCCGTGGCCCCCGCGCATGGAAGCCAAACCAGCGAAACCAGCGACACCAGCGACAGAAGAGTCCGTGTAAATTATAAGCCGAATATTAATAAGTGGCCCGCGGAAAGCCTACAAAAGCAGCAGAAGCAGCAGCAGCAGCAGCAGCCGCCGGTGGACTTCTACGGCTACCTGCAATTGGCCAGCGGCTATTACGAGCGGGGGTTGCAGGCCAACATTAAGTACCTTCAATCGATTGGCCAGCGGCAGTGTAATGCGATAAGTCCGGTGCCGGGTTTATTCTTGGACGCAGTGCAGCGCGGCGAGAGTCCGGTCCAAAAGCTCACCGGCCGACTGGTGTCGCTGCTCAAGAGCTTGCGGCGCAAGGCAGCCAAATCGGCCAAAACAGCAAAGACAGCCAAGGAAAAGACGGGCGATCCGGTCATCTGCGTGAAGGTCAAGCAACAGAAGGAGGAGCGGGAGCCAGGGGAGGAGGAGCTCTTGGACAACTCGGAGGAAGGGCCAGCAGAGCAGTCGGCTAGCATGTGCGACTATTATGCCACAGACTGCACAGCAACACAATCAGGAGAAGCCACAGCATCAGAGGCCTCATTCGCCAATTCATCGAGTAGAACTGTAGCCCAGGCCACATCCGCTGCATCCGCTGCATCCACTGCGTCCGGTGACCACCGACGCCTCTACGAGATCATCGACAATCTGGGCCACCTTGGCATCGGGGATGCAACCGGCAGTCGCAGGCAACAGCAAACGCTGAAGCTGCCCCAGATCTCGTTCACCGACTGCACCGCTCAACAGGTGGCGCCGCACTGCTCCAGCTTCAACATCGTCAGACTGCAGATACCCAACGAAGCCAGACCACCGAACCTCGGCCTGAGAGCACGTAGAGTCAACACATAGAGGAACAACAATCGGCAATTGAATCGAATAGAATCGCATTAAATCGAATCGAATGACCCGAGCGAACTGAAAGCGATAGCAGAACGTAGAACCGAACCGAACAGAATAGAACCAAACGGATCCTAAAGACGCGCGCACGTCAGCGGAAATCGTTTATATGCTAAGTACAAAACAACAACAAAACCGAAACCAAAACCAAAAACAAATAGCAAATAGCAAACTAGCAAAATAGCAAACTAGCGAAGCTCGCGCTCTCAAACAATGGTTGTTGCTGTTGTCGCTGCCAACGTCGTTGAAAACAGCAGCAGCGCGAGCGGTGACAGCAGCGGTATCGTTGGAGGTGCCGCCGAGTCTCCATCATTTGTCGGTGGCCCACAAGCGGCAGCGGTCAAATACAATTACACTGTACAGGACACCACAACAACAACAACAACAAAAACAACAGTAACAGCAACAATAACAACAACGACTGAATCGGAGGCGGAGCACCATCCGAAGGATACTCACACGGTCACGGATAATCAAGAGCAGGACATAGACAACAACAATCCCAGCAGCGACATTAGCAACATCGCCAACAACAACAACAACAACATGACGGATGCGGCGAAAGGAGCCGCAACGACAACTGCAAGCACGACGGGATCGGAGGCCAACACCATGACCACCAAGAGCGCCGTCAGCCAGCGGAACGTGGACATAAAGATCGAGAAGACCAACAACATGGAGGCGGCCACCCAGCAGCTGACCAAAAAGGTCCTCAAACTGGATCTGGGCGGCAAGAACCTCGACGAGTACCCACTTAAGTCGCCAAAGTCACCCATATCTGGTTAGTATACCCAATTGCAGTATTACTACTTTGATCTCACCAACAGACTCGATTTTGCAACTCAATGTTTTCAATAGTTTTCTGATCTTATTGACACAAGTATGTTAAACCCTACATTTTCTATTTCATTTGTACTATCCCCGTTTTGTTTTTTAATGTAAACCATATTCTTGTACCCTTTACTCGGAAAGTAAAACTATATACTGTAGGTATTTGTTGAAAAGTATGTGACAGGAATCACTGGTGACCCTATAAGGCATGCATATTATTGATCAGGGGTGCCTTATTAATTAATCAATCCAAAATTCTGTACTATCAAAATTGTGGCAGAAGTGGGCGTGGCCAAAAATGCACTTTCTATATTCTAGTTTTTGAACTTTCTGACAACTTTACGTAAATCCTGACGTACAGGAAGACATAGCTTTGAATCGTCTGATGATTCCAATCAAGAACACGTACACACTTTATGGGTTTGCAAGAGATTATTTTTACCTGTTATGTATGTTATGTTCCAGCAAGTACGTAAACCCTTTTGACTATCTGAGGAACGGATTTAGTTAGAACGGACCCCTATGTCATATAGCTACCAAAGAAAAAATAGGAAAAATATTGAAAAAATCTTAACTTTAATTCGTACTCGTATCTCGAATAAGGTATGTAAATAATAAGATGTAATAAATATTTGGTGCTTTTTATACCCTTGCAGAGCAAAGGGTATTATAATTTCAGTCAGAAGTTTGCAACGCAATGAAGGAGGCACCTCACACCCTATAAAGTGTATATATGTATTCTTGATCAGCATCACGATCTGAATCGAGATCCGTCTGTCTGTTTCTATGTAAACTAGTCTCTCAGTTTTGAAGCCATCTTGCTGAAACTTTCCCAAAAGGTGTGTAGTTATTGCACGCAGTATATAAGTCGGAACGAACCGGATCGGCCGACTATATCGGATAGCTCCCATACGAGAGATTGAAAAAAAAAATTCTCACTCCGTTGTTTTTGATCGGATCGACTTGATTTCTTCCAGATGGTGTTTACTGTCGAATTTCGGATTTAATTTTTTCAAAATCGGATAACTCTATCATATAGCTCATAGGAAAAATATATATAGAATCAATGGAAATTAATTGATAACGTCATTGTTTTTCATCACACGACTATGATGAGTATCAACTTTTTTAACTAGCCTTGATTTATAAAAAACAAGAAAGGAAGCTAGCTTCGGCAAGCCGAAGCTTATTTACCCTTGCAGTCATCAAATAAATCGAACAAAATACATAAAGGCTAAACAACATCGAAGCTAAGACGATTTTTCTATTAATTTTCCATATTTTCGACTATAGATCATATGGGAGCTATATGATATAGTTGTCCGATTTTGATCAAATTTAATTCGTAATTCAAGAGTCCTTAGAAAACTTTATATTCCAAAAATCATGCTTATCTAATAAAAACCAACGATGTTATAATTTTATTTCCATTATTTCTATATAGATTTTTCGATCTTTCCTATGGCAGCTATAAGATATAGTTGTCCGATTTTTATGAAACTTTTTTCTCAATATAAGGGTTGTTAAAAAACTTGATATTCAAAAAATCATGCTCGTGGGTTAAAAAACAACGATGTTATCAAATTTATTTCCATTAATTCTATATATATTTTTCGATCTCTCCTATGGCAGCTATATGATAGAGTTATCCGATTTTAATTTAATCTGAAATTCAATAACAGTTAGAAAACGCCATCTTGAAGAATTCAAGTCGATCTGATAAAAAACAACGGCGTGAGAATTTTTTATTTCATTCTCTCGTATGGGAGCTATCCGATATAGTCGGCCGATCCGGCTCGTTCCGACTTATATACTGCGTGCAATAACTATACACCTTTTGGGAAAGTTTCAGCAAGATAGCTTTAAAACTGAGAGACTAGTTTACATAGAAACAGACAGACGGACAGACAGACAGACGGACAGACGGACAGACGTACAGACGTATTCCGACTCTGCTCGTGATGCTGATCAAGAATATATATACTTTATGGGGTCTGAGGTGTCTCCTTCACTGCGTTGCAAACTTCTGACTGAAATTATAATACCCTTTTGCTCTGCAAGGGTATAAAAATTCATAAAAATCGGACAACTATATCATATAGCTGCCATAGGAAAGATCGAAAAATCCATATAGAATTAACGGAAATAAAATGATAACATCGTTATTTCTCATCAGAAAATAATAATTTTTGGAATATAGAGTTTTCTAACGACTCTTGAATAACAAATAAAATTTCATCAAAATCGGACGACTATATCATATATGGAATATTAATAGAACAGTCGTCGTAGCTTCGATGTTGTTAAGCCTTTATGCATTTTGTTCGAAATATTTGATGACTGCAGGGGTATATAAGCTTCGGCTTGCCGAAGCTAGCTTCCTTTCTTGTTGTTTTAGCAAATTTAGGATAACAGTCGTTGAATAGTATTTATAATGAAAGTTAAAAATATATTCATAAAAGTAAAAGTTATAAACTTTTTAAATGGTATAAAATAAGTAATGGATGGTTTGACAGCTAAAGGATAAAGTTATATGATTTTGACAAAACATCATTAGCATTCCTAAAAAATGTCATTTTACAGTTTTGAGAGTGGTTCAGGAAGAACTATAGTACTGGAATTTGATATGTTTAAAAATATAACTTACTTTGTTTAAATTGGACGATGTTTCTATTTATTACCTATCTATAATTTGTGCTATTGTTCCAATATCAGGTATATGATATAGTCGTGTGATTTTTATAGACATTAATTCGTAGTTCAGATTTTGTAAACAACATCAGGTTTAACATTTTCAAGCCTGTATGTCTGAGTATTGTTTATTTTTATTTTCTGTTATTATTCCGAATGTTTCTATGGCAGCTGTATAACATATAGTCGTCCGATTTAAATGAAACTGAATTCCAAAGCTAAAAAACAATGACGTTGTTAAAATGTTTGGATCTATGTATTTTTTTAATGTGTCTTTTCGATATTTCCCAGTCAGTAACTAACTACCTGACTAGTTACACAAACTAACGGACAAACTGAAATATGAAAACCGACTCAAATATCATGGTAATCATGTTGGCTAAAATTATATAAGTCTATGCAAGTAGACCCAAACTTAATGTGCAGATACGCTTATAAAATGACTCATGGTTTCTATATCTCATTGAAAAAATAGGAAAAGGCAAAGTCAAATACATTTTTTTTTAAGCGGCTGTGCATAATAGTGAGTAATGGGTACTGAAAATTCTAAAGTGAGCTGTTTTTGGTTTTGTTTAACTTTTATCGTTTAAAATTTGGTACAAAGATATCGTTTATGTAAAATTGTTGATTTTCAAGTTTGACTTATCAGCTTCCTCAAAATTTTCGCTCTTTAATTGCTCTTGGCCTCTTTTTGTTCACTCGCTCATTCATTTTTGTATGAATGCTCGTATGCACATACAAACGTTTTCTGTTTGCGCCAGCAATTTGACCTTACTGCCGGGCTTATCACATTTATTATTATTAATTTGATTGCTGCTTGATTTGTTTCTACGGCCGGCGGCTCACTCTGTTCTGTTGGTATTTGCAGCACGTTTGCCGCATCAAACATCGCTGACGTCATCCGTGGACGTGGAGGACCGGAAGACATTACGAGAGGCCTTATACCAGGGTATATTCCATCGCCACCGACGCACCATCTTCGCTGTGGGCAGCTTCCTGCGAATGCTGCGCAGCCGCAACTCGCAGTACAACACCATTCGCAGCTCGTCGGAGGGAGAGGACATCGATGAGGTTAGATAAGACCTAAATATGATCCCCATGTATGATCCCACGCCCATTCCGCACATCTCCTTCAGCAGCAATTGAAGCATCATCCGCAGGAGCTGGAGCAGACGCCTGGCCAAGAAGTAACGAGCACATCCACGACATCATCATCCGGACAGCAGCGACCATCGGATTCGGTTTAGATGGCATAGTTTCATTTCGGACTTGTTTACTAGCCAGCCGCCCATTCCGATCGACAGTCGCATTATCGATTATCGTATTATTAACTGCTATTCCACGATTAAACGGTTGCACTCCGTGCATCCGCGACTAGCCAGACTAGCCATCCGTTGTGTTAGCATGTAGTGTGCCATATATTAGTTCCGTAACTAGTACTATTGCCGACGGACCACGACCTGACTCCCATACCATGCGATACCCATACCAAAACCAAAATCAACATTCCCGAGGAACCGCTGCTTCATCTCAATCATTCTTCGAGCAGATCGCCTTATTGTAACTGCGATCCACTTAAGCTTAACTTAACAAATACTATGCTATATATGAGAACTAAAATTGTTTGTATTGAATCCCCATTGCTTAACCGCCCAGCACTCCGTATTTTAGTAACTGATACAGTCTACAGCCCGTTGTTGCATCACTGATCACTGATCATTAGGTTTTTTAATAACCCCGTATACAACTAGTTGATCCCATTAGTCATTTAAGAGAAAATAAAAATGTTCACCTAGGTAAGTCAGTGCAATACAAATTAAGTCCATACACGTCACTTTGAATTTTTTTTTATGTAATACTATCAAAAGCGAGAAAAGTTGTAACCCAATTATTTTTTCAATTAAACTGCTTAGTTGTATTTTAAAACCGAGGAAATTTATAAAATTGAAAATAAAACACAAATGCGGACTTAGAGGTGCAATATATACATATGTGTGTAGATTTAAAAACGCTTTAAGACTAAACTTTACATTTTTTTGTGCTATTTATATTTGCATGTTTTGCAATATTTGGTTTTACATAGACGAATGAGAAATACTGGAAGGAATAAAATAATAATTTCCTATTAGCGCATTTTAATTAAAGTCTTTTGTTTGTGGTACATTTTCTTTAAATATAACCAAACAAAACATACAGGGTTTCAAAGCTTAAACATTACCGAACCTAATAATCAATACACTTTCAACAATTTAAGTCACAAAAAACGTCAAGAGTAAATTCCTATGCTTATTTTGCGATAAGGTTCCTTATCTGCATTTAAATAAAATCAGAGTGCTGGGTAGAGAAAGAGTCAAGAGGTAATTGTTTTTCTAGCGATTCTTCAGTTAATTACAATCTGTTTTATATATGTATGTCATTGACAATTTGTTATCATTCGTATTTCATTACAAAGGGAACAAAACTTTTAAAGACACTCGTCGAAATAATATTTTTAAACGACGTACAAACTGATATATTGCGCCTAGACCTAATATATATGTGTAGCTACTATATACGATTTATAAACCCACATATACTGATATATTTGAATGTATATGGCCTAGTAATAGAACATACACGATTGTTGTTGTCCCCATAAACCTACTATAAGTAATTAATTTTAATTTGCGATCCCAATCTTAAAAAAATCTATAAAATAGTGTTAACATATATTTTAGAGCATTTTTTTATTCATGGTACCTTACAAGCGAGCTAAAACTAAATAAATAGCTAGTGGTTTAAGAAGACATTTTATACAGGACAAAAACAATTGAAGTCGATTTTTGAAACAAGAGGCAACCGATATTTGCTAAACCGTACCGTTCCGTAGATTACTTCTTATGACACCCCTTGATACCGCGATACGATTCTTCGAGTTTTAATTTCAATTGGAAAAACAATAAAACCTAAAATATTGCTAGTTACTGTTTGCCGTTTGTTTCATTGATTCACCACACATTGCATTTCTTTATATCTTGATCCTTTCAGTTCCTTAGGCGGCGCGGTTCGAAGCTCCTTCGCTTTCCGCATCTCTTCGATCGCTGATCCCGATCCTGATCCATTCCAAGCTGCGAGACGTAAGGCAAAGTTTTATTGGACAGCGGTCAGCCGAACATGGGCCAAGCGATGGGGAGGAGGTTTATGGCTGGCGCGGGCCAAAGAGGTGGCAAGGATATAGGTACTACTGGCCAACTATTGCCACCAAGGCTAGTAAGGAAAGCCTGGCAAGAATAAAATACACGACATATTAGTAAAATGGTTTCTTTGAATGTGGGTTTATACCACCAAATTAACGAGCTTGGGGAATGTTTATTTTAAAACATACTCGAACGTTATTTATATATTATTTATATTTATACAAACATATATTTATAGATTTATAAAAAGATCAATTATTACCATTCTTTCAATTACGAATTAAGTTTTTTAAAGATATTGCGAAATTCAAATTTAATTTATTTTGAACCATCTAATTTGTGGCATAATACAGAAAATATTTATCCTCACGTTTTAAGTATCGAAACACCCATCTGAAAAAATCTCCTTTTACTGATTTCGGTTCAACTTGATAACTTATTCCCATTTACTTTATTAAGTTTATGTATTTTTAATTAATATACTAAGTCTTACAAAATGCAACATTTAAAGTTCAAATAAAAAAGTAAAAAAAAGGCTCGGTCTCATTTTCAAAAATGTTTAACAACAATTTACTGATAAAATCAAGGAAAAGATTATAGGAAAGGTTCATACTTAGCTTCGATGTGAAATTATTAGGTTTTTGCTAAAAAAAACGATTTACGAACATTTCTAAAAACCAAATACATTATTACGTTATTGTCGTCGGTAAACTCTGTGGGGTTAAGACAGCTGTTTAAGGTAGGTTACTTTTTAGAAGTTGCTTTCAAAAAAGATGGATTCTCTTCTGAAGAGTTTCGACCTAAGGTTTGTATTGCTTTTAAACCTTACCTGCGGAGGCGGAGCGGCAACCACATATGTGTCTTCGTCGACGGCCTTCTGGATCGCTGTTCTTATGTGCGACACTTCCTTCAGCTTCTGCGGAGTAACCACCACCTTGCTTTGCGAGTTGGGCGGCGCCGGGGGTCCCATCAAGTGGGTGGGCGTGACTATTTGACGGCGCCACCTTGTCACAGGTGTGGCAGAAGCCGAAACGAAGAACAGCCACAAGATGGTCAACTGCCAGCGCATGACGTTGGCTAAGAAATGAAAACTGGAAGTCTGGAGATCTAGCAAGCCATAGAATAACCGATGTCAGCATTTTTCGCCTGACCTTATGGCGATTCAACAATCAAAACGATTTCGTTTGAGAATTTATTTCTGTGTTGGCAGTGAACACGCAAAAACCGTGTTCTGTAAAAGACTTTTTACATATCTCTGGCCCAAGGTTTGGGTTACAAAACGCATTACACTAAGCAGCTAGATTAAAGAAAGCATACCAAGCCAAGATGTGCACACGCAGGCATCATTTATGGATTTGCCTCCTCGGCAGGCGCATCCTGCGGCTCATCCTTGATATGCACATCGTCATCCTCCTGGTCCTCCTTGCTGTTCTCATGGAGCAGCACATACTCGCGCGAGCTAAAGCCAAACTTTATCACGTCCTTCTCCATCAGTTCGTAGTACTTCCTCCCGTCGATCTTCTTGTTGTTAAGGAAAGTCCCATTGGCGGATTCCAGATCGATCAGGTATAATCGCACGCGCTTCCCGTGACTGCCATCCTCTCGCTCAAAGGGCACCAGTCGGTACTGCAGGGCGGCATGCTGTTTGGAGCAACTGGGGTGATCTACTGCCAAGTCGACGACTTTACGATCCCGTCCCACTAGAAAGCAGCTTTGCCGATGGATGTGCAGCGTGGGGAGTGCCGTTTCGCCCTTAAATGGGTAAAGCCTCCAGCGCCGCTTAGGTTTGCGGGCCTCCGGAGGCTCAGAGTATTTTACCACCACGCCATTCACCTTGTTGGTGTCTTCGGTGAGGGCGCCACTTAGTCCCAAGTTCGGCTTTTCCTTTTCCACCGGCTCCTCGTCGGCCGCCGAGGCTTTTGCGTCGCCCTGCTTGCCCCAGTCGTACTGCTCGTCCTCATTTCTGTTGCGATTGTCGCGACGTTGATTTCGTTGGCGTCCCTGGCCAAAGTCGCGTCCTCCGCGGTAAAAGTGTTCGCGTGGACTTTGACTGCGACTGAAAGGAAGACAATTTATGTTAACTAGAAGTGGGTCCATCTTTAATGTTGGGAAACTTCATTAGGGTGAATTGAAAACGCGTTCTTTACACAACGGGACTCTCAGTTCCCGCCCAATTTCCATCTATGTATTAAATTCTGGGAATTTCATTTGAGCAACCTACCGAACTGGCCTCTTATCAGGCGATCTCCGCTGGCGATCCCTATCCCGCTCCCGATCCTTGCGGTCGCCGCTCCTAGAACGCTGTCGGCGTTCCTTGCTGCGATCCCTTTCCCGTCCGCTGCGCTGCATGTGATTGTCCCACTCGCGTTCGCGGTTGCGCTCTCTGTCGCGCTGTCGATCCCTGTCCCTTTCGCTGCGATCCCTGGAACGACTGCGGCTGTGCCGGCGCTGTCTGGAGCTGTTTCGATGTGAGTTGCTGCGTTCCGGGCTGTCCCACTTGGAGCGCTGCTCTTGCACGTCCTCCGAGGGCTTCATTGGTTGTTTGGATCGCTTTTCATGGTGCTCCGGGGATTCCCTCGGCTTTCTGCTGGGCTTCGACTTTTTTCTGCCGGGCGAGGGGCTACTGTGACTGGATTTCTTGCTCACGGATGAGGAATCCGATGAACTAGAGGATTCGCGGGCCACCTTTTGTTTGGCTTTCTTTGATTTTGACGAATTGCGCTGGCTTGCTTTGATGTCCTCCTCGTCGCCACTGAAGGACTGCGGCTCCTGATGCCGATCCCGGCTGCGTCGCTTGCCCATTTTGCAGATAAAGTGCGTAGGCTTCCCCGAAATAAAAAATGTTTTTTTTTTATGCCGCCAGCTGCTTCAATGAGTGTGACCAGGGCGGGTGAAATACTATAGAACAACCCTGTTGAAAAATATCAAATGGATGCGTTTTTATAGCAACGAAAATCCTAATAAAAAGTTTAACAGCTAAAAAAATGAGTGTAACCTTATAATAACAACAATATAACGTAAAAACGTATTTTGTGAATAAAAATTCAGCAAAAGATGCGTAAGGAAAAAAAAAAGAAAATTACCTGGATACTAGATGCCGAATATCAAATGTGTTTTTCTGTACACATGTATTATGATAGAAGTTGTTGAGGCGGGCATTAGAGTTCAAAAAGATACACCGCCAATCTGAACATCCTATAAGCTGATATCTACATAAATAGCAGCAAAAAACCGAAGAGGCTCTGAAATTTGAAGGTTTAATTTATTGTTTTACCCTTTACTAGATTTACATATTAGTTTAACAATTTATACATTTTAATACATAGAAAAAGATTTTTTGTCTTTTCAAAAAGTCACAGCATATATTTATGATAGCTCTAAATTTCCAAATGTATAAATGCTGCATATAATACTATTCATGTTAAGGCGGGTGGAACCGTAACTTAAACCGTTTTACCAGAATTGGAATATCCCAAATACTAGCAAATTGAGAGTGCCAAATTAGGCCGCCAGCAATTGGTCGGACCTGGTCACACAGACAAAAAGCCGTGCGAAATCGAGCGAAGTTTTAAGGAATTTCGGTGGCCATGCCATGAAAGTTATATTATAATCATCCGGACCGGACCGCCATGCTGTCTACGGCCAGCAGCAGCTTAAGTAATTAGCAGCTGTTTTGGTCGCAGTTGCCAAACCCACAATCAAGTGCAAAAAAGCGTCCTTTGCGGAGACCAGCGCCTTTTAAGCCACGATGACACCGTTCGATGACTTTGTCTATCTCATTAATCATGTGTTGCTGGGCGAGGAGCCGGTAAGTGGTTTGCATGCTGCCGATCCCCGACAGTCACTGACTTCGTCCCTATGCAGACCATTGAGGATTTCATTCTGCTGGTGGGCACTTTGGTGGCGTTTATAGCCTTCATCCTGTGGTGCTGCTTTCCCATACAACCGAAGGTGCGTTCGCTAGAGATCGTGAGATACAGTAAACCCATTAGTTGTATTCCCCCAGCAGGAGCCTGGTCCCCATCGCCAGTTCACGTGCAAGATTATTCAGAACCCCATCAAGGCCTTCGACGCCTCCACCAGCACCGATGATGCACCTAACCCGGCAGGTGGATCCGGAACTGGAGGCTCCACATCCAACATGCAGTACAATGGGAGCAACAGCGGCGGTGGCAGTGCAAGTGGAAGCTACAGCAAGAACGGCACAGTCGCTATGCACAATTACTATGTTAAGAACGGACACCACTGCTGCACCTAATATTGATCATCCCAACTAGCCACTGCCCATGTCCCAGGCAAAGCGCAGCCATACCGTGTGCGGCGGTGTATCGATTGAGATTTGTGCCAATTGGTCCGACAGGTCGCTAGGCGGCAGCTTAAAGCTGCTCGTTCGTATTCGCAGGCACATTTGAATTGTAATTGCTCAGACTGATTTGTTTATGGAACACAAGGAGGATGACGAGGAGGACAGGTACCAGGGTCAAGGCCAAGCACACAGTTTTTAAAACTTCCTTGATATCCTTAAATATTGTGTGCATTTGTTGACATACCAAATGTTGTGTGCGTATTTGTGTAAAAAAAGGAAAGCTGGGTGTAAAAACCAAGCCACTAATTCTAAGTATTTATTTGTGTAAACGATTCGCTTGGCCCCCGAGAAACTTCAAGACATTTGCCAACACATTGTGTGCAAAAAAACAAAAGCCCTTAAAATAGCTATCAATTATGTTTAGTCGGGGTGGAGTTCTTAAGCGTCCCCTCAGCTATGCATATATACATTTATATATCTTAAAGATACATAATGTACACACCCAGATACACACAAATTAATTAGCATAAGTATTCGCCCTAAAATTGCTTCTGATTTATTTTTATTTGATGTGTATTACGGTGTATTTGATCTCATTTAAAGACTTTGTGATTTTACTTCAAAATAATCCCCATACTTCTTTAATGTGAATGGTTTGTAAACCCCTCTTAAAAGCAAATGAAACTCAAACTTTACGACAAGCCGATACCCAAGTGTAACTGTTTTACTTTAATTTTGACGCCGGGGTACAATCAGTTAATCAGAAGCCTCTCGAGCTGGTTATCAATCCACTTGCACGCTATTGATTGATTATTCGTAATGAAAGTCAGGTTCGGTAACATTTGTCTTACGATGTATTTATAAATTAATAACAATGGTATCAAGGGTTAAGACAACGTTAACAAATAGTCCTTACAGCACTAAGCACGCGTGGAAGCGCGGAATATCAACATAGGGTTTTGTGGGTGTTTTTGGATTTTGTTGTTGTTGAGTTTGTACGGCCCTTGGCAGGAAGTTTGGTGAACGAAGTGGGCACTTTCAGATACATATGTATACTCGTATGTGTGTGTATTATCCTCTTAACTGATAATATCCCGATTTGGGCTTTGGCAACGGTTCAAACATTTGTGGATGGTACTACAGGCTATGGAATATGCACTGAGTCATATGTAGAATTAATTCAACGCGAAATAAATAGAAATAGTTGCTTTATCGTCTAAACCTAAAGACAGTCTTAGGCAATAATCAAAGTGTAAACTATGGTAACAACAAAAAAAAAACAGGTTATACTCGTATGCTACTTCTGTTATGTGATCGAATATACAAATGATAATTACAAAACAGCTAAATCGTCAAGATCTTGAACTTATCATTTTAGTTTCTCAGACTTAAGCAAATCTAAAGTTAACCAAAATATTCCCAAGTGATTTTAGGACCCGTAGCGGGTTTCAGAGTAATAATCTCCTGGTGCCAGCACCAAAAGTATTGGGCAAGGTTGGTTTTCTCCTACTTCCGTGGGTTTCCAGACTCCAGACACCATCACTAGCTACTGCAGTCTCTTGGGAAGAAGACGTTCATCTCGATGAGGATCTGGAGGACGATGAACACTCCGTAGACCGTGAAAAGAGCCACGCCCACTCGCTTTGTGAGGCGGTAGCCACTGAAGCTCAGGATCACGAAGAGCGCCACCGTGGAGACGATCAGGATCAGGATGTTGTACTCGATGCCCTGGGTGCCCACCTGCTGGGGCTCCCCGGTGCTGTAGTGGATGCAGTTCTTGATGAACCACGGCACTCCCAGGGACAACAGGATGGCCAGGGAGTTGGCGCCCAACGAGTTTGAAACTCCAATGCCGTTTTCACCTGAAAATGTTCGGAATACATCATTTTATATTACAAGAAATTTTTTATTAAGATTTAGTTTTATATTTTCCTAGAAAATGAAAGTGAACCTTGCTTTTTTTCAAAATTGTTGTAAGTTAATGACTATTTGTATATAAAACAAGGCCAATCGCTTTAGGATTCCCTTAATATTATATTATATGTATGTATATACAATATCCATTTTTCTGTACTAGTAATGGTGTATATAATCTATTACAACATTCTAAAACTTTTTTTTTGGTTCCTCAAAACTTAATCAATTGAAATAAACAAGGTTTCACGAAACAAAATACTTTTCTGTATATTTTAAATTGTTTTGAAGTAAATGTGATAGTTAATTCACCACTTACCATTTCTTAGCGAAATAAGACTGGAAACGGCTTCCGGCATGGTGGATCCGGCGGCCAGGAAGGTGAGCCCCATCACAATGGTGGGCACGTGAATAGCCACACCGAAGGCAGTCAGCATCCAGACAATTAGGTAGGCATTCCCGCCGATGCACAGGATGCACATGATGAATGACAGCGGGTAGAGGCGGCGGTGCTTCATCGGATGCGGGATCAGCAGCGATAGAGTGAACTTGATGGGGAAGACGAAGATCCACCAGAACTGCTTCCATCCGGATTTGTCGCGCGGGTAGGCGTATATGCTCTTGGGCATTCCGTCCTCCTCGTCGTCCTCGCCATTCCCTAATAATACAACAATAAATAAATGGTTATAGATATTTAAAGTTGTGTAATTAGAAACTAAAAACCTACAAAGCTTCGAGTGTGTCAGGTTGGCCGTGGAGGACATGGAGGATGTGTTCTCGGGAAGATTGACCACGAAGAGGCCATCGCCGGACAGTGGATCCTTCTTTAGCGGCAGCTGAGCCTTGGCACTGTTCTCTGGGGGCTCCGTCAGGTCTGAAGTATACAAGTATAGTAAATAATTTTGAATGTACAAAGTAATGTAGTGATACAATCAGGGTCTTTTCTCTTCAGTGGTCGCAGCAAAAGTGATCTTTATTTATGCTATAATGCTAAGCCTATTTCACAATCTCGTATGTGCAAGAGAGAGACGTACATACTTAGATATGGGTTTACATGGTGTTTCTTAAAGGAGTAAGGGGGACATAAAGGATGACTTAACTTAAGGGATACACAATAACGTTAACTGCTTATCAAGCCGTGCTTAATAATAGGGCTGCTTGCTACAGTAATTCCCTCAATGAACTCACCATATCGCGTGGAGAAGCAGCAGTTCATCCGATCCTCGATAAACACCCGGATGGCCGGCATGAACTTGTTGTTGTTGAACGTGATCAGGTAGTAGAGCACCAGGAATCCCATCATGATGCAGGACTCCGTGAAGCTAATGCTGCCTCCCCAGGCCAACACCAGCAGGATGATCGTGTTGAAGATGTAAATGAAGCAGTCGCGGGCTATTGGCCACCAGTCCAGCTGCACCGGCTGTAAAACAAAATCAATTTGGTTTTTTAATTATTTATTGAAGGAAAACATCGGGCGCAATATTCGAATAGTATAAGGGTATCCAACATTTATAATTATTTTTGTTCTATATATTAGTTAGTTGGGACTTCAAAGTCGTCGCAACTCTATAGCTAAAGGTTTTTGTGCATCACAAGTCAGAAATTAGAAATATGTACTGCATATTTCATCCGTAATCTGTAGTTACTTCTATAAGTTTTCACATTTCTGTCAGTTTCTGTCAGCTAGTTATAATGTTTAACAACTATTACCTTTTTTATAGTTCGTCTGATAGTTTCTTTGGCAGTGACGAATTTTATGAAATTTTGTTCGTAGTTGAAGAGTCGTTAATTCTGTTTTTCATTAGTAAACAACTACTTTCTAATTTGTTTTCCTTTAATTTTATAGGGATATTTTGGTTTACGTATGCCAGCTATGTATGTGATATAGTCGACCGATTTTTATGAGTTTAGTTCACATTTTGAGAGCAACTTTATGCGTGATACATATTTTCTCCATTTCTCCTCAAACAACTGATTTTCTTAAAGTCTTGCTATGCATTTCCCATACTCTTAACGATCTTCTGCTTTATTTGTAAATCTTTTCCTTTAAGCACTTTACTAGTGATCATCGTCACTATGTGAACTGCAGAACTGCACAGTGGTACCAAATATTTAACATTTTAAGTATCAGAAATACGACAGGTAAAACTCTAGTCACAAAAAAGTATGTTTGATACAGTTTTTTTTATGGATTTATATACTATATACGAGTATAGAATTCAGCTAGCCAAAACGGGCTTCCTTTTCGTAAGTTTATGTAATACTAATCGGGGTTATCCTCACCTTTTCGATGGCCAGGGCGGCCAAGCCGGCCACTCCGAGTGTGTTGAACATCAACGATCCGATGATCGTGCCCAGGCCCATATCGGATTCCAGGATCAGAGTGCTGATCGTGTTCGTGAAGAACTCGGGCATCGAGGTGGCCGTGGCCATGAAGGTGGCCGCCGCCACGTCCTTGGAGAGATGCAGGTCCTCGCAGATGCACTCCACCGTCGGCAGGAAGTAGTCGTTGCAAATGATGGCCAGCAGGATGAAGAAGTACACTGCGGCGAAGACGTGCAACACTACCCAACCCTGACGGAGTTGCTCCACTGGCGATCAAATGGCAAATAAAACACAAAGAGTCATGTTAGCTTGCTTGGATTAAGTAAATGTGCACAGATAAATTATTATTTTAGTGGGCCACGAAAATGTAACATCTGGCAGGAATTTAAGCAATTAGTCAAGTAAACCTTATATTAATGCAACGAAACCTGTCTGTGGTCATTAATTCTTCTAATTTTTATGAAATCAACACAAAACAGTCGTCATATCTTTGTACAAATAATTTATTTATATCTGTTTTCGTAACTAATGGCTAAAAGCCGCAAAGCAAATTGCATGCATGTTTAACAACATCGAAATTATAACGATTTTTTAATAATTTTCTATAATACACCCAACTGTTTGTTTTTAAGTCAGTCTTTTGGTTAAGTTTGTGTGAATAATTAGATCGACACATATGCTGTTCTAGATGTGCAATACTTTGTCGTCAATATTGTTTCCTTTGCAAAATCTCTGCAAAGGATTTCTTTCTTCAATTTGTAAGTTTTTAATTGAACATTAATACAGTTATTGTCTGGGTAAATATAATCACATTAAAACAAGTTGGCAACAGCGGCGCAGAAGAACACTGACCTGAGAAACATGATCTCTTTCATATTAAAGTTATTGCCGACTAATAAAGATTAGGAACGTGGCAATTGACACATAACATTAGTTCAAAGGCACAGTGGAGAAAGCTAAATTGGTTCATTCTGAAAAACGAAATTGAGAGAATTTTGATTTTGCCTCAGAGTGCATAAAGTACTAACTAGAGCATTAGTATACAGTTCTTATTCTTTAGTTAGTTCCCAGTGTTTTATTTCTTTTTATACTTTTAAAACATTTGCATCCTTCTTCAAAAATATTTTCCATATCCAGGATTTTTTTTTTAGTTCTTAGCAACGTTCTACCCCAGACAAAACATCATATCATATCTTCAGGGTTGCTTTTGTTAGGAGTGTATAAGACACAAACTGGAACTGGATGAAATCATAGATCATATTTCGGGATAGTTATGTAAACTGAAAGCGATTTCGGTATGAACGATGCGTTGAGTGACAGATCTACGATTTAATCAAATTCACCTGGCAACGAGCCAATGGATTATAGACGGACACGCAATCGATCCTAGTCATTCGGTATATTTAGACCCAAAAAAAAGGCCTCAGCCGCAGAAGCGGCGAAATCTTATCGCGGTTCCTATTAGAATCTAGACCCGTTCCCCGGAGAACGTCCATCTGAGCTGTAAGTGTTTGCTTTAGCCACGATAACAACGCGCTCCCCAAGTGCTCGGTCGCATGTCCATTTGTCCGCGACTCCAGTGGGCTCTATACTCTATACTCGTTTGTGATGACGACTCTATAAACAGACTATGCGGCTCGTCTGATTTATTGGCCATTGAATTGCCCGTTATCGCCGCGGCTGATAGGGCCCAAAACAGGAAAGACATTGGGCCAAGACGACGGACACCGTGGATCGCGGACAACGGACAACGGACAACGGACAACGGACAATGGACAACGGACAAGTTCAAGTTCAAGTTCAGTCGTCGCATTGGGGTCATCAGTGGCTTATGGTGTGTATTTATCGGTTACTGGTGAACAGATAAACCCGGAACTTAACTCACCCGTAAACAGGTCGGCGAACTCGTCCATCGGAGAGGCCTCATCTTCGCCAGGACACGTGGCGCGTGGCAGGATGTCCAGGAGCAGCTGCTCGTCGAAGTAGCGCAGGGAGACCTCCAGGAAACTGCTTCCGTTGCCAGTCGCTGCTGGAAAAACCAAGCAAGAGTGGGCAATTAATCGATTTACCATCGGGCTCTTGAGATGCATATCGCCGCGGCCGTGACTCTCTTCCAGGTTAATGGAGAATTCACCCAGTGATAAGATTAAGTCGCGGCGGAGAAAACAACAAACTGACATCGTAATCAAAATCGACCGATGTAAATGATTCGAGACCGATCTTCTGTTGCCAGGTGATCGAGGTATTCAGGGTATATTCGAATTGCCAAGCAGCTTGAAGAATTTTAATTTATAACGTTCTCTCCATATTTATTCCTAATTAAGAAATCTTAAACAAAACTTTTATTTAGGCTGTTCTACTAATTTTTTATTATTTTTATCATGATTGTTCAAGCTTATTATAATACTATTATAATAATATTAATAATAATATTATAATAGTATTACGTAAATGCGGTGCGATACTAAAGTGCATTTTAAATAATAAGTTAAGTAATACAAACATTCTTTGTGGTTTCTCGCACTATTATTTTAATCATTTCTATGGAAGCTACATGATAATGCCGTCCGATTTGGAAAAAAAATTGTCTATTTATTTATCTATGTATATCTTAAGTAAGTAAGTCTAAAAACATCGATTTTATTTAGTTTTTTTTTTCAATATTTACTGTATGGTTTTGAATGTGATTTTTATTTGAGTTTAGTGAAAATTGTACGCAGTTCAGTAAAGTCAAAAATTTACGTTTGTATCAAACCAGTTTTTTTTTAACTTTTCTTCAACACACCTGCACAACGCATCTTGTCACATAGATTGCAATAAATTTAAGGCATTCCCTTTGAATGGATTAACAATATTCAGAAATATTATCTCGAAATTATTTTTATATAAAACAGTAACAAAAATAATTGGTAGTTATTTTTTGCAATTGTTTAAACAGGGTTCCCTGGGACTGACTGAAATTGAAGGTAATCAAGAGAATGTTTACACAATATAGGATCAATCTTTAATTAAATAAGTGCTCTTTAGTTTATAAATCACAGCTAGACAACTCCTGTCAGTAAAAAATCGGAACAAATTATCTTTGTTTTCCAGGGATGAGGAATAAAATACTTTTTTTGCAGATAGCTTTTATTGGCATTCAAGTTAGTCATTGCCAGCTCTCGACTATTATGATTTCAGTTTAATTTCTGCAGTTCGCACGAAAAGCGCAAGAAAAACAAAAACATTCCATTCGTGTATTCGTATTCGTGGTCAGATAACCAATTATATAGCCGTGGGCGCAATTAAGTTGGATGCCAGAATTATTACTGCGCGTCTGCTCGATTTTGATTGGGAATTGTTTAACAACAACGTTACGTACATACTCATATAGGCGTATTTATTTTTGTTTTTGTTTTTTTTTTTTTTTTTTTTTTTTTTTTTTTGGAGAAATTGCATTGGCGAACCGAAATAGGTGAGACAGTCATGGGCATTTGGTCGATGATTTGTTTATGTTTGTCTGGCTTTGTGCGATTGCCTTATTATTATTCGCGGACGAGAGGTTTCTTTATCTTGAGGAAGGGCGAGTTCTCAGTCTAGGTCCACAACCTTATCAGTTTTACACCCCCCGGCCAGTAAATTAATTACCAATGTCAGTCATAATTTTCTGTTTCTGTTTCTGTTTCGTTTTCACTTGGTTTTATGATAACTCGTATTACTTTTAAGCCGTTTTTGTTAACCAAGTCCCACTCAGAGTGGGGCCAACCTCCTGACCCGATTTTCAAGATTCAAGATTAAGTGGGCAATGCAGCAGCAGCAACGCTCGATGGGTTTTCCTCACCGAGGGTATTGTTGTCTCGATTTGTAGTCGTATTTCTGTTCGAATTGCGTGCCAAGAATTGTGGCACCTGCACATTGGCAACATTGGCAACTTCAGCGATTGCACGGCAGCGAACTCGCGCGACAAGAGCAATAATTGTTTAATTGTTTTCCACCTGCAATCTCCAGGTGGAAAATGGAAACATAGCAGACAATCGCGCCGCGGGAAAAACAAAGGCCAATATAACATAAAGCAAACATGGGCCGATCTTTCACACTCCCTGCACCCGAACTCAAACTCAAACTCAGACTGAAACTCAAACTCAAACTCGAACCCCAAGCCCGTAGGTCAAACTGACGTCCACAACCGAGAGCTCTCATTCCGCTTCCCGCCGAGAGGAAAAGTCTTGGCCAACTAACTTGGCAACTCGGCAGCTTGGCATTGCATCTGGGGAATGCATTTAGCCACAGTCACCATCGCCATCGCAGAACGTGTCTACGATCATTACGGCCCAAAATCCGAACCCGAACCGAGCCGAGCTCAGCAGACAAACAAGTTTAATGAACTTGTTGGTGGCGGCGGCGGCCAGTTTGAAACGCAAACACTCGAACAAAATGGGAAAACTAGTACCATCGAAAAAATAAATCCAATGAATCCATGTACTTCGAAGAGCAGCCAGCTTAAGTTTAACTTAAGATCGGGATTGAGAAGTTATTCTTGTTAAACAAAAATATTTGACATTAATGTCTCTTGTAAATGAAATGAATAAGGATTGCAATTAAAGATTAAATGGTCTTTTTTTTTAAATGCAATTAAAATTAAATAAAATGGAGAAAAATCGAACTTCGACAATCCGAAACTTAAGGCATATTACATTCATAAAATCCATATACGAACATTAATAAGTAATTTGTAAAAAGAACTCGTATTCCGATTGGTTTTACACTTGTTAAAAAATAAGTTATGGCGACTGCTAATTTTCTGATTATGCGTGTATAGAAATTTTCGAATAAAATAAGTACACATAAGTTTTTTCTATGAATAACAAGTAAAAAGGGTGCCTTTCTGTTATTACATTTCCTTCTGCTTAACAAAATTAGACCTTTTTTATAGTTTTAATGCCTGCAAATCAAACGCATATATCTTATATCTGCCATAGGACCGATCGTGTCATTAAACCTGTTTGAATATATCTCACTGTTTTGTATTCAATGTGGATAATGTACTAAAAACTGTCGAAATTGGCTTCCGTTTCCCCTAAAACCGATTTTCGTGTTAGTCAATATCGCCGCTTAAACTCACTAAGAAGACGTGTTAAATGCCTAATGTAATAGCATAGAATCAATTGTTTCTACGTCAAGGGCATTTTGAAAGCAAAGGGATTCCCCCGAAATTCGCGGTAGGCGTTTTTTCTTCGAGTGTAGCGTAAAGCTTACGAGATGCAATGGAAAACCCAATCTCGAGTCGAGTCTGTAGCCCACTCAAAGTCGTGTTTTATTCCTGAGTGTCGGGCCGAGTTGCGGAAGTCGGGGAAATCTGTGAATCGATGTTCCGAAGCCCTCGATCGAGGCTAAATAACGAAATGTTCATCCGCGGGAAGACCCGAGTCTTAGGGCTCCACCCATTTACCCAATTAATTGTGCAGCTTCGAAATGCATCCTATATAATACCAATTGCCTAGCCAGCCTAGTTTGAAAACACCAGCACCTCCGAATGCAAATAACAATTCGAATCAAAGTCACTGCCAATCAAAAAGGCATTGCAAAAAGCACCGGCTAATTGTTTCGTAAACACTATTTATTGGTTCAATGCCAGTGATGGCTATAATGGTTATGAGCCATCACTGACCAGCAAAGTTTTTGGTTCAACTGAACACAAGCGACTGATTTGTAAAGAAAGCACTGAAGTGAGAAATAAATTGAAGTATTATAACTCACACCTTCCTAAGATTTACCTTCCTTTGATTAAAACAAAAATGTCCTCTAATATTATTTATTATTTTCTATAGAAATGTATACATTTTTTTATATTATTTTATTTATTTTGTTTTCTACTTTGGGATCTTGAAATTCCAAGGGTTTGAAGAGCCATGTTGCATGGTGTTGCAAACAGACGAGCTGTTTACTCGTTTGTGCCGGCATAATAAAAACAAAACGATTCGACTGCACTGAATAGGTGAATAAAATAAGTTAGACTGTGGCACTCAAGCCCAATATTGAGACAACAAGAAAACAGGTGTTGGCGGAAAACTGAAGACTGTAATTAACGATTATGGCTTTTCGAAAATTCCCCGGACGGCAACTCCCAAATTTGCTGGCCAGTTGGCTCAAGTGCAGCAGGCAGCGTCATCAGAGAAGAAATTCCTTTTCATCGTTCCAACGAAAATCTCAATTCGGAATTACCGAATACGAAGTGAGCATATTAATCGCAGGTGGGCAGCCTATTTATAGATCTTCTGGGCATTGGGCTTTGGGTTGAGAATCGAGAGTTGAGAATTGGGATTTGCGTTTCCAAAGATACCGGGAATCACCTGGAGAGGTGAGGCTAACCGATCGATTACCGATGGCTGCACTAAGATCACATTAAGATCGAGATCATGAATCGACAAATTTGAAAGCGTGAACTTCGTAATAATAGTTGGGGAACATGACGTGCTCGTAAAAGTCTAAAGTCTAGATCGAATGAATCCCATTAGATATGGACAAACAATGCAAACAAACTGCTTTCGTCACTTTAAAGTCTATTCAAAACGAAGTATGATCTTAAATTAGATATTGAGAAATACGAGAATGTTTCAATAAAATGGGTATTGTGGTTTCTGGAAAACAGTAATGCAAAATTGTCCTAAATAATATAAATAAGTGTATTCTATTTCCATGAAGTTTGCCAAATTGGCACTAATTAAAATTATTTAATTCGCCCATTAAACAAATCGACCTTAAATGCGTGGACACGGCCTAGTCCCCTATTTTTGTGGGTGTAGCTCGGTTTGCTTGGCTTGATGGCTCTTATGGCAATTATATTGCTAACGATTATGTCAATTTATAAATGCATTGCTGCAATTGTTCTTAGGAATTTGCGGTTGTTGACCAATGTGTAAAGTAATTGTTAATGCTTTTTCTGGGAAAGAAAATCCCCAAAATCCCACTTTCTCTACGTGCTTGGGGTTTTGTGGTGACTTTTATTCAAAATCAAAGTTTTTAAAATTAAATGAATGTACGGCATAAAGATGACTATGGAATATTTGAAATTTTATCATTAGATTATCTAAATGAAATAAATGCATGAAAACCAATTAAAAGTATGTTATGTGCACTCATATTTCTTATTTCAATAAATACATAAAAAAAAGTTGAAGTTATGACTTTTGCATAGTTTCCCATGATGTGCACTAAAATATAAATGCAAAACTCATAGTCGTTCCAAGCTAAAGAGTTTTCAAATTGTATTTTAAAGTGATATGAAAAAAAATGCATTCAAAACTAAAAAAGTATTGCCAATGGGAAAGACCCTGATCCGTTTAAGTTGAAAAACAAGAACATGGCTCATTCGATTGTTGAAAAACGATTGCGATTGTAGCCGTATCACCGGCCCATAATGGATAATCAAAAATCTGAGAGGAAGTCGTCGACTTGCGACGATAGTGGCTCTGTTCAATCAAAATGATCGAGCATTATATAGTGGGCGGCCACGATTTGTGTTTAATGGCAGTGGGCCGCTTACACTTTTATAGCCGCGTTGGCGATTACCAACTGAAGTGGAGTACCCTTTGGTGTGGGGTCCATAAAGCCATCACCCTGATTTTTCGCCCATCCCTATCACTCGGGGTCCTCCGATAAGGGGACATGCCACCCCCAAAAACAACGAGCCCCAAAATAATGTAATTGCCAAGGAAGCATCCATTTGTCGTCGGCGGGTAAGTGCTTCATGATTGATCGATCGATCCGCCCATCCGGCGGATAAGTGCGGGCTAAATCGCTTCGGGTCGACAGGAGGTCTAGATAAGCGCGTGGCTAGTGGCTAGTGGTTAGTGGTTAGTGGTTAGTGGCTAGTGATTAGACTAGTCACCAGTGTACAAAGCCTCTGGAACAGCGGAGAGCCGGAAAGGCCCGCAAATATTTGGCAAACGTTTTCCGTGGAAAGGTAAACATATTAAGGGCTGTATTTATCTAGCTCTCAGGTTACCAAAACAATCTTGCGTGTCACCCAAAACATTCGAGATACGACGTCGGGATGGTATTATAACTTTTGAATGATGTATATATTTAACTTGTCTGACCTTTATAGTTTATAATGGGACAACACCAAACGGTAGGGATCGTACCATCATGTCACGTAGCTATGAGATATGATTTTCTTTCACTTTTAATGGGCCCGTCGAGTTTCAAATAAAAATTCAACTTTAACGGAAGAAATATACCCTATGTATAGCTCGTGATTGATTGTGCTGTGTATTTAAATATAAAAGCTCAGAGTTTGTCTGCTCTTACCTACATATATAAAAAATAGTTCTTGAATTTCTTACATTAGAACAAAAAAAACCACACAAAATGTGTATCCGTTAGTTGTAAATTGGTTAAGTTAAATTGTATCTCACAAGCTTAATGCTAGTTACTTTTATTTAAGTTAAGTAGCTTCGCTTCCTAGCCCAAAAATGATCAGTCTGTTAAGGAACTCACCAGTTGCCTGAGTATCCGTTACAAGGCAGCCACATATTGTTAGGAAGAAGGCCACCAAAAGAGCGGTGGCTTTAACCATTGCGGATGCTGGGTTATTATAAACCAAAAACCAACAGCCTCGGAACGGAAAAAACAAAAAACAAATTTAAAGAACACTTGAACCGATCTTGGGATTCTTGGGATTAAATGCGCCTTGTTGTGAATTAAAGGGGAACACACACGGCGTATGCGCAACGGAGCGCTTGAATTCGAATCGCTGGCGGATGTTCGAATTTTCGATGTGCTCGATATTCGAACTTTCGAATTTCCGTCCGCCGTTTTACTTTCTGTCGTCGCTTCTCGCTGGCCAACTCCAGCAAACCGCTTGGCTAGAATTGTATCGCACAACTAATTAATTGCGGCCCGCTCGCACTCGTCTTAATAATAAACCGCGACGTCGGCGGTAGCGTCGGCAGAGGCAGCGGCAGCGGCAGCGGCGGTAGCTGCGGCAGAGGCAGCGCCTCGTATTGACGGTTTTATAAAGATATCTCTCTAGTACGTCTAGTCAACTCAAGTCAGTCGGTGCACGTTGCCGGTTTTATGGCCAGTTTTTGTTTTGTGGCCACTCCTCCTCTGCAACTCCCCCTCCCCCTCCCCCTCCTCCTTCTCTGCCACTCCTCCTTCCTTAACTCCCATTTCTCCTCCTCATTTCCCCTGTCCCTTTCGCCATGTAGTAAACCCCATTTCGCCGTGGAATCGGGGAAACCGGAAGGGGGTCTACCCGCCAGAAAGAAGGGAGATCTCGAGTGCACAATGAGCGGGGAAAACCGGCGATCGCTCTGAAATTATGCTACATGCATACGCCCAAACTACGCAATCGAAGTCCAGAAAAGAATCGGGGAATTTCGCCGCCTTTTCTTACAACACTCCTACTTTCGGAATGGCAACCAAGAATTTTCTTAATACTTTTCAATAATAATCAATTGATAATTAACACTTAAACACTCGATCAAATAATGCATCTTTAATACCTTTGTCTTATTTTATACTCCCTTTATAATGCTATTTAATACTTCTTTTAGTTTGACTTCAAAAACAAACACATTTTTTGCCCAGTAATCTATTTGTAATCTATTATCAGTCAAATCAATGCCAAGTGAAATTAGTTTGTTGATTTACGTTCTATTAAAGATTGTTTTTGCACCCGCTACCCGTTCTCTCTCCCGAAAGTAATTGAGCAATAAAAACAGAATTTTTATCAGTTCAGAACAATTTACGCTGTGTCAACATCGAGTTTTTCGGAAAGGGAGCCTTAAACACCGATGGATGCATACATACAAAAACGAACAAATGTTCGCCATAAAAAAAGACATTACAAATCTCATTTCTTTAATAACTTTTCAACGGAGCAGCTGATTACAACAAATAAGGTGTCATCGCACACGTTTTCCCAACACGTTTTGTGTTTTTTTACTTCAACCGCAGTTTTCCCTGAACCCATTGAATTTCTGAAAGTCTTGGTATGCACAACTCTTAGCTTGAATTATACCTTTTGATCAGTATTTCGCTAGTGTATTAAAAAGAATGTAACTAGAAGAAAGCACTTATAAGCCCATAAAGTGTATACGTATACATATATTTCAAATTTAACGCCCACAAACTGAGCAGTTTGGGATCGAGGATTTAATTTCTAGTGAAAAATACGCAGCAAATGACGTTAAAAATTTGCCACGCCCACTTCTACGTCTGTTTAAATGTCAATATCTTTAGAAGTGTAAGAACTAGAGAATTGGGATTAAAGATGCTGATTTTAGTGAAGAGTACGCGGCGATAGACGTTTAGTTAGAATTCTTCATCTGAGTAACAAGTATCTGATGGTCAAGACACTCGTCTTCAACGTTCTCTTTTGTTTTTAAACTCGCCTAAGTAATGACGTCGTTTATGCCAATTATTTACTGTCTTTTGCTTTCAAAGATTATTCCGTCGAGAAAGGATTGTAAATAACAAATAAGAAATTATATTTATACACACTATCAGGCAAAGAAATTGGTTTCACGCCTTTATCACTACTGATTTCCGACAAATCAAAACTGAGTTTGATTTTATTTTCTTTTTCGGTCTTTATTGCGGAGCTTCTTTTTTTGGGGGTTTTGCTGGTGACGTCCGAAATAAATGAATACGTCATGGTTTTGGTCAAGCAATGGCGTAGCAGCTGCTAGAGCCTCTAAGATTATATATGTTTGGCTTATCTGTACACGAGTATATCAATGAAGTGGCGATAACTTAACTCAGGCAGCTGATCGACTCCAATGCACCTGAGATATCTGACAATTTTTGACAATTTAATATTGACAGACAGCTGGCGTTTTGATTTGGGGTGGCTTTATCCAGAGAATAAGTATTATTTAAGGCTCTAGGGGTTGTCTTCGTCAAGGTTACCCAATAAAATAACATAAGTTCACTTATTCAGAAGATTGAACTGCATAATGTTAACATTATATATTCTTGATCAGCTTCACTTGGCGAACTTATTTAACACCGGTTAAAAACTTAGTTTAAAAGTTTTTAATTTTTAAAGATGTTTAAATATTTATGTTGATGTAACGATCGGAAAACGAATTTAGAATTTGTGGGAGATTAAAAAAAAGGCCTTGCTTGTATTAAGCTAAAATCTATGAACACTTTGGTAGTAAGATTTTTTCTATTGTTGATCTCCCACTGTCAAGTCTACTTTATTTATTTATTTTCAGCTTTTTCCACGGCAAAAAATTCCATATCTTAATATTCACGTGTATATTTAAAAACAGCAAAGCTCTATATTTTTTTAATGTTCTGGTTTTATGTCAATTTCAGATCGGCAGATTAATATGCAACTTAACTAGTAATTCAAAAGTCAATTAAAATAATTATGTCTATTTCGAGATGTAACGAGATGCGACTGGTAAAGGTGATAATGCAATATACTTTTCCAATTTAAACACAAAATTGTATACAGAAGCTTGGATCCATTTCTTTCAAAGGTAAAAAAAAGCTAGAACACGAAAAAACGTGACTAACTTTTTCGGTTATCAAAAACCAACTGCTAATCTGAAATGTCTTATAATGTCAACATATGAGAAAAATATGGCTACCAACATAACAAAAAATAAACATCGATAACACTGTGTTTTGGCATATTTCACAGCCTTATAATCACATATTGGGAAAATATTTTTTCACCGTTATAAGCGTTTTATGCAAGTTCAATATCTATTAATTAAAATGTATTAAGAAAATATACCGTTAGGCTTTTATAACAATGCTTTAAAAATTTTTTTCTCCCAGCTCTATACTCTGGGCGACTACGTATGGAACTTGTTACGCGAGGATACCTCTGAAAAAGCCAAAAAAAAATCTGGAAAAAAATTCACTTAAAAAAAAATAATAGTTTATTGAAAGTAAAAAAAAAATAATATTTAGTGTTAATTATTTTCATAATAATAATTTCATAAAATTTATCATAAAAAAAGAAATCATATCACTTAGAAGGTGGCATAGATATTTTTGTGCATAATTTATGCATCTTAACCGAAAACAATCAAAAAAGTAACTTAAACAAACATTTCGTTAAATTTAGTCGCACAGTGTAATCGAATGCATACAGCCCGCGTAAATTCGAAAAAAAAATCGAAATAACTAGATTAAAGAGTAATAGAAAATGCCATCTGTAAGTAACAGCGAAAAAGAAAAATAATGAGAACTCAGTGGAGTCCAAAAGGTTTGGACAATTGCGATTGAAATGATAACTATAAATGTACCGTAGGCACACAAATTATTCGTATAGCCTTGGGTTGTAATTTAATTTGTTAATTACTTCTTCCATATAAGAATACTATTGATATTCGCTAAAGAAAAAATATCAATAGTATTCTTATATGGAAAATAGTATTCATATTTAGGGGAAAGGTTTACATATTTATATTTTTTCATCAGATGTTACAGTTTCAAAAAAAAAAAAAAAACAATTCTTGACGCGCCAAGCGATTCGGAGACCATAAATTTAAAAGCCAGTCATTGCAACTGATTTAGGTATACTTGGCTTTTAAAGTTAATACTCATCTCTTATTTTGAGCTGGCAAAAATTCAAATTCGGTCTGATAGGTTATTATTATTATTATTGCCAAGATATACAACTTATATTTCAATAATTTAATACATGATAATTTAATACAAGCACAATTCATAAAAAAAAACATGATTTTAGAGAATGTGTTGCTCATCTGCAAGAGCAAATTAAAATCACATTATTTTTTGAATAACAACTGTTGACTATCAGGCCATAAAGTGGCAAAACTTTGTTTGCAGAGAATCAATTTTTGGGGGCGGCAGAAGCCAGTTTTATAAGGGGCACTTATGGTTTACGGTTGGTTATATAGAGTAACTTGGGGAGTACCGACCGACTGATTGCTAAGTCGCTTAAAATAAAATTTAATTCGAAATTTATTTGGCAAAACGAAATTAATCTACCCAACGATTGTCGATGGTTTATCGTTCTAGTTCAATGTATGTACATATGTATACAATTTCCTTTCCGTTTTGAGCAGAAGTAAAAAACCTCAAGTGGTCATACGATTATTGATAATCATGAACGCGAGCCAATCCAGCGTCAAACATCATAGGTAAGAGTTTATCAAGACTACCACCCACTCCAGATCCAGTGGCGACATGGTCTCAAGTATTCTCCGCATTTTAGTACTCCTTCCCCCACTGGTTGAAAATTGTTACATACGTTGTTGCCCATTTAGTTGCCCCAAAATCCGCTTTCACTTAAATTCTTTATTAAGAAAAAAGTTACACTAAGGCATAGTTTAACCAAAAAAAAAAAAAATAATATAAAAATTTTCCAAATATGTACATATAAATGTTTTCTTAGTTAGGAAAATATTTTCTAACAAGAGAGAACGCAATAGTGAGGTTTCCCGATTTTCAGATTCCCGTTACTCAGAAATGGAGCCTGCATTTACTTAGGTGGCTGCATTGGCTTAGGTTTCTCCATTGGCCTAGGTGGGTGCGTTGGGTAAGGTTTGGGTACCGGATATCGAGGCAGAGGCCCACAGATTTTCGCAGCTTGTTGGCGTAATAATGGGCGTGGCAAAACAATTTAACAAACTTGCACTGCGTAAGAATAATAAGTATCTACAGTTTTAATCCCAATATTCTAGTTCCTGCAGTTCCCGAGACCTCGACTTTAATACGGACAGTCGACCAGACTTGTGTCTAAAGCATCTAAAGCGTCTGCTAAAGCTTAAGCAACGGAGGAGCCAATCCATATGAGGTAAGGCTTTTTTTTTTAGACCTTTTCAGATTTCAGTCAGGGACTTCCAATCTTATTTTTTTCAAAGATCTTTGGCCAGGTGTTTGATTTTTTTTGGTAACAAATTCGTTTGATTATAAACAATCGACACGAAATTTTTATTTTTGTTCAGAAGTAGGTACATCATACAGCTGCCATATAAACAATAGCCGAAAGCATGGAAAATTAGTAGAAAAATCGTTATAGCTTCCATGTTGTTTAGCCTTTATGCACTTTGTTCGACATATTTGATGACTGCAAGGATATATAAATTGGCTTGGGTTTGCCGAAGCTAGCTTTCTTTCTTGTTTATTTTTAACTCGTTACGGAATATGTAATACCCTCGGCAAAAAAATATTAAAAATACATAAAATACTCCGAATACAAAGCGTTGAAGAGCTGGGGAATGTGAGTCCCAGGCGCCACTATCTTTGGTATAAATATCTCCCCGGCATTCGGGCTCAAGTGTCCAAAGAAATTAAAAAATCCTTATCTTCAATATAAATTAAACTACACTAAATACAGAGGTAAATTGCCAGTGACAGGTTGAAATACAAGTATCTCCCTTCTCGATGCCGATGTCATAACATGGCTAATTGACGTCATATTGTTCCGATTGCCGGGAATAGATTTGGGTCCTATCCTCGAATCAATTAGTTTTCTGCGATTAGAGGACATATCGATCATATCTATATCGAGAGAGGGACGTTCGAAAGGCTGCCTCAAGATATCGTGAGGCGACGATGTATTAAAGGGACTTTTTGTTAATAATCTCAAGTCAACAACAACACTCAAATCTTAATTGTAAATTAGAAAAGAATTGAGTGGTCTGCACTCATCAGTAATGATTTTTGTGGGTGCCTAAAGAAACAACTAACTCATATTGAAATCATATCATAATCACGGAATCATAGTGTGAAGTTTAAAATGTTCAAGGTGCAATTGAAAAGTGTTGTTTTTTGTTTTCTTCGTTGCTTACACTTGCGTTTGTGGACTTTCAGGAGTCTTCCTTTTGTCGGCTCACTGCTTGCACATCTATTGGCCTACTGCTTGCACATCTATTGGTCTACTGCTTGCTACTGAGTTCTTCGAACTCTTCGCACTAACTTGAGGTTATATGTATGTACAATGAAACATTGTGAAACATGAAGTCTCCGTAAGGCTTGAGGACGCAATAACAATGGAGTTATGCACAGAGCAAGGAAATGCATTTAATCTGGTATTAATTTTAATATCTGTTGTATGCAATTGTATAACTCATCCCAATCTCCACTGCAGAGGGGATACTCGTTTTTGCCTCGTAGATGTGGGATCCAATACTGTTACCATTAGCTGGGAAAAAACCTATTGAACCTTTGTTTAAGGACGTGATATTGTAGCGGAGAAACCATATTACCTCTTATTAAGAAAAGCTCTGGGGTAAGTATTATTACATTAGCAATGAAATCATGATGTGTTCATTGAAACTTTTAGCCCGCTGTGTTGACTGATGAGCTTGACTTGGGCGGTCGTTAGTGGAATGCTACAATTTGGTGTGTCAAGAAATTGCTTGAAGCTTAGAAAGTCGATGGGAGCTGTGGGTGAGGAAGGTGTGGTGGCTTTGTCCACATTGCTGACAGTTCCGCACGCTGTTGCAAGGCAAAAACCAGGGTGGCATGAATTGAACTGAAGAAGAACTCGGGTTGGGTAGGCTTTATGCCCCTCACAAAGTAGTCACGATTTATTTGCATGGATAATTTGGTTAAGCAGAATTTCAAAGCATAAATATTCAGTTAAATATACTCCTTTTATGGTTAATTTATTTGAAGTTATGTGTAATTTTTCCGCACGTAAGTTTTCAAGTTCTCCGTTCACATTTGAGTTGTCGATTAACTTTAACTTATTCCTTTTCGTGAACTGCTTGCACATTAATAGGTCTACTGCTTGCAAGCTACTTCTTCTACGAAGGAAAATTAGCAAAATTCTTATCTGCAAAAAAAAATATATATATATTGATTAAATACAGATATACACATATGTATTTATCAAAAACAGTCGAAAATATGCAGAAAGTAATATTATTTAGCCTTTATGTATTTTTTTTCGAAGTATTTGATGACTAAAAGGGTATATCAGATAAATGTAATTTTTAAGTCCAATGACACTAAGTCGTTTACTTACCTTGAAAAACAATGACATAGAAATTGTATTTCATGCTCCTGTTCATTGGGTTCATTAGGATTCCTCAATATCGCACATAATCGTTGTGTACAAAAGCATCTCCAGTACACAGGCCATGATTACGAAAAGCACATAGGAGATAAGGCTGATCCATCCCACGACCTTGCCTATTACAAACTTGGTGATCAGAAGGCTCCCATAAAGGATAACCGCGGTGAATACCAGCAAGCCATTGGTGATGGTCAGTGCCGAGGAATCAATTGCGATAGAGTCCTTGCTTATCAGGTTCTTTAGCACCCATGGCAAACCAAGGCACATAAAAATGTTAAACGTGTTCGAGCCAATTGCATTGCAGATAGACATCGAGCCATATCCTAATTAAAAGGAAAAAAAATTGACATATATTACCAACAAAACACAAATTATGAAATGTATACCCCATCTAAAAATTCACGACAATTAAATATAAATATTTAATATTAAATTAAATATTAAAATATAAAGGCGTGACAACTATTTGAATAAATGCTTGCCATTTTTAGAATCTTTATGTGCATGTCACATATTTTAGTTTTTATATTCCCAAAGACATCGGGTTTCAAACGAAAGGTAAGGCGCGACCGTCACGCGTGGGAGTGGCAAATTTTTAAAAGCGTAATTTAGAGTGTATTTTTTTAGTCAAGTCCGAATAATTTAAAATAATACAATTTATGTAATAAAAATTTACATTATAGTTGCAATGTTCTAGTTCTTATAGTTTTGAAGATCTCGAAGTTTATATTGTTTGACAGACATGAATCGTCACGATGCCCCCAAACAAAAATGAATATACTTACTGGAGTCTCAGAATTATGAGAGAATATCCCCGGTCAGCGATTTAGTATCTCCGCTGTAGCAATACTAATTGTCTAGCCTTCTCTAGAAGAATGTACACTACCGGGTACATGATATGCAGTAACTCACCCTTTTTAGACACGATAAATGAAGAGGCTGCCTCAGGAATACTTGTGCCAGCGGCGAGGAAAGTGAGCCCCATGATTGAGTCAGGGATGTTGCAATTGTATCCCAGAACGGTGAGAAACCAGGCGAGCAGGTAGGCTAATGCTATAATCCAAACTGTAGCCATCAACATCGTCAGGAAGAAGATGGATCTCACACTTGGGATTGTGCAGGCGAGAACAACCTTCGCCGGGTACTTAATCAGCCACCAGATCCACTGCCAGGTATTAGATTTCAACTCTGGTGCTCTGCATACTTGATCCTTGAATCCCTGCAGCGGCTCATCCTCCCGGGTCATCGGGTTCTCGTTCATCAGCTCCGACTCCGTGTGCTCCTCTAGAGAAGATTTTTTCGTTAGATGCTGCAAGATTTGGGTGATCTTATCCGTGTTTTTACCCAAACCCAAAGAACACATTCCCGGTAACTTAGATAACTTGTTTTAAAAATGCATATTTATTTAAATTTAGACAAACTTCCTCTCTTTATAGTTACTCAACCAAAATGAAAGCTTTGACATTCCGATTTTAGGTACGACTTTTTTCTGAGTTTTGATTAAAACAAAATTATTTGTTTCCTAAGCTTAACAAGACAAACAAATATAATATATGAAGTTAACACTAGTTCCGCTTTAATCAGGTTTTAAAAATTTTAAGAAATATCAAAAATGCTTGAATAGGCAGGATATATATTGATATAACAAAAATAGAATTTTTGAAAAGTCTCAAAATTTTAAATATGTTTCAAACATATTTCAAATATTTAAGTAATTCTAAGCCTATGTTATTTTTTCAAGCCTTTTTTATACCCTTGCAGAGCAAAGGGTATTACAATTTTCGTCAGAAGTTTCAGAACATATACTATAAGGTGTACGAAATAAGTAACTAGGACATTCATGTTAATGACTTTTTTGTCCTCAAAAACCAATTCCCGGAATTTTTTTCTTCTAGTAATTGTTGGTTGAACAATTTGTGAGACATTAGCAATGAGAACATAAAAAAGGACCGTACGATTATCCCGTCAGGTCCGTTTTTATCTGGTGAACTTTGCTTTTGCGAACGAAATAAGTAAGTGGGACAGATCACTTTGTGTTCGTTTTAGTAAAGCTGATGACATCGAATTAAATTATTTCAATTGCAGTGATTGCTAACAATTACAAATAAATAAATTTAGTGAGTTTCGTCAAAAAAAATATTTTTTATAAGGTTCTAATATTAACATTTGTTGTTCAGATATGTCAACTTTTATTCATTCGAGCGATGTAGAGCGGGCATGAATATTGGCACTCCGAGAAATGGGGATGTCAATACGCAAAATTGCTAAAGAATGTTAGAGGAGTAAGAGGACGGCGGAAAACCTTTTAAAGGACCCAGAAAATCATGGTAGAAAACCTCGTTCTGGGCGCCCCGCCTATGTGACGAGCGAGACAAGCGACGAATTCAATTTCTGGCAATTAATGAAAACATCAGTGCATCCCAAATACGATGTAATTTGTCTCTTCCAGTATCCACTCGTCGAGTCCAACAAATTTTAAAAGGATCTGAAAATGTTTCATATGAAAAAAAAATGCTTAAACCTGAACTACTGCCCAGGCACAAAGTGGCCCGATTGCAGTTTGCTAATTAATACAAATTCTGGGATGTAGAGTGGTAAAATGTTATATTTAGCGATAAGAAAAATGTAATTTAGATGGCCCTGATGGCTATCGTTATTATTATCGCGATATAAGAAGTCCCAAAAAAGTCCACGTCTCCAGGAACTTTCACGGTGGGTCTCTCATGGTATGGGCTGCCTTTGGATATAATGGAAAGGCTCCTATGTGCTTTATATCTCATGAAATGAATGCACAAACATATGTAGAAATCTTCTAGTCCAATTTGGAGAGTTTTTTTTTTGGTGAAGAATGGACTTTTCAACAGGATAATGCACCTATCCACTGTGCAAAGCATACAAGAAGCTTCTTTTCATCATCGCAAATCCCAATTTTGGAATGGCCAGCTCGCAGCCCGGACTTAAATCCAATTGAAAATCTTTGGGGCATATTATCCCAAATGGATTATGCTAATGGGAAACAATTCAGTAGTCTTAAAGTATTAAAAGAAACTATCAAACATGAATGGGAGAAAATCGACATAGAAATACTGAAAAACTTAATTAATTCAATGCCAGGACGAATTCTTAAGGTATTAGACAACAAAGGATGCACTATTTAAAATATATATATACTTTTTCTTACTAAATTTATCCTAAAATTACCGTTAAGCTTGCTATTTTAACTTTGTCCTACTTACTTATTTCGTTTGAAAGTTTTTTGATTTATTTTCTATAATATTTTGTGAAGTTTAATTTTATTTCTAAAACTTGAAAAGTGTTACATATTTAATAAAGAATAATTACAAATTTGTTTTTTTGAAAAATATTCTAGCGTTATTTTGTTAAACAAAAAAATTAGGTGTCCTACATACTTATTTCGGGCACCTTATATACTTTATAGGGTCTGAGGTGCCTCCTTCACTGCGTTGCAAATATATTTTGTTCGACATATTTGACTGCAAGGGTATACAAGCTTCGGCTTGCCGAAGCTAGCTTCCTTTCTTGTTTTTTAGTAAAAGAAGATCATTTTCCAATTTCGAAAGTTAGAAGAGAAAAGGCAGGGACAACAAACGATATTCTTACTGCGAACCAAGTTTTGAATGCGGCGGTCCAGGATCAGTTGAATAAGGTAAATACAGTACAGTAGCAAAAGGCCGACGGCCTCATACCAAAAGACCAGCGAATCCCATAACACAATTGTAAGCGCCGTGATGGCCACTAGGTACCAGATCGTGTCCCTCGTTACAGGCCACCAATCCAATTTGTTCTAAAGAAGATATACAAAATATTAGAAATATTAGCATTTAATTATTGGGAACTACGCACCGGTTGAGCAAGGATGCCGCAAATAGCCGGAATCACCAGGATATTGAACACGGAGGATCCAACTATGGTTCCCAAGCCGATGTCACCCTGTGTGATGAAGGTTGCCACAAAGTTTATGAACAGTTCTGGTGCCGAGGTGGCAGCCGCCAGGAAAGTGGCTCCTGCCACATCGTATGTCAAACGTAGGCCTGTTCGAATGGGACTTTTGTTACTTACGAGTATATTAGGAAGGATCAAGCGTATTTGAACAATTATTTTATATAACGACCAGACTATTTAGAGTAGGTAAACAATGTAAGCTATTAAGTAAACCGTATAGGTAAGTTATTGATAAAATCTGATATGTATGTAAGATTAAAAAAAAGAAAGATTAAACATATAAAATACCTGAAAAGACTACACATCCCTTGAAAAAGTGAAAAAGCAGTAAAAATAGCATATCGACGCATTTCCGCGACTGTATCGTATGTAGAAAAATCAAATTTTACAGGAGTAGCTTTTTCTTTATTTTTGTATTTCGGTATTTTTGTGCGATTGCAATGCAATTTTCTCCATGCAAAATTCGTATAAGCCACCGACGACTCGTTCGATGAAACGGACAAAAAGTTCATCGAGAGCGACATGTATACCGAATACGGCGATGCTATATAAAATGTCTCTATGAAATTTCGTCGCTGCGGCAACGGTTGCTACCCCCGCTGTCGTCGGTGCGGCTTCGCACATTTCATCGACGACAAAGCAATTTTGCAACTGCAGGGATTGCCATGACAACAATGCAATAAGAGAAACGAAAGTGTAGAAGACAAATTTGGTGTCGGGCCGCCGTCGTTTGCAAGCAACAAAATCGTATTATAAGAGTGAGAAAGAGAGGGAAACTTAGGAATATCGCTTTTCCTTTTCCTACACCCATGATTGCTTGAATGCCAAGAGTCACCACGTACAGCCAGAACTGCAGGGTTGGTGAATCGTTTCACAAAAATTTGGGTTTTCGGTGGAAACACGGCTGAGGGGCGCTCGCTTATGTACACTCTTAGGTTTAAAAGTTTTTAAAATAATTTATTTAAAATTAATATAAATATATACACTATAATATTAAATACCAGATATTTCCTGGGAATAATTTTAAAATTAAAATTCAGCACATTATAAATCAATATTAATTAATTTTTTAATATTTACCAGATATACCTTTAATAAATACTATATTATTTATTTAAAAAAAAATTGTTAAATGGTTTTATAATTTGACTAAATAGTTTATATTAATTCGCGTCGCATATAAAGTCAGGTATGACTTGAATCGAAAGGGAATGCCAACAAGGCACGCCGTGGAAGAGACTAAAACGAAACAAAAGAGACGGGGCAAAATGATGAAAAAACTGCCCTGAGTCAGTCTTTCGTTGTTTGACAGCCAAGGGGATAACATTTCTCAGTGAAAATTGTGATGAAAGTTCTAAATTGTTAAAATTGTTTAAATAAAAAACCAGGTTAGTGTTTAAATTAAATTAAAGTGCTCTTTTTTTATTAGTGCGGTTCTCTTCCAAAAGCAAACAATTTAAAATGTATTTGTGTTTAACAAATGTTTACCTTCCTTTTACACAGTGGTGTCATTTTTTCTGAGAAAAAAAGCTGGATCAACGAAAAAGTTCAATACTTAACATAAGATATATAACATACATATGTATGTACTTTAATGTACAAAAATTAAGGGTAATTGTTTGCAAGTGCGGTCCACGGTAAAAACAGCTTAAAAAAAATAAAATATGTAAATGACGTGTTTTTTATAAAACTTTGAAATCAGTTGGCGGAAAGTGAAAATATTGCACCATTTTTTTTGTTGTTACAACAATTTAAGATGCGATTGGTAGAACAAATTTGGATTCAGGTGACCGTATTTGCATGTGATGTGCCGATTATTGCAGTCGTCTGGTGTCGATTTATTGCAAATACGGCCACCTGAATCAGCTGGGCAGCTGGGTGGTAGATTGTAGTTAAGACAGCAATTGTAATTGTAAGTAAATCATTTTCCAATTTATGAATAAAAATAAATTTAAATATGGCCCTTATACTTAGTATTGCGTTTGACGTTTCAACGCTGCCCGCTGTTTTCATATTTTCCCCGCAATCACACTTCAAAAAAATCCAAATCTGACGGGAAAAAAGCGGAAATGACACCGCTGCTTTTAATTTCATACATATGTGCGCCGGCGCAGTCTGACGCTTGTGCTGACGTTTTAATTTACTGTAACTTCCCTTGATGCTTTTTGTACTTTTTATTCACGAGTCGTACCGTTTTTATTAAATTAAAAAATTTGTTTTTAATTTTCAGCGTTTGTTTTTTATTGCAAATTTCTGTCATAGTAAAAAAAGGAAAATGGTAGGACCTCGTCAAGTTCGTCATTTAGTTAGAAAGGAAAAAGAAGACTTAGCTAAAAGGCTAAAATTAGCTGAAAATCCGATCGAAGAAAAATTTGACTTTGCCGAGCCGGGTAAGTATAAATTCCATTATACAAAAGTGAAATTAAAATATTATTTTTCCATTCACAGATCAGCCATCCGTGTCTCGTAAGTTGGTTAACTTTTTTAGGTAATTGTAATAACTTATTTTAATTTTTTTACAGATTCCGCTGAAAACCGGATTATTTCACTTTTAAAAGGTATTATTTGCTATATGGCAGTTAGAATCATTTTAAAACAAATTTATTTTCTATTTTAGAAGAATTCACCTATCTCCGTGAGCAGAACGCATCTCTACACCACAAGGTGGATATATTAGCAGAGAAGCTGGCGGAAACCACAGCACTTCTCAAAGTTAAGTTGAAGGCGGACGAGAATGTGGAGCGGTCTGGGGTTTCCTTCCCCCTAAGGTCCGAACAGGACATAGAACTCTTCGAGAGCTCTATCACGCCAGAACTGTGGGAGTGTTACGTAAGTTCTTTTATACTGTTGGAGCCAAAATATTTCAACTTTTTATCATTACAGAAAAAAAAATAATTAAAGTGGCCAAGAAGGAGACTTTCGTCAAGGCTATCCGCTTGGTCCTGGACGATAGCTTGATCCAAAACTATAATCTGGACGGGACTAGCGGCAAAAAAAGCCTTAAAAGTTTTTCAATCCTATACAATATTTTGAAAGGTGACCAAATCTAAAAAACTTTTTTCATAGCAATAATTTTAATAAATATCTGTTTATATTTTCAGAGGTCTCAGAGACGGCATTTCCCTTTGATGAGCCCGATAAGGCAATAAGAAAGGCGATCCATAATATTAAAAACAGTTTCTTTAAAAAAAAAAAAAGGATTAGTGTTAAGTTAAATAATACATTATAAGAAATAAAAGTAAAATAATAATAAAATACAAATAAAAAGAAATGTAAAATAAATAATAATAATAATAAAATACAAATAAAAAGAAATGTAAAATTAATAGTAATATGTAATAATAATAAAAAGACAATGTAAAAAAATGACAATGTTAAAATAAATATAAAAATACATTTTTGTGTGCCATTCTTCTTTTCTATTAATTAATTGGTGAATTCATAAAGGACATGGTTTAAAAAGTCAGCGGTGGTTTTTTGAAGGTCTTATTTGTAAGTCTTATTGATGAATGCACCAACGACATATTCAAAAAGTCGTTGCTGTTTTCTCAAAAGGTATTCTCGCGAATACCATCGATAGAAACATTTTCATGCCATCACATACACATACCCCGTTTTCACCAATGAGTTCTATTACATCGGCGACAAGGGACTTTTGGAACTCAAGAGTCCTTTAAAAGTATTAAGATCTTGACGTTGATACGTATGGATAGTTATATATAGATGGTTGGTTAGATACATAAATAGTTTGAATAGTAAGGTATCTAGCTACAATTATTTTTCTGTGCTGCTGTAAAGTATCTGACAAATGTTTATTTGTGATATTTAATGTATTATATCAAGCATTTGAAATCTTACTGTAGCACAAGCGCTCCATTGCTGGCACCAGGTAGTCATCACAAACAATCGCTAGAACAATGAACAGATACATGCTAATAAAAAAGGACGCTACTGCTGATATCCAACTTTTCTGTCTCATCCAGTTGGGAAACTCCATGATGGCCGGCATAGTGCAATTGGGGTCATCTAGACTATCCCGCAGACTCTCTCGAAAACTAATTCGATGTGAAAATTCTGAAATAAATTAGATACATAATCAACAACACCAAAAGTTTATGTATTGAATATAAAGAAATATTAATCGTAAGGCGCCATATTTACGAAGATTTCAGTAAAATGAAGTAAGCTGAGAGTCTAGAACTCTGGAGGGAAAACTACAGAGCTCTTAACGCAATAATACGTCTTTTGAATCCCATTCAGATCGACCGCTTGTCGATTCGACCTGTCACATTGGGACTTAACCTAATCGTACACTTTTCATGCCAAAAAAGCTTTTGGGACTATCCGATATAGTCGCTCGATCCGTCCCGTTCCGACTTATATACTGCGTGCAATAACTACACAACTTTTGGGAAAGTTTTAGCAAGAAAGCTTTAAATCTGAGAGACTAGTTTGGGCAGAAACGGACAGACGGACAGATAGACAGCCGGACAGACAGACAGACGGACGGACAGACGTATTTCGATTCAGAGGTTGATGCTGATCAAGAATATATGTATATACTCTATGGGGTGTCTCCTTCACTGCGTTGCAAACTTCTGACTAAAATTATAATAACCTTTTGCTCTACAAGGGTATAAATATATATGAAGATATTGAATTCATTAATAATGCTTGAGGTCTTACCACTATCATGCTGTAAAAACTTTATTAAGTCCAAATCGGAGAACATTGTGTTGCTTTTAAAATTTTTAAGTTAAATTAGCCAAATATGTGAAACAGACATACCAATTAAAATATATACAATAACGATCACAAGATTTGATAATATAAGCAAAGCATGTCCTGATTTTTCAATAAAAAAGTGTTGCTGAGTAAAATTTTGAAATACATATATTTCAAAGGGTGTCTGAATGTATCTGTATTTGGGAAAGAATAAGGGCAAGAATATTGCAAATAAACATTCATAGTAATGAATACTCAGCGAAAAAAATCTCACAAGTAGTTACGCCTCTCCATTTTTGGTTTCTTTTAATTGGGTGACTATGATACAGATGTATTATATGTATGTATATGGCTCACGATATTTGATTTCAGATGTAAAACATTATACTTATTAAGATCGGTCGAGTATATAAAATAGCTGTGCTGGTCAGGGTTTTCTCTTGATTTTCTCTGAGCGAATATAATTCTGAAAAAGACAATTTTTTAAAAGATGTTTTTGTTGATCCCTCCAATTTCGACTATTATTATAACGTTATTAAATTTAACCCATTATACTCTTATTTATCCGTATATAATATACAAGGATTCCGAGCGGAAGTGGTAGAAAGTAAACGTAATTGGCAGAGATTGACCAACAATTAGGAAAATAATAATTATTAAACCCTTATAAGTTTGTGTTGGATTCAAAATCACGAAACATATTTATTTTTTGTTAAATTTTGTTTATGTTCAGTTCGACTATACAACAAACTTCTTTATTCATGAAATTGGTTATTTCATTTGACCGTTCTTGATGGCTGCGATATAATTTGTTGTATAGTGGAAAATATATTCTATTTTGCGTTTGTCACCCGCAGGGTAATCTAAGAGCAATATAAATTTATAATTATTTGTTCAGTGCAGAATGAAAAATAAAAACAGATTCCTAAGGCCTTACAAATAATAATTTGAATAACTCGAATCAAATAGTTTATTTTTATAGTTAACAATTTTTGTTGGGAAAATAAGAACTGCTTGAAATATCTTACCGAATTTTTATTTCATGTTGAATGAAATATATGGTACAAAAGAATTAAAGTGAAAATAATACATAAATTATGAAAATTTAGTTTGTGAGACAAATGTATTTACATACGTCAAAAGTTAATAAAGCACACTTTTGGGTAAAAATATAATCCCATCAGCAAGAATCAGAACAACATACCTTTTAGTTCTGAAAAACGTTGGTTCAATTTAATAAAAAATCGTTCCGCAAACCAAGCAAATCCCATCAAGAATATTCGTCATCACCCAACTCTTTGTTAAATCTCATATATATTAATCATATAAATACATTATTGAATTTGTTTGGTTTTGTTTTTGGTTTTCGTTTCTCCCTTCGCTTCGCTCAGTTTATCTTTTTATTACTTCTCGTCTATTTGCATTTGTCTTTTGGTTTTCAACCGAAGGTCTTGAAAGTCTACTTCAATAATAATAATAAAAAAAAAGTATTATTACAATAACAGCATAACGTATAACGTAACTCAACTATCAAGGTAGATAGAATAGAACAGAAAATATATATTAATTAATTAAAGGACTGCACTCAGGGTTTTTTTCCAGCCAGCAGCCGGAAACGAAGGCGGAATCGGAAATCGGAAACAGCAATGGCATCCGGCATCCCTCCAATCTATTCATCCATCCATCCATCCATCCATCTATCCATCCATCTATCCATCCATCTAGCCATCCATCTAGCCATCCATCCATCCGTTCATCCAAAATCGCACACAAGCTGTCCCTCGGATATCGTCGGATATTTGATTCGGATTCGTCGGATTTTTGTCGGATTTGTCGGATGCAGATCCATCTCATGATCGACCGCACGTGGGCAGGTTGACGCGGAAGAACACATTGAGTTCGATGAGGGAGGCGAAGACCATGAAGACCAGGTACATCACCAGACAGGCAGTGCCCACCTTCTTGTCCAGCTTGAACTTGTTCGTCGAGAAGGTCAGATAGAGGAGGAACAGCGTGGACAGCAAGGTGATCGCCGAGTACTCCAGTCCGGCCGAGTTGATGGCCACGTAGTTCTGGCCCGGCTGAATCGGGAAGAAGACCGCCTTGATCAGCCAGGGAACTCCGAGGCAGAGCAGGATGTCGAAGGTGTTCGACCCGATCGAGTTGCAGATCCCCATCGATCCGTGACCTGCATCATGATCAGATTCTTGTATAGTTATCCACAGTCTGAGAGCCTTCTCATCGTCATCAGCTCAACTCACCGCGTTTCGCTACAATTACACTGGAAACCGCTTCGGGTACACTGGTCCCGGCCGCCAGGAACGTAATCCCCATCACCGAGTCCGGAATCTTGAGAGTGTCACCTGCAGAAGAGGCAGATGGAAATGGTAGATCAATAACACGAATAAGGCATGGAGTTGGCAAGGAAGAAAGCGTCAAGGAGTTGTCCTAAAGTTTCTCTGATTCCTACAGAATATTAAGAAGTTACATGACTTTCTTACTCATACTTTATGATTGGGATTAAGATGTTGGCTTAGATGTTCAATATATAAAAATGATGTAACGGCAAATAGATATACAGACAAAACATGAAAGTCCACATTATGTATTATCGTAGTTGAATAGTCGTTTAAAAACTATATACTCTAAAAATGATGGAAAGGTACATGAGCAGCTTTCTTTTTTAATAAATTCGAAATTTTCTGAATTTAGGGATGCAGACATTTTACCTATTATGGTTATCATCCACGCAACCACATAGGACAGCGATCCGATCCAGACGATGCACATGATGAAGGTCAGGGGGAAGATCTTGTTGTTCTTGGCCTTCTTGCAGTCGGGAATGGCGATGCGGAAGAGCAGGTGGATGGGCCAGATGATCAGCCAGGTGAACTGGGCGAAGCAGCTCTTGTCCTTCGGGTAGGCGAGCAGGGAGTAGCCCTCCTCCTCGCGATCCTCGCCAGCGGCAGCCACTGCGCCGGATTGGGCCTCCGCCTCGTCCAGTGGAGCCATTTGGGCAATGGGTCCAGCTCCTGGGGGCACGCCCCCTCCCTCTCCGCCCCCAGCTGCGTGGCTGGTGGTGGTGGTGGTGGTGGTGCTGACGCTTATCGTGGTGGTCAAGGTCGAGGTGGTGGTGGTGCCGCCACCGCTGGTGCCTGCGGTCTTGGCCTGGTCATTGTTGAGTCCTCCGTTCAGCTGGATGTTGGCCATGTTCTGGCAAATGCGGTTCTCCACGAGCTCTGCATTGGTGGGTTGAAAGAGGTTGTTGTTACAAATGCTACGGTGCAAGGGGTCAGAGGTCAGTGGGTCAGGGGGTCAGGGGGTCAGGGGTCCAAGGGCTTGTGTGTTGGCTGGTGTGGAGGTGGAAGTGGCTTTAATTTTCGTTTCGTGTACCTGGTTCCTTCTCATTGCTGTTCTTTGTGTGTATGCTGCAGTTTGAGGACCGGCTGCGCGAACGCGCCTGCTTAACGCCACCTGTGTAGTATATTGTATATTGTATATTGTATATTGTTTAATGTATATTGTATATTGTATATTGTATATTCCCTGCAGTTCTGGCTGTTCACAAGTGAATTGTGGCAATTACCAATCATGTGTGTAGGAAAGGAAAAGGGATACTCCCAAGTTTCCCTCTCTTGCTCACTCTTAGAACACATGTATACCGAAAACGGCAATGCCATACAAAATGTCTCTATGAAATGTCGTCGGTGCGGCTTCGCACATTTCATCGACGACAAAGCAATTTTGGAACTGCAGGGTTGTATATTGTATAATGTAGTTTGTGAGAGTATTGTTTTGCGTTCTTGTATCAGGAAGTGTATCTGTATCTGAAATTGGGACTAAGTGACGGCACAAAGGACTCCCGAACTTTTACTAAAATAGTACTCGTATTTAGTAAGTATTATAATTCACAGCATTCTCCTCGATTCCTATTGACTATCACAATTAGATTGAGAATCCGTTAGCTAGCATTTGGAGAGAGTAAATGTTTTTGATTTTTCTCAGATGTGTTGAGGTGTTTTCAAAAAAAGGACACGCCTGCTGTTACGCCCACAAATAGCGAATTGATCACTTTGTTAATTACTGTATTGCGATTAAACATGCTGATTAAAATGAAAACACTCTTCTCGAAGTGGGCATTAAATGTAGACGCCTTTTTACCAATAGCTTTAATAGTGAAATATTCGTATTTCGTCATCAACGTTTCTTAAACAACGTTAACTCAGATATTAAGTATTGGTAATTTAGTCTCATTACCATATAGGGTTAGATCAAAGTGAATTCTTGCTTGAATGTTTTCCTGCTGTCGTTTATATAGTTAGAAATTAACAGAGTGGAGTTCTTGTCAGTTACCATCCTCCCGCATTTAAAATTTAAAGAGTATACAAAAAATGAAAAATACGTTGCTTTGCAACCTTACTATTTAGTAAAAAAAACTTGAAACGAATGTTGCTGCACCCAAAGGGGTGAGGCGTCCTAGTTAGTTTGACTCACCTTTGGCGCACTTCTGGAAGGTCTTGTCGAAGTACATGACCGCCAGGTAGACGGCGTACAGGGAGACCAGGATGAGGGCCTCGTACCACTCGACGCGCTCGTCGTGCATCACGCAGATGAGGATGGCCACCGTCACTCCGTAGGCGATGCTGTCCCTCGTCAACGGCCACCAGTCCAGGGGAATAGTCTGTGCGAAGCATGAGAGGATTAGGGCTGTTCTGGGGGGAACACAAGAGGAAACGAGTGGGAGTAGACTTGCCATGCCAGCTCCGATGCCGCAGCAGGCGGCCACCGCCAAGATGTTAAAGACCGCCGATCCGACAATCGTGCCCACTCCGATGTCGCCCTCCGTGATGAACGTGCCTATCACGTTGACGAACAACTCGGGGGCGGAGGTGGCCGCGGCCATGAACGTGGCGCCCGCCACATCGTTGGACATGTTGAGTGCTGGTCATCAAATAACAACATTGTAGTATACGATATAATATATAAAGTGATCGGGGAAGTGTTAAGCCCACCCACCTGCACATATTTTCTCGACTGCTGGCACAAAGTACTCATCACACACTACGGCTAAGGCTACGAATAAATATAAACTGGCTATAACATGAAGTACAACAGCACCGGACTGTCTTTGCGCCTCCGAGAACAGGTCCCTGGGGAAGTCATCAATGGCGGGCTGAGTGCAATTTTTATCTGCAAGATACGGCAGTGCGTTCATCATTTTAATGGGATTTCTTTTTTATATTTTAAGGGCACTAAGATGATACATTTTTATAAATATTAACTTCTTTGTTGAATTTGAAACAAATTTTATAACAGATCATTTTTACGTTTTTTCTCATTTATGTTTTGTGCATATTTTTCTCTTCATAGAATTTAGAGGAATTGTTTTATCACAGTCTTTTTAAAGCATATATTCACAGGCAATATACTATAGGTTTACTCATGTAGAAATTTAACAACTAACATCAAACTTAAGAAACGTACTTATAAATACCATAACTCTTCACGTGATTGTAAGTAAACTTATAGTTTGAATGTTTTAAATTGTCTTTTCTGATTTCTTTTTGTAATCTTTATTCGTCACTGAATTTTTAGTTTTATAAGTTGGTTTTGTGATTTGGGCCCTTAAAGGTGTTTAATCACTATTTTGCGCACATTTCATGCTGCCACAACGTTTCACCCAAAAAAAAAAAAACAAACTAATTCGGATCGATCGGGGAAGAAGTAGATTTATCTACGTATCGCCGGACTGTTCCGAGTGCCTCGACTTTCTTTTCTTTGTGTCGGTAATGAACTGAACCAGCAGAGTTGTAAGAAAGACCACAAGACTGGCGATCGGAACCCAGAACTTGGCAGCCCAGGAATCGAAGCTCAAAACAGAAGCTGAAATGGAAACCGCTCGAGATACAGATACAATTACCACGGATACCCATACCCATACCCATACCGAAGCATAACATATTTGCTGGTGGTCACAGATACAGATACAGATACAGATACGTCTGCTGAACCGAAATAGAAACCGAATTAGAGCCGAAACCGAAACAGAAACACAGAAACAGAAGCCGAAGCCGAAGCCTCGCTTTCTTATTATCGCATTATATAGATGTACTTGATCATCGATCAAGTATGCGACGGACCTCCGATCCAACTAACTAACGATCCGCAGCGGAAGCGATAAATACGCCTTTGATGTCATCAAATTGAATTGCAAAACAACAAAACTGAAGCCGCACGCTGAAACCCCCGACAAAACAGAAGCTCAAACCGTAATTAAGACCGAAAACTATGCCCACTGCTGAAAACGATCCACTAGCGAAAAAAGAAAAACATATCGACACGGAGAAAAATGATTCCCTACTCAATCCTTACATCCAACACCCGCAAAGGTATCGTAACCTATTCTTACCTTTGCAACTCAGCTAAGAAACAGTTTTCTAAACATGTATAATACTAAAACATTTTCACTATATTTTAGCGGGCATATAAAGGATCCTTAGGTCTACAGGACAAGCCAATTGTGTTCAATAAGATTTAATTAAAATTTGAATACAAAAACGAAATTTACCCAAATTTATTAATTGCTCATATGACTTTTAAGGCATAAACATTATTTTTCTTAGATCATCTTATCTTGTGATGACATAACATAATCTTAAACATTTTTCAACAAATTTTAGTTATCTCATTGGGTTCAAGTATGATCAATTATTTTTTTCCGTGCTAAGCAGCTATGCCAAAAACAAGAAGACGATAAAAACGAAATAGACCAACTTAAAGTCGCAAATTGAAGCAATAAAAGCTAACCGAGCCGAATGACTAAAACCAGCACAACAACATGGATAATATCAATCGATTGAGCGGCAAAACACTATGGACACACAGATACATTGGCAGAGACAGATTAGAGGCGATCATTTAAAACTAATTTTACATTTCATTTTTAGGAGCTCATTCTAAGTGTAGTAAAATAGAAAAAACCAGTAATCATTTATAGATACATTTAATCCTCCATTGCACGCGTGACCAATCAAGCAAATTCTGTTTTGCTGTCGAAATCGAAATCCTGAAATACCGTTATTTTGCCGGTAAAGTCGATAAAGACAGGAAAATGTCGATTGATTGTTGTGAAACAACGATCGAAATTCGATTTACTGATATCGATTGTTGGCCAATCTCTTTTGAAATCCTCAGTCCAATATCCCAAAATCCAAATTTACAAATAACAACACTTCTCGCATAAAGGCTCTTGGCTCGAGAATTTGTTTTCCGTAATTTAGCTTATTTAAGTGCGATTGACTGCAAGTGGAGTGCGAAGTCGGAGTTGAGCGCAAAGATATAGATATATATTCATCTGGAGCGAGAAATAAAGACACAGACGCAGACGAAGATTGAGAGGTACAGAAAGTCAGTCGGAGTCCGGGGTCAATTGAGACAAACGCATTTTGTAACCGCCAACCCGCATAATGCAATGAGGCTTAATAGACATTTACAGCGTTCCCTAGTTAAAGCGAACGGGAGAGCAACAGGGTGCGAGCGAGAGGGCGATACGAGTGTTAATGATAATCAATTTAGCGGGGATAACAATCAGCAAAACATTCAATCACAGTAAATTAAGTTAACTTTAATTGAATGAGGGAAGCATTAACGGTAAAAGCGTATCGAATTTTTGAAACTGTGCATCTTGCAAACGTCACGGATAATCAAGTTGGAATTAAGACAAGAAAAGAACCTAGATTCGGCAAGCCAAAACCCTCATACCCTTATAGTAAAGCTCTAATCTATAAAATGAACTCAGTATTTACACTCTTCAAGAGGGCATTCTAATTTTAATCACAACTATTTAATTTACGAATGCCAGTCTTTTCTTCAAACTGATTTAATAGCTACCTTGCTGAAACTTTATCGAAATCAATACACATTTTGGAGAACAACTATTGTATCATACTGGAAAATTCCATATTACATATAAACAATATAAAAATACCTAACCTCCACTATTTCTTTAATTTGTTATAATTTTTTCAACATACAAAATTTCTTATATTAAATTTCGGGACGAAAATTGTTTAACATTTTTTATTTGGTCCTCTTTTTTTTAATTTTTTATCTTTACCAAATTGGTGTAGCATACTTTTCAGCGAAATTGTATTATCAAACAGTGGTTTCGACTGGACAAAATTTGATGAATTATTTTCAAATTTTATATTAAAATTTGGTGATTGGGCAAATGGTAGAAGGAAAACAATTCCTGCAGTTACCTACAGATCTCTTCACTGCGGAAAACTGATTAACAAACTCCTTACTTTCTACAAAGGAAGATGGAAATAAGACATGAGTATGTGTGTCTTATTTCCACTTGTATATTATAAATTAGGAAAAGTAAATGTTAGGTGAATATTTATTCTAAATCGATATCACCACGCAAGTCGGTACAGATGAAACCAACTGTAGTTCAACTGTAAAAACCGGAATTATGTTAGCTTTCAGTACTTGAACCTTCCTCAGGAAAACATCTCAAACTTTTCCGGATAACTTAACAGCCATGTTAAGCAACATGCCATATTACGTATCCGCCTCGTTTTCTCAATTGTTTTATAGAAAAACTTAAGGCCTATCACCTCGCGGACACTCAAATAAATCCACATGGATTTACGGCAGAGATCTGTACGATCCGTGTGTATACCCATATGTAAGTTCATTTCTGACCATAAGTAAGGAAAATCAGTGTGACAATACGTTTTAATATGACTTTTGTGTTCCGTTTAAAGTAACATTTTCAAAACGAATCCAGCTTTGTAACTTTTGCATGTGTACGAGTATGTCCAATTTTTAGTTAGTTAGTCTTACTTGGCACACCCAAGACAATAACTAAATCAGAAAAAGGGGAATATAACGCTGCATTGGCTACAAAAAGGTCAAAGATTTAATTTGTTTATTTTCGATTCATGTGGCTTAATTAATTTTGGTTTTGACAGCTTGCTCGGCATATTGTTTTGACTTTACGCTTGATTGCGCCACTGATCACAAAAAGGTATTTGATGACGATTCACCTGTTTGATTACACATTCGCTAGGTTTTCCAAAAAGGTTTTGCTATTTTTTATACTGTTTCGCTCTTTAAAATGTAAATTAATTTTTTTTTGTTAATATGTTGTGTATGAAAATACATTTTTCAAGAGTGTAAATAACTTGTTTTTGTGTTCAGAACATTTTCCAATAACTTAGTTTAAAATACAAGAAATGTAACACAATAACATAGTTAATACACGGAAAAAAAAAACAGTTTGAAGGTGGTCAAAATAAATTAAAAATGGAAAAGTATGATTGATCAAAGCTACCTACTTTAATTAGTGGTTATAACCGGTCTAAATATATTATTTTTTTAAACTAATATACCTGTCAAATGTTTGGTTCAATTATAAGTTTGTCTTACAATTAATGTATTAAAAAATAGAACGAAAGAAAAGAATAAAATCTCTTAATTACTTGGGTTTCTAAAAATTCTCGTTTTTAAATTCAAAATCCTTTGGTAGATTGAGCGGTCAATTTTTCACATAAAAAGTTGAAAATTAGGTAGCAATAGAAATCCAATCGAAATTCAAGAAAAACATTAAGGGAAGCTAAGCTTGTAATTGAAACCAAAGCCCATAAATCAAAAAGATTATGTACAAATCGATTTAAAACGGATTTTTTCGTGTATATTTATCGACGTATGAATAGAACCAGATATTTAGAAATACAAAGTATATGGACTTCTGAATTTATTATCTTTTTATTAATATTCCATTGATTTATATTGACTTGGATTGTGGCATTGATCAAGAATTTGGAACTGCTTCCCTTTTTCTGCTTAGATAATTGTGATTATAATGATAATATCTTCTGCAAAGGCTTAAAACATAAGGCATTCCACGCTTTATTTTTTAGATTCTCAAATTTTTTTATAAATTTTAAGTGCAATAAAACTAACTTGCCTTGACCGGCCGAAACTAACTTCCGTAAACCATTTTAAATACAGCTATCTATATAAAAAACAAGGGAAAAACAATAATTAAAAAAATTATTTTTTAGAAGTGCAGTTAGAGCTAACTAACCACAACTAACCACATTTGATTTTTTCTGGCACCGCTTTTTATATTTAGACAAATTTAAAGGGCTTAATTTACTTCAAGAAAAAAAATTATTTTTTTAGGGTACATTGCGCATACGCCCCATGGGCCATGCGCTTCTTTTTGGTAACATTAAACATTGCTCATACGCCGCATAGCACAGCACCCAAGGAAATTAGCTAAGCAAAACCCGAAACTACGAAACTTACGAACACACTAAAATGGGAAACTAAACAAAATTGAAAAGCAAAAAGGAAGAAAGAATCCAAGGCACAGTTTTTGTTGTCATTGTGCATAGTAAATGTCATTAAGATTCACTTAATGAGCCAATTTAGACAATTGATCCATATGCCATAGTTTACGCGCACATACACGTAGATAAACACACTTGCACTCGCGGGAGCGTACATCCACGTCGGGCAAATATATACATATACTCGTACATACATGAGTGTGGATATATACATACAAACATATAAGCTCGTATGTAGACATATGTATGCGTAAGATCGTGCAGAAGTAGCGTTTTTCATCGGCTTAACCTGTGCTTGCCTGGAGTCCTATGACGTCATTGCACGCACACACTCACACTTAATTGCATTGCATTAAAATTATACCGTTTCATTCGGGGCTTAACTGATTTATTAAATTTGTTTATCTCTTTTTTGTCGCCGCTACTGGCGCCGCCACACAGAACATTAAAAACAACAAAAAAAATTTGCATAATCTACGATGGATGTTTTCTTGTGTCAATTAGTTAAGAGGACACTTGTGGGGAGAGGGGTTATTATGTAGTTAATTATCAACTTATCTGTACTTTTCGATCTTTTCGTATTCCTCCCGTTTCGTTTCGTTTCGTTTCGTATCTTGTGTTTTTTTTTTTTAAAGACGAATTGTGAGATCAGAAGGGGAAACACTTTTGGGGGATGGTCGTTTGAATAATGATGAGATCCTCGATTATCGAGCTTAGTCTTAGCTTAGATTTTAGCTAGTTTAGTTAGTGGTTATGTACCCGTAGTGCTGCTAAGACCCCAATAGTCTTCCATTACTGCACGGTGTTGTAGTGGTGATGGACACTCGTAAACTGCGATGCGCCGTTGTATGAAGCGCAATCTCAATCTCAATCCCCACTTCAATGGTGTTGATTTTCTCTTTTCTTTCCTTTCCGGTTCTCTCGCCTCCCTGGCCTTTCTTTTCTTTTCTTTTCTTTTTCGTTTTCGGTTTCTTGTCTTTTATTTGATTTTCTGGTTCTTCTCTGGTTTCTTCTCTCCTCCTTCGGCTTTATTCCTCTTTTCAGCTTGGCTTGGCTTAAGTGAGACGGCGAGAGATATCTCAATTTGTGCTAAGATCAAGATCCACAATAGCACGTAGAGTCCCCGGGTCGTTTGGTGGGTGGAATTGTGGGTGATGAATGGCGGATGGCGGTTGGCGGATGGCGGATTGCGGAACGGAGGCAATTGAGACACACACACACTGCCACGCACGGACGGACACCTAGCACACATAAACAGGTTCACACCTCCGCAAGACGCTCTTGCATCTCGTTCCGTTCGAAATCGGGCGATCTGTGGATTACGATATGTGTTTTAAAGCAGCGATTACGAGTATTGCCGAACAACCAATTTTAAATATTTCTTTAAAAGTAGCTATTTTAAGTTATAAATAATTGGGAAGAACACAAATTAATTTTATAACAAGACATTTCAGAGAAGAAACAATCCCGAGATAAATACAATTTTACTGTTACTTTGGCATTCATCAATTATGGCCATTTTACAATATACCCAATACTAAACTGAGCTTACTATTACTATATATCTATTTTTTTCTAAAGAATTGTAAAAGGAGAAGTGTATATATTAAATGACCTCCTAATATTTGAATTGAAAATATCTATCAGAAATATTGTAGATCGGACCATTGTGAAAATATTGTAATTTATCAGGGCTAATTAAAGTTATTTCAAGTAACAAGTTACTAATTGCAAGTTACAAGTTAAAAAGTTGTTTTTTAATGATGAACTGGACTAACTTTTTTATTTTTTAAAGATCACTGGAAAGATTTTTAGCTCAATTTGGCGCCTTTAAAAACTTTACCAATTAAGGGGTTTGCTTGCCGGCAATGTAAATACGTGTTAAAATTAAATCAAAAGATTTAATTAAGCTTAAACAAGCAACAATGCATCATGGTTGATTCCCTCCCTTCTCGGATTGTTCATGCTCCAAAAAACCTCACTTAAGGAAAGAAAAGAAATGGTGGAATGAAATGGAACAGGAAGCACTCGAATTTCTTGAACTCAAGATTCCATAAATTGTGGTTTGAAAGTTGTTCCTTAATTGTATGTTTTGCAGTAGAACCCACATATATGAACTTTAAATTGTGTTTGAATACTCGTAAATATATTTCGAATTCAAGTTATTTTCGATTAATGCATACATATGTAGGTGTACCGAGCAATAGAAGTTCGACTGCAATTGGGAATTTTTATAGTTTCTGAACCTTGCTCTTGACACTCTCACTTAAAGATTGCGGCACAACAACAAAAACACTAGGACAGATTCCGTTACGCAGCGTATTTTTCCGCTTTGTCTCGTTTTGTCCCGTTTCGTTTCGCTTTGTTCCGCGTTCACTCGCGTCTTTTTTATACTCGCTGACATTAATCTCGATCTTTTCGTTATCGTTTCCGTTCTCGCTGTTCAAATTTTTACGATTAATATTCCCTTTTCTGTTTCTTCGCCTATATAATGGTTTTTTTTTTTTTTAATTTTCAATATGACTTGGCTTGTGTTGTTGTCTATATATTGTCTTGATGCCGCCGACGTTGACGTTAAACTGATTCTGAATCGGTGCTTGGAGCGCTTTAGTCCAAACCGAGCTCACTATTTTCATACTCTTGCAGGGGGTGTTATAATTTTAGTCAGAAGCTTGCTACGTAGTGAATTGGGTGCATCCGAACTCAAAGAGTATGTATAATATATTCTTTATGAGCATCAGCACACTTGTCGTTTTAGGCATGTCTGACAGTCTGTCTTTCTTTATTAATATTCTTATGCAAACAAGTCTCTTAGTTTTTAAGCTTTCTTGCTGAAACTTTGCCCAAAACATTGTTTTTTGGTGGCATGTTGTATATAATGCAGAAATCAAAATCCTATATCATCTTTTTAAAATATTAATAAGCTTTGATATACAAAAATTATTTATGAGTTTAATAAAAGGAATAATGATTTGAACGACCTTACCATTGTCATTATCATTACCTACCTACATACCATTGAAAACATTATAAAATCAATAGAAAAATCGACATAAATTGGTTTTTTTAGAAGATCCAATTCGATTGCTAGTATTTGAGTAATAAAAGAAAGAAATCCAATCGATTTTGGGTTTAACTGAAGGGGTATATCGGATTCGGCTTGCCAAAGCTAGCTTCTTTTCATCATTTTTGTTTTTTTTATTCGCCGAGCTTGATTTGGCTCTGGATCCGAGCGTGTGTGCACTATATACATACTATGTGTGCTACTAAAATACAGTTTAACTGACTTTAGACAAATACCAGCAGTTATTCAAAGGCGGATTGCTGGCTGGTGTGCGTGTTTGTATTTCATTTTTCCCGAGAACGTTTGTGCTGGTTGTGGGGGTGCATTGTTCGTCAATGTTTCAGTTATTCAGTTTTCCCTTTTTGTTTTATTTTCATTTGGTCAATTTTATTCGGCCAGAGTGGGCATTGACGATCCGCAAAGGTCAAGTCATGGTAGAGCGATCAACTAATTAGAGTTAAGCGCAGACTCGTGCCATCGCTTGGGGCTTGGCACCTGGCCCATACATTCTCCATCCAGATTTTTCTGGTCCTACACCGAAAAAACTGAAAAGATGATAAATACCCGGGTGCTTAGCAAAGCAACGTTCTAATAACACTATTCAAAAAATAATAAATATAGGCCCAATTTCACAGCCATTTAGATCCTGAAGCCCATCAATAAAATATTTTTTATTTCAGGGTATTACTTCTTCAGTCATATTTGAGTTAGATCACTATAAATCGATATAGCAATTTCCTTTGATTTAAGATGTACATTATTTTTTATTTATTCTTATTGCTTAAGAGTATTTTAATTAAGTATAACAACTTCAACTCAATGACGGTAATTCTGGAACTCTGTCGAAATAGTCATAGACTTTGCCAAATATGACTTACCGAAAAATTGTTTTCTCGGGTAATTGCGTTTTAATTAAAATTACGAAAGACGGTTGATCTTTTTTCACTATACTCCCAGGTTCATAGATGTTTAAATAATAATAATACTAAGAGATTTGAGCTGAACGTTTCGAAAAGGTACAAACTTCGATTTTGTTTTTCCTGATTACTAATAATTAGATCAATGACAGGCGACTAGCCCGTTTTCTTAAAAATTTGTTGGGCTTTTTGGCACTATTTCCTCAAGGTATACAAAATATCAAAAAATGCATAGCTATATTTTTCGGTGGAATACAAATTTTATGTTATGTGTTTTACGAAAAATTTTTAAGTTAAAAATCAAGTTAATTAAGTTGGCTTTACTAGGAATCTTTTCTCTATCGTTTACGTGCTTGTAATCAATGAGCGTGGAGTTACAAATAAAAATTACATTTCAAAACTTTCCAGTAAATTATTTAGTATTACAATTTTCGATGACATTTTAAAATGGTTTTTATAAAATTAACTTAATATAAAATGCTAAAACGGTCTTGCGATAACGGTTTTATAGAAGAAAACTTTCTTATCGCAAACTTTCACCTAATTAGTCGAAATTGGAAACCAAAAACCAAAACAAATATTTAAAACAACCGGAGATTTGGAAGCTTATCATATTTCTTTGATTAGGTTAATTAGGTTTAAGCGGAACAGCTTTAGTTGGATTTAGACATCTAAATTCACACGATTATAGAAGCTGATCAAGTATGTAAGGGTACATGTACACTCAATATAGTTTAAGTCCTTTGCTATGTTGCTAGTTGGGGTTTAATTTCATTCTTTGCAGTCGTTATTCAACAAATAAATCTAGCTTTTCGGCATAACTAGCGAGACCTGTACGGTACGATACTTCCGTGGCGGTGCCCATGAGAAGAATTTACTACTATAGAATATGTTTAAAGCATATTCTCAGCTTACGTGGCATGTGAGCCACTGCCTTTCTTTGACGACGCCGTAAGATACATATATGTATCTTAGATACAAATGGATCTTCCGAAAATCAGTCCGCAAACACAAATACGGCGATACGCAGATATAAGTGGGCATTTGGATTGAGAAGATGGGGGCCATCGTCATATAACTAAACAGTCACTAATTGACGAAGAGCTTTTTAATTAAGCGAACATCTATTAAAATAGACAGTAGAACAGACGATTACAAAGTCTCAATAGAAAGATACGAACAGTGTATTTAAGCTTACAAAATATTTTAGAAAATAATACTATTTCGCATAGGTGCCATAAAAGTGCTGTTGTTTATTTAGCTTTGCAAAAGGTTTATCCCAACCCAAAAAAAAAATAAAATGTATACATATTTTCAATCCGCGCAATCTGTCCATTTAAAAATGGTTATCTATCCGCCTTAAGGTTTCGCAAGTAAGTCTCAGTTTCGCAGATATTTAGTAGAGGTATTTGCTTTCTTGATCGGAATCTTCAGATAAAACGATTGAATAAAAATAAAACGCATAGCTTCATTGTTAGTAAGCATGAATGAACGTAATCCTAAATAAATATTTTTAACCATTTTATAGAATAAAAAACAAGAAAGGAAGCTAGCTTCGGCAAGCCGAAGCTTATATACCCTTGCAGTCATCAAATATGTTGAACAAAATACATAAAGGATAAACAACATCAAAGCTATCACAATTTTTCTATTAATTTTCCATATTTTCTATTTCTATTGTTCATATGACAGCTATATGATATAGTTGCCCGATTTTGATGAAATGTAATTTGAAATATGTGAAGTAATATGAAATATGAATAGAGTCATTGAAAAACATCGATGTTATCATTTTATTTCCGTTATTTCTGTATATATTTTTGATCTTTCTTATGGGAGCTATATGATTATAGTAGTCCGATTTTAATGAAAATTTTTTTCCCGATTCAAGGGTATTTATAAAACTCGATGTTCCAAAAATCATGCTCATAATTAAAAACCTCGACTTTATAATTTGTTTTCCATTATTTATATATAAATTTTTTTTATCTTTCCTATGGCAGCTATATGATAGAGTTATCCAATTTTGATAATATTTAATCAGAAATTCAATAGTAGTTAGAAAACGCCATCTGGAAGACATGAAGACGATCTGATGAAAAACAACGGCGTGAGAATTTTTTATTTCATGCTCTCGTATGGGAGCTATCCGATATAGTCGGCCGATCCGGCTCGTTCCGACTTATATACTGCGTGCAATAACTACACACCTTTTGGGAAAGTTTCAGCAAGATAGCTTTAAAACTGAGAGACTAGTTTACACAGAAACCGACAGGAGGACAGATGGGCATTCGGACAGACGTGCAGAGGTATTTGGATTCTGATCGTGATGCTGATCAAGAATATATATACTTTGTGGGGTCTGAGGTGTCTTCTTCACTGCGTTGAATACATCTGACTTTGCTACCCTTTGCTCTGCAAGGGTATAAAAATAGGAAACGCTATAGTCGAGTTCCCCGAATATCAGATCTGGACGTTTATACAGAAAATTTAAATTAAATGTGGAGGTGGCACTTTATAAAAACTTATTTTCTTGTACGTTCAGCAATAGAATATGCATGTTTAATTCTAATATAATATTTTAATCAATGGGAGCCAGTGAATTTTGCGATTTTCACTTTATACGAATAATTTTACGGACAGACAGAACTAATGGCAAACAGTCATAGTAAGATGGACTTGTCTGAGTATGTCTACACTTTATGGGGTCATATATCCTTTTTTAAGTCATTAGGTTAAGAAATAATTTTCATCCTGTGGAATTGGCATTTTTAGGTATGTAATTCGCAAAACACGGTTGCCTAAAAGTAGGCAGTGAAAGTATATTTTTTTTTTTTTTTTTTTCGATATTTATTATTGTCGCCGGAATCGTTCAGGACCATCTGAGCATAACCGGGCGTTTAGAAGATGGGGTAGGTGTGGTACATATGGGATATGGACCTGGGCTATGGTATATACAAATATTTACAACTATTTACAATAATTTACAATTATTTACATATCTTTACAAAAATTAGTGTACAACACGGGAAGACAAATCGCTGGGGTGGAATCTCTTCAAACGTCTAAGAGTTTGCGGGTCGACCAGCCTGCTAGCCAGTGGATTTGGGTGACTCGTTAGCCTATCCGAGTACCGTCGGCTGTGTTGATTTAGGAGGTCGCCCACAGGAACAAGGCGTAGATCGTTTTGGATGGCCTGGTTTGTCACATACCAGGGGAGTCCCGATGCCCGTCGAGCAGCACGTGCCTGCACTACCCTCAGTCTGTTTAGCTGGTGCTTGGATGCGGTGCCCCATACCTCGATAGCGTACGTCCATGTTGGCGTAAGGATTGCCTTGATGAGTAAAACTTTAGTCGAAAGCTGGAGGCTTGTGGATCTCAGGAGCCAATCGAGCTTCTGGAGTTTGCGAACGCACTTAGCTCTGATCGCCGTGATGTGGGTGTTCCATATGAGCCAGTGATCCAAGTGTACACCCAAGTAGCAGTGAGAGGAGGCGTTTTCAATGGCGTCACCGTTGAAAGTATGGACGATGCCAATCACTAGTCTTAGAGAAAAAGTGACGCATGCCGACTTGCTGCAATTTATTGCAATGTTCCATTGCTTGGTCCAGCGCTCCATCGCATTTAGCCAGTCCTGAACAGCAGCCGAAGCTGTCAGCTGAGACGAGTGGGATGCAAGCAAGGCCGTATCGTCGGCGTAAGTAGCCAGAAGCATACGAGCGTCTGTGGTGGGTGACGGAACTGGCATATCGCTTGTGTACATGGTGTATAGGAACGGACCAAGTACACTTCCTTGGGGCACTCCTGCGTGTATGTTCGATAAGCTGGATAGTGAGTCCCTTACTGCTACAACAAAGGTTCGATCGGCAATGAAAGACCTTAGGATGGCAAAATAGGGTGCAGGGAGAAGTTCCTTGATTTTGTAAAGAAGGCCCTCATGCCACACCTTGTCAAAGGCTTGTTTGACGTCAAGGAAGACGCCTATAGTGTGCAGTTTATGCTCGAGTCCGTGGGTGATATGGTTGACTAGGCGATGAACTTGTTCTGGGCAGCCGTGGGATTTTCTGAAGCCGAACTGGTGTTGAGGAATATGGCCTTCTACTTGTGGTAGTTCCAACAGTCTACTGAGTAGAATCCGCTCGAACACTTTCGACAAAGTGGATAGTAGGCTGATTGGGCGGTAGGAATCAACTTGGGATAGTGGCTTGCTTGGCTTTGGGATCATGATGATCCGGGCTTGCTTCCGCAGTGAAAGTATAGAAAAGAGTTTTTGATCAAATAAGAAGAGCTATAGAAACAAATAATTCACAATGGCCTACTTACCCGAACCGCACTGTACACTACCCTATACAGATTGATTTTAAATTGATCGCGAGTAAAGATAGTTGCTGTGGACGTGGATCCAAAAACTAGTTGAGAGGCAATGAAAAACAGTGTAATTAAAGTTTTTTGGTCTACGTCCTTTGGTAGAACTGGTTTGTATTTTGTATTTAAGGTATCAACAGAATTTTTTTAAGGTCTTCGTTTGCTACTTGATAACTTTAACAATTAAAACTAGAAATTTCTCTCCTCACACCTCTCTCTCTCTCGCTCCGCCGCAAGCAAATGCGGGATATGTACACAGAAATGAAAAACACAATTTGGATAGTTTAACCACTGGTGTTGAACCGACCGGAAAGGTGTAAGGGCATAGCATAGGGTAAACAGAAACCCAACTAATTTACACGTAAAGACAAAAAGACATTGGTCTAAGCGAGGGCGAAAGAACAACAAAAGATGAAAGTAGGAATCGAACTGATTCTAAGTCAATTGGGCATGCCGACGCCCTGCTGAAAGCCAAGCGTCTCCTGCTGCTTCTTCACCTCGTCCTGCATCTCGAGGGCCAGCTTCTTGTACTTCTCAGCTTCCTTCTCGTTCTTCTCGATCCCGTCGCCGCGGGCGTACATCTGGCTGAGATTGGCACACGCGTACATGTTGCGGAGCTCGCACGCCTTGCGGGCGAATTGGAACGCCTTCTTCATGTCTTTCAGCACAATGTAGTCGGAGTCCTTCAGCGGCGTCTTTGCAACAGGCGGTGGCGCAGGCCCACTCCCGGCGGATGCAGTCGCTGCGCTCTGTTCAGGCTTTTTCTGCACGCCCGAGATGTGCATGCCGGAGAGGTAGAAGCAGGCGGTGGCGTTGTTCATGTCGCAGCTCTTGGTCAAGAACTCCAAGCCCTGTTGGAGAAATTATAAATTGACTTGTTATTTAGCGTTATGTATTTAAAGTTTCAAAATACCCGTAGACCCTGCCCTATAGCACACTTTGTACTAATGTTTTCGAAATGTTTACACATTTTTAGAACAATTTTAGTTGTTTAACTGTATCTATTTTTAATACCTTTTACACTAATTGCTATTGAAACATAGCCATCAGCAAATTATAGCGCTGTGAAACCGACGCTTTCGAACCAATAAAACATACATATTATTAATCTGATCATCATGCAGGTTGATATAGACACGCATAGTTTGTCCGCCTTTTCGCAAACTATATGGGGCGAGTGGGCGGATATGGAGGAGAATGTCATATACCTTCGGGAATTTAGACATTACAATTTAAATTACCTGTAATTTGTGTTTAAACTTTGCGAAATACAAATTATAGATTTTTAAAAATCAAACAAAAAAATTCTGAAGCTAGTGTATTATTTTATACGATTTTATATATAGGATGACGAATTGAATGCCAAAATGGATATACGTAATTTGTCTAACTTATCTAATTCGAGCACTATTATGTTATCAATAGTAACCTTTCTATTCAACTATTGCAAAATATAGCTAGCTTTCTTTCCTGTTATTTGTACATATACAAACTTTTACCCTTAAAAGAGGCAATAAGGATTTACAAAGGGTAGTAATTTCTCCCAATGGCGCTCCTAACTATCTACATATGCACACAAACGGTCTAACCTGATGTACGCTTTAGGAGGTGAAGCTGTACATCTATTTTATAATATGATTTCCTACAGTCATGATCTTGATGTTTTCTCAGATCTTGCGCTGAATAAAAAAGACAATGCAACTTTCGCGGCAAAGATTAACCACTTGATCGAAGGAATCAGTGTCCTGGAACCATTACCTTTGGCACGTTCCTGTCGATCTCCTTGGGCATAGACCGGGAGACAAGCAGCAGGCCAGAGTGAAGGCAGGCGTCCGAGTCGTTTAGGTTGCAGCCCTTCTCGTAGTATTCGTATGCCGCCCGGGGGTCTCCCTTGCTCCCGCTCTTGCCCTTGCCCAGGAAGCTGTAGTTGCCGTACTTGTAGCAGGACTTTGCGTAACCGTAGTCGTCGCACGTCGATTTGTAGACCTTGGATGCCTTCTCGAAATCCTTTTTGATGCCCTCAAGGTAGTCGCCGAGTAGGTGGCAGGCTGCAATGCGATTTGTTTTGTAATACCCGCAAAACCTAGGTTATAGATCGGAGTTGTTGTTGGCGCGGCTCGGTCGCCGCCGACTGCGCTGCTTACCTTCCGGCTTCTTCTCGGAATAACACCCGAACCGGTACTCCACGCCCAACTTGTCGATGTACTCCTTCACGTCCGACTCCTTCTTCAGGTCGTATGCCATGGTCAACGATTTTTAATAGATAACAAAAGAAAATTATGCTTGTCCTCTGCGTGTTGTGTTGACTGCGGCTGGAACTAGGGGTGCAGAAACATCGAGTGAAACATCGATAACATCGATGTTTTCAAAACATCGTAACCATCGATGGTTCGTGACCACCATCGATGTTTTCACTAACAACTCTGCGTTCGGTGCAAACAAATTGTAAGTAAATTAATTAAATTTTTTTCTAACAACTAACAAAATTGTTGATAATATTTAGGATTTCTGGTTGATGGTGTTGGTGGACGTCGATGGAAGACAACGGCAAGATGGAGAATTACCTGAAAAGTAAGTTATATATGTATCTTCTTTACAAGCTTCTTCCCTTAGATATGTGTGCAAGTATGTGTCTGTACACACATACATTCATAAATTAGCGAAAAATAACTAATGCCGCAAAAATTTGGCGCAAGCCTTAAAATAAAGTAGCTATTGTTTGATAATGTTGTTTAATGAATATTTTAAATTACATACAGTTTGGTAACATCCATTTTTTTTTATTGGTGTAATAGGAGCGGAACCGACAGAGGAAGAGGAGACGGAGTCTCCCATAACAGAACAAGGCACTTGGTTTGCGTACGAAACGACTGCGAGGAATTCACGGTGATGCATCTGGGATTCCTTGACTATGCTCACTATATATTGATCTCAAATAAACCTCATTGTTATCGTTTGTATTGTTTTGCCTTTTCTTTTTTTTTAAACATCGATGTTTCACTCGATGTTTTTTTTGAAAACATCGAAAACATCGATGGACGCGAACATCGATGTTTCTGCACCCCTAGCTGGAACAAAAATCGATGGTTTCTTCGATAGTATCGCTGCATCCCATAAATCGGCACTATCGATGATATTCCGTCAGTCACCTTCAAATGAAAAGTCAAGATTCAAATAGACAGTACACACTGCAGCGAGTTTCCCATTGATACCAATAGATACACAAAACGCTTTTAGATCAGGCACACTAACAGTTAATTCTCGCAAAGCACATTTCATGAAACATTTGCCGTGTCTATTTGGCATTGATAGTGCAATTCTACAGAGTTCATTCAAGCCAAATAACTGGGAATTATAAATAACGAAAAACACTGATTTCCACTGAGCACTTTCAAATGTCGATATGGGCAGAATTTTGTAGAACTAAAAATTCGTTTTACAAATTCTGGCCATATCGACTTTTCACTCAAACTGGATGCAAAATGATTTCTTTTAGCTTGAATTTTAAAAATTAAAGAGGTGAGTACTTAAATGATTTTGAAAATAATACCTTACATACATATGTTTGCACTCTTTACCTTCTTTTACTCCGCTGGCTGGCTTAGAGAGACGCAGTAGAAAATGAAAGGCATACAGGAGGCTTGACATTTATAAGAAAAAAAAAAGGAATAAAAACTCATAGTCGTAAGCCGTATAGCTTCCATAACCACATTAATAATAAGTAAGATAAGTAACTGACTTCTGGAAGTTAAAATACCACTGACATCTTCTTTCAGAAAAATTGTCATTTCCTAAATTTTGAAGATACTTTTTCTTAACACAAATCTCGTTAAATATGCTTTTTATTGGCATTTGCTAGGATAAACGCTGACACTCGATCTTTTGTTTTAAATGTCTTTAAGGGGGGGGTAAGGTTTTAAAGGCCAAAAAAAGGGCCATGTTTGATTTTTTTTCGCGCCGAAATGAGTAAGTTTATATTATTGAGCTCAATTACATGTTATTGTTTAACTTTTAAAGAGTATTAGAAAAAAAAATTATTAAAAAATATTAAGAAATACGCCTGTGGCGGTTAGTCTTCCGAAGCGCCTAAAGAAAAAGTTGTTTTGCGGTGAACATCATAGGGCGTTAACGGATCATCTTAAAAATAAAATGTGATATGCGTTGTAAAGACAATGAATTTCCAGAGGTAATCAGGAAGAGTTTTTTTTAAATTTATTTTTTGTCTATTTTTGGGAGCACTTGAAAGTGAAAAGTGCGATTTTAGCTTAAAAAATCGCTGTTAATTTATTTTTTAAAAATAGAAAAAAATTACAAATTAAAAAAACTCTTCCTGATTACCTGCGTATTTATATTGAGAATTTGTGTTAAAAATTTGAAAAGGATCGGTTCAGTAGATTTTGAGTTCTGATGTTCACCGACTTTCAAAATAACGTCTTCGGCAAAATCGATTCAAAGTATTTTTATACGTGAAAATACGTCCAAATACGGTTGCTTAAAACGCTGTAACTCTGTTAGTTTAACTTTAATTGACTCAAAATTTTTACACAATGTTCTCGACACATTGGTCATTCAGAAAAAAAAAAAAAAAAAATGTAAAAAAAAAATTTTAAAACCTTACCCCCCTTAAAAAACTTGGCAACTTGGCGCGTTTACATCATCTGACAACAATCGAAAACCATCGGTGACAGGAACTGTTTACAAACGCCGATACTATCGATGCTACATCGATTGTTTTTGTAGCTCTCAAAAAAATTTACCATTTCATCTTGTTTCTTTTCGTTTTTCCGTGTCCCCTCTGGAAACCAATGTGCATCCAGGCTGGACAGCTAGGAATCGGGAATCGACAATGAGCGCGCGCAGGTCGAGGAGCGGTCCTACCCTGAATTTCAAGGCGGTGCTGCTGGGCGAAGGTGGGTTCCGCGTTCCGCGAAGTCCCATAATGCCGAATAAGCCATAAAGCTACCTGATAATTGCAGGTTGTGTGGGCAAGACGTCGCTTGTGCTGCGCTACATGGAAGATCGATTCAACGCCCAGCATTTGAGCACTCTACAGGCTTCCTTTGTGTCCCGCAAGGTGTCCCTTGAGGACGGGCGGAGGGCCCAGCTGAACATCTGGGATACGGCTGGCCAGGAGCGGTTCCACGCCCTGGGACCCATCTACTATCGAGGATCCGACGGCGCCCTGCTCGTCTACGACATAACCGATCAGGACTCGTTCCAGAAGGTCAAGTCCTGGGTGCGGGAACTCCGGCAGATGCGAGGAACGGAGATTGCTCTGATAATCGTGGGCAACAAGACTGATCTGGAGGAGCAGAGGGCGGTGGCGCACGAAGAGGCACTTCAGTACGCGCGCACAGTGGGCGCCCAGTATGTGGAAACCTCGGCCAAAGAGAACGAGGGCGTGGCTGAGCTCTTCGAGCTGCTCACTTACCTGATGCAACTCAGACAGCGGGAGTCGGATGCGAGTCCGCTGCGCCTTCAGAATCCGGATACAGATGCCCTCAGCAACGTCGAGGAGTCGGAGGCCACGGATCCCGGCGATCCTGCGGGTCAGCGATCTTGCTGCGGCATTTAGTGTCCCCATTGTGATAGTAATCATAATTATGTACTAGTACCCCTGTAGCTGATGTTCATCTTGTGTATATATTATAACTTTACTTGTAGCCCGTGTTTCTGTTATCAAATAACTCTAAAACCAAACTAATCCGCGTACTATGTTGATCCTCATTATTGTTTTCCAAATTGCTTTAGTGTTTGCCATTTCGACATTCGATTTTCTCCGCTCTTTGTGTGCGCCAAGCAATAAATTATTTTGTACTTGCACTTATCTTGTTTTCAGGGGGAGGACGGTAGAAATCAGTACGTTTCGGCTTTCGAGCTGATAGCCAGTTGGTGTTTATCTATAAACCATACTGCTATGTGTCACCAATGACGACTTTCTTACAGCACTTTAAGCAATAACTTTTGACTTAATTGAAGTAAAAGAAGCAAAGTCAAAAATATCTATAAGAAATGAGGTTTATCTATTGAGTTCAGACAGAAACAGTTTTTTTTTGCGCATGACTGATCGATATAATCCCTTTAGGACTGCTCCCTTGGAAATATGTGTAGTCAGGCTTACGCTATAGAAAATTAGTAAAGCACAGGTTATACAAAAAGTTCATTACTTTACTCAGCAATGAGTTCAAGTTGGTGCATTCGGAAACCTCCCATTCCGCCCACCTTGTTATTAATGACACTTGACAGGCTAATTGAATGCTCATTACACACCGACTCGTCTCCTAATGATGGTGCAACCTTGGTCCTGTAAGTGCGCCACTAAGTAAATGCATAAGCACGAATCGTGGCAATCGTTGTAATTTCAGTTCATGACACAGAGCCATTTATTTTGATTCTAGTCAATAATATCGCCTTTGACCCGAGGGGCAGTACATTTGGGTAATTACCAGAGATTGCTCTGCTCCACTGCAATTACTCTGGAAATTCCGCAGGGAAAGTCACACTCCACTATTAGTTTTCACATTTTCAGTAACCCTTTGGCTTTGCAGTTGAATTTCCCGCAGAACAAAGCTAATGTTCAATATCCTGAGAGCTGGCTTGGTCTACGGATTCGTGGTGGTCTTTACCTTGGTCACCCGCTTCCTGAAGGGTTGCTTGGACCTCAGTCACTCGCTGGTCATATGAGGAAATGGAGTGCCAGGAGGTGGAATACCAGGAGTTGGAGTGCCAGGAGGTGGATTACCAGGAGGTGGAATACCAGGAGGTGGAGTGCCAGGAGGTGAAGCACTAGGAGGCGGAGAACTAGGAGGTGGGATACCAGGAGGTGGGGCTGATATCACTAATCTAGCCCAATGTTTACTCAGCCAGGTACGAGTGTGACTTGTGGGAAGTGAGTTTCCCGGACTTATCGGCCCGGCAATCAATAATGACGGCCTTATCGGACTCGCACCTTTGGCAGGTAACACGTCTGTTATTACAGTGGACACTGCCCTGCATGAATTAGCAATATTTTAAAGTAAATCAGTAAAAGTTTTTTTCATTGGTTCAATATTAAAATTTTTATTAGTACTAAATATTTTTTATAATAATGTAAAGTGTCTTTAAATGATCTTATAATAAGTTAAAAATGCAGATAAGTAATACATTTTTATTTTAACATTTATTTTTTATTAAATCGGTATTCCTCCCAAAATTCAAAGAAACTAATTGATTTTGTAACAATTTTTTAAAATTCAGATAAGTAATACATTTTTTTATACCCTTGCAGAGCAAAAGGGTATTATAATTTCAGTCAGAAGTTTGCCACGCAGTGAAGGAGACACCTCAGACCCCGAAAAGTATATATATTCTTGATCAGCATCACGGGCAGAACCGGAATACGTCTGTACGTCTGTCCGTTTGTCCGTTTGTCCGTTTGTCCGTTTGTCCGTTTGTCCGTCTGTCCTCCTGTCTGTTTCAACGCAAACTAGTCTCTCAGTTTTAAAGCTATCTTGCTGAAACTTTCCCAAAAGGTGTGTAGTTATTGCACGCAGTATATAAGTCGGAACGAGCCGGATCGGGCGACTATATAGGATAGCTCCCATACGAGAGAATGAAATAAAAATTCTTACGTCGTTGTTTTTGATCAGATCGACTTGATTTCTACTTGCCGAAGCTAGCTCCCTTCCGCCTGTGCGTTATTTTCATCGAATCAGGTCCTCCCTTTGCTAAGCGGACGCCATGTGTTCCACAGTTCGTCGCCTAATAAATACAATTGAGAGCATAACCGATACTAACTATTATTTAATCTTTAATTGTTCGTGGTACTTTACCCCATTCTAATGCCAAATGGCCGCGCTGTGCAATACAGTGCGTCGCTCAAAACATGCGAACAGAGAAAATACTTAATTTTGAATTATAAATCTTGCCCTCGAACTTCTGGTTTTATTAAAAAATTGGATTACTTAAAATCCTCTTTGATTTTGTGTGCTACTATATGCCTTAGACCCTTCCATCTCTTTTTTGTAAAAGGGGGAGGAAAAGAGTTTATTAGTACATTTACCTTGTAGTACGACCCATTTAGGCAGGGTTCACTGTGTCTGCGGAGCACTGGGTGGCTGTTATCTGGTCAGGTTGGGCACATGTCGATGGCTGTTCGATCGGGTCGGTTCGTTTGTGGGTCTCGCGGCGCCCTGCTGCTGCTCCTGCTCATCCTGGCTGGCAGCCTGATGATCCTCCACAGGGTCGTCCAGTCGCCACTGCTTAATCAGTACGAAATCCTGCAGGACCACCTGGAGCGCCAGCAGAGTCGGAATACCCGGTCCACACGCACCATTCTCCTGTGGAGCAGTTTCTTCGGGGACCCGCGCTGGAAATTGTCCTGGGACACTTTGGGCCCCCAGGAACTGAGGGACGAGCTCGGGTGCCCGGTGTACCAGTGTGAGATCACCAACCAGCACGACTTCCTGCCCGCCGTGGAGCTCTACGATGCCGTCGTCTTCCACGCGGCGGAGATGTTCCCGCTGCTGCGACCCGTTCCCTCCCAGAGGAGTCGCCACCAGGCGTACGTCTTCGCCACGATGGAATCGCCCGGGGAGACCAAGCATCGGCTCGACGACGAGTTGGGATTCTATAACCTCACCATGACCTATCGCCTGGACTCGGATGTGGTGTGGCCCTACGGCCAGCTTCTAGACATCGAAACGGACGCCGTGGTGGCGCCCAGTGAGAGGCCACATTGGCGGAAGCCCCCGGCGGCGTTCAACGATTCTGCGGTCTGGGATCTTTGGGCGGGAAAAACAAAAACTGCCGCTTGGTTCGTCTCCCATTGCGAGACTCTTTCCAAAAGGGAGGTTTTGGCCGACAGACTTCAGGAATTCTTTGCGATAGACATTTACGGGAAGTGTGGAAAACTCAGGTAATTCAATAATTAGACTGAAATTCAAAATCTCTTTTTTTGGTTTTTTAAATCACTAGCAAACTGGTGGAGGAAATCATAATCAAAATAAGCGTTTTTCTATTTGAATATGCATACAGAAAGACACTAATTCCTAAATATATGCAATCTAAAACGGAAAGATTTTATTTTTGAAATAGTAAAAACATTTTAACACGTGTGTTAATCGCGTGTGTTTGAAAATAATAAAGTGGTTTTATCGGAGTGTTCCCATGTCAGCTGTATAAAATAAAAGATCGTAAATAATGCTATATCTTGTTAAGAAATCTACATACATATGTATAACTTTTCATACATTTTATACAGAATTTTCTTTCCGTCCTGTGATCAGAAATTTATAAATATACCCTATTACATATATTGAATGATATTATAACATATTATTATGTTATGTATTATTATATTATATATTATTTATTATTTATAATATAATCAATTCCAGTTGCGCACGAGGAGATCCGCGCTGCGAGGAGATGTTGGACACCGATTACCTGTTCTACCTGGCCTTCGAGAACTCCCTGTGCGACGACTACGTGACGGAAAAGCTGTTCGACGCCCTCCGCCGGAACGTAATACCCGTGGTGTTCGGCGGAGCGGACTACTCGCGCATCCTGCCGCCGCACTCGTACATCGATGCCAGTCGCTTCCAGAGCGTCGAGGATCTGGCCCAGCACCTGAACTTCGTGGGCGGGGACCAGGAGGAGTACGTCAGCTACTTCTGGTGGCGCAGCCACTACCGCTTGGCCTCCACCTCACCCTTTTGCGATCTGTGCGCCCGGCTCCATGCGCCGGGATTCAGCCACAAGACGCAGTCCTACGGGGACATTCAGTCCTGGTGGTTCAACAGCTGTCGCCTGGAGAGCCGGATTCGGTTGTGATTGTGTTGTGTGCGCGGAATCAAGAAAGACAGGTGCAGCTTTGGGTCACCAAAGAGAGCGAGATGGAGCACCGGGTGTTTGTTACCCTCACGCAACATCTGTTGTTTTGATCCTAAGCCTACAATTGAGTTCGCTAGCCACTCCCAGAAATGTGTGTTAAGTACATTTCTGGAAAGATAAGATATACAGGTCTCTGATTTCATGGCACTCCAAACAAACCAGGAAATTGTCGTCTAATGGGGACATGACTCACCAGCAGTCCAATTTCAAATGCGATTTCTATTGGTTTTGGTAAAGCCAGAATTTCAAAACGGAAAATGCCAGGCACTCAAAATTGGCAAGTTTGTGTAATAGGTCTCATAAGCTTTTTAAAGTCAACAAATTATAATTATAAAAGCTTTGATTATAATTTATAATTTAGTTCAATTTATAATTAGTTCAAGCAAGAACCAAACGTCCAAATAAATTTGTTTAAATAATTACTATTTGAAGTTTATTTTATTTGTATTTATAACGCTCGTTCAAGTTGAATAACAGCAATTTTTCTTTCTTAAGGACAATTATTCGTTTTATACAAAACCGAAAAACTTAGCAATTCGGCGAAGCCTTTACAATTTGAAAAATTAATTTTCTTGGTAATCACTTACCATTCGAATCGAAAATTTTATTTTTGTGAGTGTATAAAAGCTTGCTGAGACAACTTTTAGGGTTGGAATAGTTACCACGATTGTTACCACTACACAATTGGCCTAAAAGTTAAAGCCTTCCCAGGGAGGGTAGAAAGCTTTTGAATATTTGAATATTATAAAGATAGTGTTAACCTATTTGAGAATGTTTCGCATTTTCGGTCCCTTTATCCCAAATAATTGAAGAATTTATTTTATTTTTGAATTTGGAAAAGAAGAATGACGATTTTGTAAATTTTTGGGAAATAAGAAAAAGACAGTCGTACCCTAGTTCGTGATATGTTAAAAATGTTTTTAAAAATTAATTTCTAGAAGCTGTGCAATCAAAATGGAAATTAATTTTGTTTTTTGTAAAATTGTTTTTAGAAATTAATTTCTACAAATGGAAATTAGTTTTATTTTTAGTTTATTATGTTGAGAGAAAGTTTTTTAGCTTTTCAAACGTTTTTTAATAAAAAAAAATTAAATGATTAAAATATGCATTAGCACTATTTTATAAATATGATTCTATTATAAAATGCTTGCTCCAAGTCATTAACTTTTTAAACCTTTCTTGTTTTAGTAGGATTTAATATAAACGTTTTAAAAAAATGTACATATCATTTCTTCCTTGATCCGCATTCCAAAATAATGAAATTGCTCTAACAATTTCACATTTACTTAAAAAAATGTCTGGTTCATTTTAAAATACATAGTTCGTAAATTTAATACAATACAAACAATTATTGTTGTATGTATTTTCAGTGTTGGCTAACGGTTTTGACCAGAAGTTGGCATGCGCGCAAAAAAAAACAAAATGTCAAGTGTCAAACGTCGTGACGTAGTTGACAGCTCTCTTTTTCCACCCACTCTCTTTCTCTGTCTCTCTATCTCTCTCTCTATTACGCAAAAGTTTGGAGCTTCTGGAGCAGGAAAATGCCTGCAGGAGAAACAGGATAGCAATATCTAACGACGTCAGCTGTGGGAGGAAACTTTCCTTGGAAAGAGAGAGTGCTTTTTCGAAGCTTATTTATGCTTTCGCTATATCCTGCGTTGGCGCTGCCGGAAAGCTACCTCTCCTCTGCCAGCGTCGCTGCTTGCGAAAAGCACTTCCTATGGAATTTCTTGACATTTTATTCATTCTGCGCTAGATTTCCCGATAGTTCAAATCAGAGGTAAAGCCCCCGAAGCAAACCGAAACGAGAAAACCAGAAATCCTCTTAAATTAAACCAAAAAGGCCAAGTTGTTAAAATTTTACTATTTGCTCATTTTTATATATTTCCGGAAATATTGGGTCCAAAAAGCAGGGAGGAGAACACAGAGCCTAGTGAATCGGTATTTTTATACGAATCGAGTTCTCCGTCGAGATACAAGTGTGCACAAAAGCGAGACGTAAGTTGCATAATTTCCACAACCCACCAGGACATTATTCGGGCAAACCAGCAACTCACTTTTTTTTTACTGTGCTGAAAAAAGTCCTAGAAATAGTACAAATTTTCGGACTCTGTATCCATACATACATTTTTCTGTACTTTTTCTTTTGTATGCAATCGCGTGTGTGTGCGCGCGTGCATGTGTGTGCGAAGCGGTGTGCGCGGATACGGTCTTACTTGCACGAGTGTTCCTTCTTGTTCGCACTTGCCACTTGCCACTTGCCTGAAAAGTGCGTCTCTCAATCATCGATTTTTCCCAACAAAACAAATTTAAAAGGAAAAGAAGGAGAAAAGAGCAATAATAAGAGGTTGAGGGAGGGCAGAAGAATAATACTACTGCCCCCCTTTTGCATACAGAGAGCGGGAGATAGAGAAAGAGAGCACCAAACGCGACCTTCTCTTTTTCTCGTCTTTCTGGAACATGCATCTGTTAAGCACATTTACCGTTTCGATTTCGAAGTCAAAACCGAACCAAAGCCTAAACTTTGGAGACTCGTAACACCTCATGCAAAAGTTACGCTTGCAAAAAAACCAATCAAACTCTCCAATAATCAAGATCAAACAACTTTTACTCGGGCAATGTGCCAAATGAAATGTGTGCGAAAGTACGAAAGTACGAACTATTCAAGCTTTTAAAAGTGCGTCAACACAAACACAAGGACCTCAAGCTTAAAACGTTAGCACTCCACACATGAGGGATTTAACAAAATCTTTTGCTAGGTTTTAAAAGGTATGATATCCCTGCAATCAATTTACTTATTGATTAAGCTTTGAACGAAAGGAATCGGACTTGGGTTCCGCATAAAGTTTTTCTACCAAATACATTTTTCTTAACTTAAAACATACGTACTTTTCGTTCAAACTGCTGCTAAAACCGCATTATATAAAGGAATTACTGTTTATGCTACAATTTTCAAAGTATCCATTTCGATTGGCAAAGTTCAAGTATTTTTTTTGAACCCAATTCAGGAACGCAAAACATGAACATAACAAACTGTCTGAAAATATATCATGCATGAAATATACACCAAATGTGGTGCCTATTTTTTTGGGCAGCGAGACTTTTCCGCCTGTCGTGTGTGTGTCTGTGTGTGTGTGTGTGCGTAACGAGCTTTGAATGACTCTACTGTTGTTGTTGCGTTGCCTTTTTGGTGGTGTGTGGTGAAAAAGCTCTGGCGACTCGACAAGTTCACGTGTAGGTACACAGTCGTGCGCTTTATATATAGCCACATAGATATGTATCAAGTTTTCCGCAATCGGGGTTCTCTGGCAGATTTACTTGAGGTTTTAACCAAAATTTAGGCGATAACGGCTGGAAAAACACCCGATGGGGCGTCGGTGAGTGGGTGGGAAAATACCTGTATCAATAACTAATCATCATAGGTTAGGCCATCAGATCTTAGAAACCGTAGTTTCGAAACCGGTGCGATTTGGAGAGACGTGCATAGCTTACATAATTCCCCGTCTGCTCCTCCCACCCGCAGTTCCAAGACCCCATCCAAAAACCAACTAGAACCACACAGAATCCTACGTAGCTGCCGTTATCGTAACCGTAAACCGTAACCGTAACCACTCCACCACCTCCATCTCCAGCTCGAAATCGCTCTCGACCGGAGTCAGTAAGTTTCACGACCTATTTGCAGACCGATCTCGATGTCTCCGCAATTAGATAATGCTTAAGCTACCAAAGGGTCTAAAAAGAAAAAGAAGAAGTCGAAAAAGGACCAGGAGCTCTTCACCGAGGAGGAGCTCGAGCAGTACAAGCGCGACCTAAAGGCCAAACAGGAGGCTGCGGCCAACAAATCGGACGCCGGCGAATCCGACGGAGCGGCATCAGACGTCGAGGGTCACCACGAGCCAGTTGCCTCGCATTCGCATTCACACTCGGGATCGGGAGTAGCTTCGGGATCGGGAGAGGGCCACCACCCAGCAGGAGGAGCGTCCGCGAGTAACGCCCACCACCAACAGCCGGGGGAGCAGAGTCAGGGAGCTGCCGGCGGCGACGAGGAATGGGCCAAGTTTAAGGCGCTCACCTCCGGCGTCGATAGCATCCTACACAAGACCCAGGACGAGCTCGATCGGATCAAGAAGGAGTCCTTCTACCAGCGCCTGCCCTCCGCCGCCGAGAAGAAGAAGCAGGAGGAGGAGGAGGCAGCCCGCCTTGAGGCCGAGCGTCAGGAGCGGGAGCGCCAGCGTCTGGGCCAGATCGAGGCCCAGCGGGACAAGCTAGCCGAAGCGGTTGTCCAGCTATCCGAATCGGAGGAGGAGGCCGGCGACTACGAGGCCGATGACATCTTCGCCACCGACTACATCGAGGCGATCACCAGCGGAGAGCTCCAACTAGCCGTCGTTCCCGACTCGCCGATCCTCGCCGACGACGGACCGGACCCCTTCGATACCGCCTACGCGGAGAAGGTGATTGTGGGCGCCGACCGCTCCAAGGACAAGAGCAAGAAGCTAGTGAGTCTCGGTGCCGCCGTCGAGGTCCTTTCGGGTCGCGTCGACCGCGAGCACGCCGTCGCCCTAGCGAATCCCAAGCGGAAGCTGCGCAAGGGCATCCGGAACCTACTGCTCAGCGAGAGCGTTGAGCTAGCCGATCCGGAGGCGGATCTCCTGACCGCCGGCGCCAGCGACGAGCCGCAGCACAATCTGCTCGACGATCTCGACGAGGAACTGCCCGAGTCCTCGGCCCCCATCGATCTCAGTGTCTCGCTGCACTTGCACCTAATCAAGCCCAGGAACGTCGAGGAGGAGGAGGAGGAGGAGCAGCAGCAGCAGGACCAGGACGGGCAGCTGCTCAACCCGGACCTATCCGAGTTCGACGCCCTCAAGGACGAGGAGGATGACGAGTTCGCCGAACTAGCCGCCGAGTCGCTGACCAAAAAGGAGGAGGTCACCATCGTCACCCAGGTGGTACTGCCTCCCGCGGAGCTACCAACCGAAGCCTTCGGCGAAGCCAGCTGGGCCGAGTTTGAAGCCGATCCCGAACCGGATTCAGGTGAGCACCTTGTCCTCGCTTTTCCGCCTCCGTTGACCTGTCGTCCGAACGAGTATTTGAGATAAATGGTTTAAATTACTCAACACTGGCAATTTAAGCTGTTGTTTCACTTGAATAGCATCCTCTTCCAATCAACTCAATGTCGTTGAGTTAACCAGATGTGGGTAATAGGTAGAAGGTAGGCACCCCTGCTTTTTTGGACTGTTGAAAATATGGCAAACATACATAATACCTATTGTGATTAAGCACAGAGTACTGATGGTCCGTCTTTACTGATAAGATTGGTCGAACTTAAAACATATAATCCCGCATTAGGTTTTGGTATTTGGAAAAAGATCAGGAAATAGTCAGTTTTTTGTTTATTTTATTAATTGAGGTTACGAAAGTAAACACCCTTGAATTGTAATTTTGGTCGAATGTCGGAAAAGCTGTGAAGGAGGCGTTTTTGACCCTTCAAAGAACATGTATGTATTTCTTATAAGATAAAAGTTATATATTTTATATAATAATGAGTACCAGGACCCGTCGAGTTGATAGAGTCAGATCTTTTGCTTCTAAAGAGTTTAAAGGTATCGATATTTATGCGAGCTCGGATAAAGTTTGCACATTAGCAGATATTATATATACATATGTATATCCCAAAACTCACAGATACAAAATATAAAAATTCATTGATGGGATAACTGCAATGGAGCTAACGTCCTTTATTGCACTTTTTTAGGGTACTCCGTTTATAATTAGGTTTGTATTTGGTTTTCAGCTACAAAGAGTTTTCATTCACTAAAATGTTTTAAAAGAAACATATTGTCTATAACCATATTAAAAAACTTTTGTTCAATATTTATAATGTCAATCAGTAGTTAATTATAATTAAGTTAGTTATAGTTGAGATCGGTAAATATTAAAATATTTTAAAATCAAATGGCCGCCTCTTGAACGCTGTTACTTTGCTGAAAATAGCTATACAAATTTATACATGGTTTTAAAAAGTATTTTCTGAACAATAATAATATAAATTAAGTTAGGGATGATCTTAGGTATTATAGTTCATAGTAATTGAATTCAAAAAGCAACCCAGATTAAAAATTAAGTTACCCCTTTCAAGAACTGCCTGATTATTTAAATTGGTAACCAATCAACGCACTCTTCATTCTTCTGCAGGAAAACCGAAGCGTCCTCCGCCGCCAGTCCGTCCGCCCACAGGACCGCACATCGTGCCCGGTGCCATCTACGTTTCGGACGACGAGGAGCAGGACCCGGACGACGACCCCTTCAACACCAACTACGCGGAGCAGGTGATCAAGAAGACCACCGTACTCGAGGAGGACGACGACTTCGATCCGCGAGCGGAGGAGCCCGCCGGGCTATCCTCTCTAGCGGCTCCGGCCCACGACCTCCTCGCCGGGAGCGCCACCGATCTTAGCAAGGTGGTGCCAGCGCCCTTGGCGCCCACCTTGAGTGTCGACCAGGAGCCGGAGGACTTCGACCCCTTCGACACCTCGGCCGTCTCGGCTCTGGTGCAGCCCAAGGCCACGGAGCTGCGCTTCCTGGAGCGCGAGCTGCTCAACGAGACCTCGCTCAAGCACTCGCTGAGCGACCCGGACTTCGACCCACGCGCGGATCAGGAGCCCTCCGATCCCCAGGAGCCGCCGCCGACGAACCAGATCCAGATCGACCAGATCCAGCCGGAGTTCGACGCCGCCCGCCGCAAGTCCTCGCTGAGCCTGAACATCCAGGCGAAGAGTGTGGGCTTCCTGGTGCCGGCACCGGACCTCCTTGGAGCGGGTAACGAGCTGGGGGCCAACAAGAAGCCCCCTGACGCCGTACTACGCCCCCACTGGCAATCCCCTGCAGGAGGGGGAGCGCGAGGCCGAGGACGCCGACCCCTTCGACACCTCCTACGTGCCCGAGGCGAAGCTCAGCGCCATAGAGCTCAAGCACATCGAGAAGGACCTCATCGCGGAGCCCGCCCCTCTGCGGCACAGTCTCTCCGACCCGGACTTCGATCCCCGGGCCCCGCCCACTCCGGTTCCGGCCGAAGTGCTGCTGGCCGTCGAGGAGAACATCGACATCAAGGTACTGACGCCCGCGCAGGAGCGCAGGAAGATAACCGGCTTGGGCGAAGGCGGCGACTCCGAGGAGGACATCGACCCCTTCGACACCTCGATAGCGGCGAACCTGCGCCCGGGGGAGACGGAGCTGAAGCTCCTCGAGAACGAACTGCTGCCGGAGACGCGCCCCTCGGTGACCGACGTCCTCGACTTCCAGAGCGACGCCCAGGAGCTGGGCTTGGGCGACAAGGTCCTCACGCCATCCACGCACTCGCGACCGAGTGTCCCCGCCGCGGAGGACATCGACCCCTTCGACACCTCCATTGCGGAGAACCTAGCGCCCGGCGAGACGGAGATCAAGCTGCTCGAGAGCGAGCTGATCGAGCGCTAAGCTAAACTAAGCACCAAAGCACCAAAGCAACAAAAGCAACCCAAGCAACAAACATGGCCAATCCCTTCCTGATGGACGACGACCTGGATGGCGGCGACATGGCCGCCAATCCGTTTCTCATGCAATCTGAGCCGGAAACCGGAGCGGACAATCCCTTTGCAGCAGGTGAGTGGCATTCCCTTAAAGGCAAGAAGGTACGTGGAAGGTATTAGGATATATGTATCATTGTATTCCCTTCTTAGCTTCTGCTGCCTCGAACCCCTTTGCCTTCGGGGGCGACGACCTGGAGGCGGAGGCGGAACCGGAACCAGAACCGGAGGCGGAGGCGGGCCACGACAACGACCTCGATCCGGCGATGAGCTTCTTCGGCACCACCATCGAGGCGGAGGACGACGCCCTGAGCCTCAAGTCGGCGGCCGAGGAGGAGGACGAGGGCGGCAAGAAGCCGCCACACGCACACCCGCCACCGCCACGCCCCCAGGCGCCGCCGCAGAGCACCCAGGATCTGATCAGCACGGTGTCCAGCCAGCTGGAGGAGACCAGCTCGGAGCTGCTCGGCCGCATCCCCGCCACCCGGTCCCCCAGTCCCGTCTCCATGCGGGACCTGCACTCGCCGAGTCCCACTCCCGACTCCGGGCTGGCCGACCTGCTGGACGTCTCGGTGGACAGCGGTTCCAGCGGCGCCCACACCCAGGGCATCGAGGTGGACCTCATCGGGGGCGTCGCTTCCGCCGGCAGCGCACCGCTCGAAAATCCCTTCCCGACGGCGGTGCCCAACATACAGGCGGCCGCACCGCTTCCGGCCACGCCGGTCAAGCAGCCGCCGCGCCCACCACCGCCACGCCCCGCTCCGCCGCGTCCCACGCCACCAGCCCACGTGGCTCCCCAGAGGCCCCCGCCTCCGGTGGCCGCAGCTCCACCTCCGGCCGCCGAGGCGGACGACCTGCTGGACATGTTCGGCACCACGGCCGGGAAGCCGCCGAAGCCGCCGCCACCCAAGTCCAAGGAGGACATCCTCAGTCTCTTCGAGCAGCCGCCAGCACCGCCAGCACCCAAGCCAGATCTCCTGCTCGACGACCTCCCGGAGACGAAGCCGGAGGCCGTTCAGCCTGAGAAGGAGCGCGAGAGGGAGGAGGGCGAGGAGGAGGTGAAGGAGGAGCCGGTGTTCACCTCGCTGCTCATCCGGCCGGACGAGAGCACCCACGACATCACCTCCCAGCCGCAGGCGGCCACCGGACTGGAGCGGCAGGCGAACCACATGGCGGCGCCCGCGGAGGCGGCCAACAGACAGCGGGCACCGACGCCGGACATCGAGATCACCACGGTGGAGGACCTGCCGCGCTCCGATGACGAGGACGAGCCGGAGGCTAAGCAACCGGAGCCGGAACCCGAACCGGAACCGGAAGTGAAGGTCGAGCCACTGGGGGAACCGGAAGCGGAGCCGGAGCTGATATCCGATCACAGTCCGCCGACGGAGTCGCTGGTGACCACACAGGCGGCCTTCGGGGAGGAGGAGGAGCCGCCGGCCAGCGAACCGGAGCCGGAGCAAATGGACACCGGGCTGGACTTCCCGCTGGCCACCAGTGGCCTCGCCAGCGGCCAGCTGTCCGCCAATCCCTTCGCCAGTCCCGAGGAGGAGGAGGAGCCGGGCTTCGCGCCCGTGCCCGTGCCCGCGGTGGTGGGCAACATCTTCGCCGTGGACGAACCTCCCGAGCCGGAGGTGGAGCCCCCGCCACCCGAGGTGGCGCCCAGCTACGCGGCCAACATCTTTGCCGCCGAGCCGGACGAGTTCGACGCCTTCTCGGCCAAGTTCGACTCGGTGAAGAAGGACAACATCAGCATCCTCGACGGGTTCGGGGGATCGGGAGCCATTACGCCCACGGGAGGAGATGGTGAGTAGCATGAGCGCTTACCTTGGGTATTTCATTTTGTAGGTCGAAAGAAGGAAAGCCAGGCTTTGGGGTATTAAGAACCGAAATCTATAACTAGACTATGTCATTCGTACGCCTCTTCCCAGAAGAGTTTGTAATTCGGTTGATTACATTCGATTTTATACGTTATTAGATACTTAAAGATATTACGAAGATATGCCAATGTTGCCTAGACATCAGATTTTGGTAAAAAATTAGGAAGTTACACACATTTCATGCATTCCAAATGAGCTTAGCGTTTCTTTCAATGAAAGCATTTGAATGTAGTCATCCACTTTCATCCCGATCTTCCCGCAAGTCGGCATGGTAAAATCGCAGAAACTGCAGTAGTTCGAGCTTAAGCACTTCTATTCAATTGAGAAGATCCGGAGGAGCTTTATATTCGACTTTTTTTTTAGATAACAAGCGATAACGCTAACTGATGTATTCCATGTTCTAGTCCAATTGTGTATTAATCGAAATATATCGACCAGTTTACAAGTATACTCTACTTGCAATTATAAGCTTATTTATATTATTAATATTAATAAGTAATAGGGTCTAAGGATATGTTAGCTTATATTCCTTCAGGTAGCTATCGCTTACCAAACTGTCCTTTTCGATTTTCCAGCCTGGGGTGACAGCGCCTTCGGATCGGCCACGATCTCGGCCAACGCCTTCGGGGACACGAACTCGGCGGACGACGGGTTCGGGAACGAGGACGACGACTTCTATGCGATGAAGGCGCCCGCACGCGCGGAGTCCGTGGAGTCGGTGGACAAGGAGTTCAGCGTGGTCATCCGCCCGAAGGCGGAGGGCACTGGAGGAGTGGCGCCCCAGCTGGCACCGCCGCCTCCGCCGGCGAGGAGTGGCAACCAGGCGCAGACCGCTTCGCCGCCCGGCGCGACGGTCAATCCGTTCGAGGACGTCAGCGGGTTCCCGGCGCCGGGTCCGCCGGCGGCCGACGGGGCCACCATGAAGCGCACGGACTCGCAGGACACGCCACAGACGCCGCTCTACGACGAGGACGTCTCGCAGCCGCTGGAGGAGTTCCCGCGCCTCCACTACGTGGGACCCGGATGGGAGATGCAGCTGCGGCAGCCGAACAAGAAGAAGATCACCGGACAGCGGTTCTGGAAGAAGATCTTCGTGCGGCTGGTGGTGCAGAACGATGTGCCGGTGGTGCAGCTGCTGAACCAGGCGGGCGACAAGCAGCCCTTCCAGGAGCTGCCGCTGCAGCCCTCGTACTCCGTGTCGGAGGTGGGCGCCCAGCAGTACGACCAGTTCGGCAAGATCTTCACGATGAAGCTGCAGTACATATTCTACAAGGAGCGACCCGGCGTGAGGCCCGGCCAGGTGACCAAGGCGGAGCGGATCACCAACAAGCTGACCAAGTTCGCACAATACGCCATCGCCGGCGACTACGAGGGCGTCAAGGAGTTTGGCAGCGACCTCAAGAAGCTCGGCCTGCCCGTCGAGCATGCGCCGCAGTCGTCGCAGCTCTTCAAGATCGGCTCGATGAACTACGAGGACATGAAGCAGTTCTCCGTCTGCATCGAGGAGGCGCTCTTCAAGCTGCCAGCTTTGCGCGAACGCGCCCTCACCTACAAGATGGAGGAGGTGCAGGTGACCGCCGTGGATGAGATCACTGTGGAGCAGGACTTCGAGGGCAAGATCCTCAAGCAGATCGCCCGGGTGCGACTCTTCTTCCTCGCCTTCCTCACCGGCATGCCCACCATCGAGCTGGGCGTGAACGACATGTGGCGGCAGGGGAAGGAGGTCGTCGGCCGGCACGACATCATCCCGGTGGCCACCGAGGAGTGGATCCGGCTGGAGGCCGTCGAGTTCCACAGCGTGGTCAACCAGCAGGAGTACGAGAGAACGCGCACCATCAAGTGAGTAGAGATTGTACACTGTTCATTCTTAATAAGTTGTTCATCCTTGGTAAGTTGTTCATTTTGCGAATGGAAGGTCATGGGGCCAAAGTGAACCACTCGGTGAGTGAACTTACGGTTGAGTTGTTCCCCACTAGTAGGTTATGAGTAAATTGAACTAAGCAACAGCGCGAGTAAACAAGTGAACAACTTATCAAGAGAGCAAGAAGCTGAGCAAATGAACACCTAAGTGAATCTTGGTGTGCTCATAACCGTTGCATCTCGTCCACCTGAGTGAAATACTCTCTTTATCATTCATGAATTTATCTTTCCAGATTCCAACCGCCCGACGCCAACTATATTGAACTGCTGCGCTTCCGTGTGCGTCCGCCCAAGAATCGCGAACTTCCGCTGCAGCTGAAGGCCACCTGGTGCGTCACCGGCAACAAGGTGGAGCTGCGGGCCGACATCCTGGTGCCGGGCTTCACCTCCCGCAAGCTGGGCCAGATCCCCTGCGAGGACGTCTCGGTGCGCTTCCCCATCCCCGAGTGCTGGATCTACCTGTTTCGCGTGGAGAAGCACTTCAGGTGGGTGTTCCTGCCCGTGACCGACTGGGTATTCCTTACTAAACGTTGTTATTTTCCCGGGGGTTGGAGCAGATATGGTTCGGTCAAGTCCGCTCATCGGCGAACGGGAAAGATCAAGGGTATCGAGCGGATCCTGGGCGCCGTGGACACGCTGCAGGAGTCTCTGATCGAGGTGACATCCGGACAGGCCAAGTACGAGCACCATCATCGGGCCATCGTGTGGCGATGTCCCCGCCTGCCCAAGGAGGGTCAAGGTAAGTTATTTGTGGAGCGGGGTCTTCGGGGACCAAATCCAATCAGGACAACCTTTACCCCCTTTAATCGTTGTCGTTCCTCCCGCCAGGTGCCTACACCACTCATCAGCTCGTCTGCCGCATGGCCCTCACTTCCTACGACCAGATACCCAGCGAATTGGCGCCATACGCGTTTGTGGAGTTCACTATGCCCGCCACGCAGGTCTCGCATACCACCGTGCGCTCCGTGAGTGTCCAGGACTCGGATGCCGACGAGCCGCCGGAGAAGTACGTCCGCTACTTGGCACGGCACGAGTACAAGTAAGTAGCCCTCCTTCGAGGGTTCAATGCATTAATGGCTTTCTCGTGGTTGCAATGACGCTGGGATCTACAATTGAATTACTTTTAAGCTTTTGAAGGCTGCATGCTGACTTAACTACCGGTTAAAATTGGTTCTCAAAGCTTATAGCTGTAAATCTGGCATGGAACCCTTATGTTTTGAGATTTGATTACTTAGAGTCCCTACCCGATCTTAGATTACGTACAGTGCCAAACCCGTGAAAGTCATTGATGTAACCGCATAAAACAAACGGTTACCTTACGTTAACCTTGCATGCATTTTGACCCTGGCTAGGCTTTAAGTTGGCCTAGGTCATGCGACAACTGAGGAACGAGGGCCGACGACTGACCGCCACTTCTCTTTCTTTCCAGGGTTGGCATCGAGACCACGCACGGCGAGTCCACGAACGCGTATTTGGCGGCAACACGTCCCATTCGCGAGGAGCCGGCCAGCACGGCCGCCAAGCCGACGGCCTCCCCGGTGCCACCGAGTGACTCGGACACGGACTCCAACTAAGCTGGCACCCCGGGAAACGGGATTAGCTGGATTGAAATGAGAGGCAGCGCAGCCAGGCGGCCTTCTGTAGATACTCCCCGTGCATGGTTTTCGCAATCGTTCTTGTTGTATACATATTATATAATCTATATAAATATTTCCGAGGCGTCTGCCGCAATTTTCCCCTCTAGCAAGTGCAGCGTGTTCATCGCTTCGGGTTAGGTAAAGATTAGTTGACAATAATGTTAGGTGCAGCAGCTGGAGAGTGCGAAGATTACGAAGCAGACGATGAATTGATGAACACTGTGTAAAAAGCCAAATGAATGAAGACCGAGATGAAGCTGATGGATCTGCGGACACGTCAACTGAGGAACCGATAGCGTCTTAGGTATCCGTATCCGTATCAGTATCCCATATCCTGTTAACCGCTTAGCCACAACCATAATCACTTGACCTAGCCTAGCCTAGCCGAGGAAACCAACTAATCTGCGTTACATGTAGCCATACGAACACGTTCAATCGATATCAGACCAGAATCGTATGTAAAGTCAAACCATACAAATGCATTAAGATAAAGGTTATAATCGCAACACACGAACATATACTATATATATATACGATAACTGATGTAATCTGAAGTAAGCATAAGCCAGGGAAATGAAAAGCAATTTCGTCGTAATTGTTCTTAAAAGGCTCAAGTGCGAATAAGGTTAATCAACACTGAAACGAGCTGCCAGCCTTATATTTACTTAGTCAGCACTGGGTGGAGCTGCCAGCTTTGCGTAAATGACCAACGGTAAGGTACTGGCACAAGCTGCCAGCTTCTTGAGCTTCGGATGAGCTGCCAACTTCACAAGAACGAGCTGTCAGCTTTACATACAGTTAACCAACACCGGTCAGACTACATATGTGGGAAGTGGAACTTAAAACTATCCATAGCCATCAGATAAACAAACTTTTAGCTTTATGTATACCATTGATTTAACTATAAATTTAGAGATGAATTCAAAACTCCAAGCAAAAGCGACATGGTAAACGAAAATGCATATTCAAATGTTATTGTTGTGAATCAAATAAAATTATATTCAAACTATACTAAAAAGTAAAGGAAAACCATATAGGCAAATCATCTTTGTTAAAGCAAAAAGTATAAAGTTAAAGTAAACGAGGAAACCAAAAGCAAACCTAACGTAAATCTAAACGAAGTTATTCATAACTATACTCGTATGCCATACGTATTGATTGATAACTGATTCATTGATTGATTGAGTTTACTAGCAAGATTGAATAATAATAGATTTGTTAATTACGTGTTAAATGAAAATATATTCTATGATCCCGGCTTAACCACACGATGTTTGCCTCTGTTCTACTCTATTTCCTACCCACTCAATATCACTCCAAACTCATTTCTCATGCCAGACAACAGATGTACTACGGACACTTAGAAGGACTCTAAATAGAATCACGATTTATTACTAATAGAGAATGTGAATATTGTACCTCTAAGAAATTAATCCTCATTCATGTATTTTATATGTTACATTATTTACCTACGATTAATTCTGCATATATTATATATCGTCTATAGCATATGTATTGTATGTACAATAAAAAAAGGAACCCCATGCAAACAAAGACCGATCGGTTGACAAACACTCTCACATGTTATATTTATGTATTAATTATACAAAAACCCGACGGCACCGCTGCAATATATATCCTCGATCCGTGTCGGATCGTGAGGGCATATACTGCAACGGGACTGGTCGCCATTATACAAATATGCGGCGCAAGCTAATGGTATTAACCGATAAACTAAATACAATATGATGAATTATTATGAAACGAGCAAAAAACGCATTATGATGGAAAATTATCTAGTCAAATGAGAAAATAAATATTGCGACAACAAATATAAAGTAATGCAAATTGACTTCCTGCCTTTAACTGGGTGTCGGGACTGGCAAAACCTTAAATTATTGTTTCTCATTTCCCAATTTATGATATTACAAATTGAAAGATTATCACAGCGGACGGCAGAAGTTTTGAATAATGGATTCGTCAATAAAATATTCGACGATAATTTACGAGAAAACAAGATAGAGGCGACAAGAGTCAGAGCGAGAGAGAGAGGTGAAATAATGGCTCTCAGGACTATTGTAGAATATTGTTGTGGTAAAAGCTTTGGACGCCGAGGAAAAGGACATGACATTAGGATCTTTGGTGTCAAAAACGGATAACCAAGGGATTAAAGCAGAAGCAGGAACGACGAGAAAGAGAAAGATCGAAACGTTCGGAGCTTGTAATTTATTTATCCTAAAGAGGATTACTTACTGCCGGCAAAGGAGTTAACATATAGATTTGTGAGCCTCAAAATAGTTTGAGATCTTGGGAGACTTTCCCTGGAAAGGCAATCGATGCGTAGTACCATGCAACTATACAAAATTAATGAAAGAGCACTGCGCTCTTACACGGTTACAGTTATCCTTCTTCCTCTAAGCTCTCTCTTAGCTCCTCTGAGCTCTTAGCAGTCGGCTAGAGCTCTGAGCGCACTGCTTTCTCGACTGCTTGCCGGAGCCACAGATCCCTTTATCGGAGTTGGTGGCGCCACCTTTAATGCGGAGGTTAACCACCACTACAATCACACGTGTGACGGCCTGGCGCCATTTTAAATGACGGTATTACCACAATATATTTTGTTATTAGTGGAAAGAAATGGTAATTAGTATTACCATATTTGGTATATATCAGTATATTAGTCACAGTATAAATAAATGTAATAATATGTCAGACATTAAAGACGGGTTTGTGCCAACTTCATTTTGCAACTGGACTTTTGCATCTTAGAATACACCTGTGTTTTTAATACACGAACACAACAGGCCAAGCCAATAATGGAGTCTGATTTACAAGGAGTTTAATTAAGTATTTTACATGCTATAATATGTTGTCCATTTAATGTATACAACATTAGCCATACTGCACACCATTGGTTTTCCTTGAGCAATCAGTTTTTTTTTATCTATTTAAAGTTCACCTTTTAAAGTTTACAGTACCAAGAGTAAAACCAATGTTGACCTCAATGATTGACCAGTAAACACTGGAGTTGTGTATATTATTGTCTGAAATGTTCAGCAAATCAAGAGCTGTGAAGTTGGTAACAATTAATTTCTTTCTGTTAAGCGTGTCTTAATTAGACGGATCAAATCGGACTCAAATACGTCAATGAGTCCCAGAGGGAATGTTCTATTCTTTCAACGGGTCATACCAAAATAGGGAACTCGGGGTGCTCCTTGAACTTCATACTCATCCTCAGATTCCACCTGGAAACACAGATTTGAGTTTGCTAGGTAAGTTTCCTCCTTCAAACTTGAATTGTTCCTTAACCCGATGCTCAGTCCGGCTCACAAGCGTCAGGGCTTCTTATCATTCAGTGATTTCCTGAACTACACAAAGATACGCTTTAAGTCTAAAGGGAGATGTTGCAAAGCTCAGCGAGCCAATGTGCGCTTGCCCTTGGCTTCATTTATCATAAACAGTTGCAGGATGTCTTCCCCAACATTTTATTATTATTTCTTCATAATTTGATACACCAGCCCCCGGCTGACTGCAGTTCTTGGCTGCATGCTGGAGTCATTTGTCATTAGCTTGGATTCAGGATTCAGGATCCAGAACCAAGGATCCGAGATGCGGGATGCGGAATGAGGAGCTCCGAATGCGGGACTGCTGCAATCAGTGCACACATGTGCAGCTCGGAGATTTGGCCATGAAGGCCTCATAAAATATTATGCTCAACTTTTGCCGCTGTTGTGTTGGCAGTGTGCTCTCTTCGTTTTTCTTTTTTTTTTTTTGGGGAACTCCTTACGTGACTGGCTGCCGAGTACTTCAAGGACGTAAGTCCTGGGCTTTGGCAGTCTAATGAATCTGGTACGCCTCACCCAACCAAATGGTGCGGACTATCCCACTGACGGCTGCCACCTCTGAGCTCCAGCACCTGTTCCGGCCTAATAAGTTCACTTCCGACTCGATTGACACAGCCGGCGGACACGTGAGGAAAATTCCCTGTCAGCAAATCCATAGCTGAAACACCAACTTGAAGCTTCCTTCCTGGAAAATATGCCAACCTGCCTCTTCTGTTTATTGTGTCCAAATGGCAATGAAATACCGCATCGCAGAATCTTTACCATAAGTTAAAACGGCAATTATACATACTCGTATGTGTTATTTTTCAACCATTGTGGTGTGAATGTTCATGTTTATTAGGAACATATTTCACATTTGGTGCAAGGTTTGTGAGAAGTTTTCTTAGTTGTGTGTTATAAGTTAAGAACAATTTGATTTCTTTAAATTCGTTTAGCTGTTCAAACTGAGAGGCTGTCTTAATTAACTGGCAATGCTCACTTAGAACAATATACCTTATTTATTACTAAACTTGAGACTAAAATGATTATACCTTCAGTAAGGGAAAGCAAAGGACGCCTTAGTGCTGAAAAGATCAAACTCAATATTTGCCCTGCACGTCCTGGGTCCTTTGTTATATCTTCCATAGTATATCCGGCGTTTATCTGCCACCGAACACGTGTCTCCTCGGCTGCTCGGCTGCAATATGAATAAATAAATGAGCTGAATAAATGACACAAGCTGCCGAGCGAAATCGACTTGTTTACGAATTGAGCTCCTGACATCTGGCCATTGGGAAAGGGCCACAAAACCCGTCGGCGTGTTATTGAATAATATTGGCACGATTGACTGGCATCTGACAAGGAGCGCCAAATAAAATTTCCTTTCCGAACTCAAATCCAAATCCGGTAAGCTGAAAGGGAGTCCGTTATCAAAGGGAAGAACTGATAAGAAATATTAGTTAAGAAATATTATGTTACTAAGGCATTAAAAAAATAAATTTAAAGCAATAGGTTTATAAATTTTGTAATTTAAACTGTCGTCAGACAACAGAAGAATGAGATGAGATTGCATTTCTAAGAAAAAAGGTATTTTATGTGTGTTCCTCGCAAGAATCATTAGAATTTTTCCAAGTACTATGTAGATTGAGTTCCTAATTTCTGTTTCAGCTACTTTTCAGGCAGAACATAACGAAAGTTTCCGGTCGGTCGTTGTCTTATTTTTATTGGCTGTGGAAATGGCCCTGGATGCTGGCCAAATCGGATCTGCGAAAGAAGCCGTCATAAACTGGAGCTCGAAAGGATATCCGCTTCCCCAGTTGGCAACCGACTCCAACTAATTGTTGGGCGAGCCAAAAAATAACGCATTTCGGTGCGCATTAAAATCAAATCAATCATTCAGCGATCACGTGTGATGCAGCGAAGGCAACAAAGTCCTTTCTGGCCATCTCCTCGAGGACATTGTTGCAGGCGCTTATCCTGGTCGGTTTATGTTTATGCCTGGTCATAACAGTCGAAACGCCAAGTGGCTGCATTTCCACAGGAAGTGGAAGTGGATGTGGCAGTGGAAGTGCCACCTGGCTGCTCGAAGGGAAAGCTGCCTTCTTGGCCATAAAACGGAGGCATAAACCAGCTCAAATGGCCGAAGGCACAAGGGTGTGGGTGTGGGTGTGTCCCCGCCAGCTGCTTACGTAATTATGCTGTGGATGGTGGGAAAAGGGGGCGGGGGAGGGAGGAGAAGGGAGGCCAAAACAAATTGGCATAATGAAATCAGCTTGCGACGCCTTCGAGGGTCGAGAGGCCGAATGCTAATAGCGCGTGTTTGCTGCACATCCTGCACATCCCACACTCGTATCACTTGGCGCCTGCTGCTGCTGCTGCTGGTCCTTCGGGTTCTCGGGATTGCGCATTCCACATTCCGCATTCCATATTCCCTGCTTCGAATTTGAATTTGAATTTCGAATAGCCCTTTTCAAGGGGACACCACATATGCCGGGACCGCATAAATTTCCTCCACACTTTCTGTGGCCAGAGCCGAGGGTCACATCCTCCCACCAACCCACCTCCCACCTCCATCTTCCATCTTCCATCTTCTATCTTCCCGGCGATATCAAACGAATTAGCATAGAAAACTGCAAATTTGAATTATGACCGGCGGCGGCAGAAGACACAACAAGGAGCTCAGGGAGTACAAGGAGCAGCAGCCTCCAAAGATCACGAACAGGCAGGGGCGGACGCAGAAAAAAATTTTGGGGGGTCCGGTCGAAAAATTGTTTCGTTTGGGGGGGGGTCCGGTCAAAAAATTTTTAGTTTATATGGTTGAAAGGCCGTGTGCTGTAAGGGAATTTGAAAAAGTCTGCGATTTTGGGGGGGGTCCGGACCCCTCAAACACCCCCTGCGTCCGCCCCTGCGAACAGGAACAGGAGAGGAGCAGGACCAGGAGCAGGAGCTCCTGCAGCAGATGTTCCAGTCTCTTCTGTTCGACCGGCACAACGTATGTAAGCGACATCAAGTTGCAGACTATCGCCAACTAGAAGAGACACTCTTGCCACACGAAATGTGGCAACAAACTTTGTGGAATAAAAAAATATGATTAGATACATAAGATGAGGTGGTGAATTCTATAATATGTATTTTAGTTAACAGTGATATTTTATTTAAAATGATAAAGTTTGAATGCCAATAATTTTAAAGGTATTTTACTGCTTGGAGTCCCCGATATTACAATGACCAGATTCAATTTCCTAGCTTTATAGTTTTCTAACTCTTGAATGATAACAATCAAAATGTTTATTCCATGCAATCATTTGTATTAAAAACTTTTTATTGCTTGCTTTGTAAATGTGTAAAACTTGTTTGCATTTGAATTCAGAACTTTTGAGCAAATTATTATTTTTCACACTTTAAAGCCATATACTTTTCCCTCTACGAGTGGCAGGTAAACTGTAAAAATCCGCAATTACTTTTATAATTATTCTTTTTAAAAGTCAGTCAAAATATAACCAAATAAAAACGGATATCCATGACGACAGTTAAGTATTGTAAATTAGCTCTCTTATTTAAATCAATCGCCGATTCCAGATGGTAGAACACATATGGGAAGTGATTTTCTTTAGCCCTAAAGGCTCCCATGTACAGTCCTTCTTCGCCGAGTGTTTGCATAATTCAGAGAGCTCACTGTAGTGGTGTTTGCAACTCCAGACGCAGAAGAAACCCCCATGTGCTTTTTCCAATTTACACGTGCATATGCATACGAGTGTGCTCGGCATTGAACTCTGAACCTGCCACATGTGGAGGACGTCGATGGGGTGGAGAGCCCTTCGAGCCTCCAAGTCCGAGTAGAGGGCGCATCCTGGCGAGTCTAATGCGACTAATAGATCCTTGTTTGCCGAAAAAGAAAAGTTTGGGGCACCCACTTAGACTTGTTTGCTCCCTGCTCCTCGGCAAATACGTAATCAGTGAAATTTTCCTGCGCATTTTTCTTGCCTTTTCCCCGCCGCTCCCCTTGTTCCCCTCGCCGAGTCGCCAAATAAACGCTTTGAGCTGACGCTCCTCCAAATACTCGAATACTTGAAATACGTTGCTCAATTTCCATAAACACGTGAGCAAATAGCACGTGTGCCCATGGGACAGGAGTCGCTGGAAATCACAGCACCGAAAATCGCTGCACAGTGAAAAGAATGTTTTTGAAACTAAATAAATTGATTATGTGTTGGGTAAGTGGATAGTTCGAAGTTTGTAATTTTCGAAGAATAACTACTATAATATCTAACAACAAACTTGCAATGCATAATATTTGTTTTAGATAATATCAAAAAATATATAATACTCAGCTGCTTTATAATGTTAAATAAATAAATAAATAAGGAATTTAGCTGGAAAAGTTTATGTTCCTTTGCAGCTAAATCTTCGATCTGTTAAACGATTTTATGTTATTATTATACAAGGTCATCCAAAAGTTTCAGTGGAAAGTATGTCAAATAAGATGTGTTGAAATTATTAAAGTTATATTTCCCCATTCATTTCTTGTATTATTTTAATGACATTCATAATTGTTATAAAATTATTTGTAGTTTATAACTAAATTTCTTGTTTTACTTATTCAGATGATTTCAATTCAATTTCAACTTTATAAAATAGTCGACTTCTACACTAATTTAAGTAGCAACAATACCTTTGGGCGTTTTTCAGTAATGTGTTTTTTATATAACTGTTGGGGCAGTTACCTGTTTAAGGGTTACACCAAGTAGGGTTATCCGGCTCGAAGGACCATTTGTTGGGGCAGTTACCTGTTTAAGGGTTACACCAAGTAGGGTTATGGGGCTCGAAAGACCGACTTATGGTCAATAGGCCACCGCAATATGTATCACTCCACTCGTCTAGTAATTTAACACACTCTTAAGCGATTGAAATGAATTTATTAAACAAAAATTAAAGAGAAAACTTTTGGCGTCTGTTCTTGTCGATGTTCTTCATGTGACTTCTCGAATAGGTATACATATAATCTAGTCAGTAAGTGTGGCAACCTTGTACCGATAAGTTTTAAAAATAAAATTTAAGGGGGGTGACACTTTTGATATCTTATTCCAAAAAATTCGTTATATTTAAAATTAATACTAGCGTCAACAATAACCCTCTGCAAGTGTATTCAAATAAAAAGAAAAACCTCATTTTTAGGCTTGTTTTGCGAGTGCATTTAAAATGGTTCTGAGACAGAAACCCACCGGGTGTTCCCCTACGGCGTTTGTTAACTATTGCCGACTTTTGTTTGCCTATGTGGCGCACACACCCACACACCCACACACCCGCACACCCACACACCCCCATCCACACAACACTCCCCGCAGAAATCTTCGACACTCCGCCTGTGTTTTTCGCTTGGAAAGGCCGCTGTGTTTGAGTTTCGGCGTTGTAAAATGCGCCTCAAATTGATTTTTATTTATATTTCAAAGGAAAAACTTTTGTGCAGCTGTCGAGCTTGTTGTTTTTCTTCCGTTTTTGTTGGCCCGATTTGCAGCTGCGACAAACTTGCGAATACGACCCGTCAATATTTCATTACGGGCTCCTCTTCATGCAACTTCGATTTAGTTATTCAAGGGGAAAACAGGAGCAAACAGCTTACGGCACGCCAAAATCGAAAATGACCCAGATTGTGGTACAGTAAAACCTTGAGGTAGCTGAAGAAGTAATCAAACGCCTAATACCACCATTCACCGAATTTGTTGTTTTGCCAGAAGGGAGATTCCTTTGCAGTATAGCATTGTTTTTGAAATTTACAGCCTAAAATATTATATATTCTTTTAAAACTCACTGTAGGGAATTTTATTTGATTTCTGATAAAAGTAATAGTGCAATACCGATCGAGAGGGTATTATTTGTCCAACTGGAGCGTGCAACTGTGATTGAAATGCGGTCTGAATTGATCTGTAATCGGATCTCCTCAATCTGTGGTTTTTGCTGCGTTGTGCAACCTGCAGTTGCAATCAAATGCGGAGATTTAAATGCACAATGAGAAATTAAAGCATTTTAGTTAAAGATTGCTTTGGAAATTATAATAATTTTTAAAGTTCTGAAATTAGCAGGAAAAAAAGGTACTTACACTAATTAACACTGTATTTCAAACGAGCCTCTAATGTTACTAGTTATATTTGGTGATTTGATTTTTAAGTCTATATTAGTTGAACATAAAAATAGAAAATATAGAACAAAAACCATTTAAACGTTTTTTTGAAATGTCTGATTTCTTTAATATATACTGGATTAAAACACTGAGGGCCAAACTTTTACCGATTTGCAAATGGTCCCTGAAAATGTTATCGTTATTCATTTATCGTTTTCTTTTGTTTATCGTTTTCTTTTGTTTATCGCTGAAGCTTAAGGGCTCAATTTAAGGTAGATTTCTTAAATGTTTTTTTGTTATTTAAAGTCCGTTTAATAAATCATTTTTCTCTGTATGGAAATCTAAGCTGGGCACCGAGCATCCGATGATTTCGTTCGAGGCGGAGACCTCCAGACTTCATTCACCTGGGAGTCGTCGGCATGGAACGTTGGCAGAATCGCGTGGCCGTGGTGACCGGCGCCAGTTCGGGAATCGGAGCGGAGATCGCCAGGAAGCTGGTCTCCGCCGGTGTGGTGGTGGTTGCCCTGGCCCGTCGCCTCGACCGCCTGGAGCAACTGCGTCAGGATCTCCCCGAGGATCGGCGGTCCCAGCTGCACATCCTCCAGTGCGACGTGACGGATGTGGAATCGGTGAACGGGGCCTTCGACGAGGTGCTCAGGGATCTGGGCGCCGTGGACATCCTGATCAACAACGCCGGCAAGCTCTCCGGGGGGCAGCTGCTCACCATGCCACTGGACACCGTGCAGCAGGTGCTCCAGACGAACGTGATGGGCGTGGTCTACTGCACCCAGCGCGCCTTCCACTCGATGCGGCAGCGCCACTCCGATGGCCACGTGGTGCTCGTCAACAGCATCGTGGGCCACTACATCTTCAACCCGCTGCCCGGCAGCCAGCAGGAGCTCAACATGTACCCGGCCACCAAGCACGCGGTCACCGCCCTCACCGAGCTCTTCCGCCAGGAGATGCGCGAGTTCAAGACGAAGGTCAAGGTCACGGTGGGTACAGCCTCCTATACTATGTATATACCTATACTACCAATCTGCTATATACTATACTAGGTACTATATGCTTTATGGTCTACTATATATTACTTACTACCATATATTTTTATATAATGTATATACATATATTTCCTATACTACTATACCCTATATATATGTATGTATATACTAAGCTATATGTTTTTTTTTTATCGGCATGGCTCTCACTCAAGTCGCTAAAGACTGATCCTTCTTTTAGATTCTTTTTTTTTTATTTTTTATTAAATTTATTTGATAAAGCTTACAAGTCGGAAATGTTTAAAATACATTTTTTAAAGCTTCTGGTTTTTGTAAATGGTTCAAACTTATATCTTATTTTCATTGCGCCTTGAGTTCTTCAAGAATCCAACTTTGAGGAGCTTTCTATTGAATCACTGCAACCTCCTTAGGGAATTTACAATGCCCCCTGAAAGAGTAATGCAAATTAGTATTCCGTTCTAAGCTATTTTTCACAAGCCAGCCCTAAAAGCAGTTTTTGGTTGGCTTAGGTCTAAAAGTCGCGTAATCCGAAACTAAACAGTCAAAGTCCGATATAAATGTCAGTCACGTCTGCGCTTAACGATTTATTACTGCATTTAAAAGTGTCCCTCCTCTCTTTAGTAGTTTTATGACCTAACCCAAGTGATTAGCTGGTGGCTGGGGTAATTAATATGTTTGGCTTGGGCGAAAGTGACTAATGCACCGGCTAATCTACACTCGTCCACAGAGCATCAGTCCGGGATTGGTGGACACGGAGCTGGTGCCTCTGGCCTACAAAAGGCTCCCAATGCTGCAGGCGGAGGATGTGGCCAATGCCATCCTGTATGTCCTGGCCACGCCCCCCACGTCCAGGTGCACGAGCTGACCCTCAAGCCGATGGGCGAACCCTTCTAGGAGGCCCTGCATTGCTCCACTTTCCACTTTCGCCACCTGAATATTTCAGTGTATTGTGCAAAGTCCCAGGAAACTTTTCCAGTGAATAATTTGTGGCACACGCAACACACAGAACTTAAACCTTCAGTTGGAAACCAAATTTCATTTGTTACTCCATTTTACCAACTTACAGTTTCTTCAGCAAAAACGAAACATTTTCAATTTGTTACTGCATTTTACCAACTAAAAATTTGCTCGGCAGAAAACCTATTTTTTTTATTATATATCTTTAAGTCATATTAGTTATGAGCATTATTTACTGGAATTAAAGTTTGCTTCATCATTTTCTTATTTTGTTTTTGTTTTCAATATGCTATTTGTATTCAATACAGTCCACTGAGAATATTATTTCGTTAAAACACACAATAAAATAACAAAATGAAGTCTGGTGTTGTTACTTACATAGAACCCTGCTGAAATTTATGACTGATGGTTAGTCTTCATCACTCAACTGATTTATTATGCGGAAGTTTCCCAGGCCCTCCGTCGATTTGAAAGCAACTACTATTCGTATTTTTCGTATTTTTGCGACCCGCTTACGTTTTAATTGCCGCTAAAAATGCGCCTTAGATCGGTCAGAGAGCTCAATTATTCAGCTCACGTGTGAACTGCGCGCTTGGGCGGTCGATCCTAAATAATTTATTTGGCCATCCAAGTTTGGCTGTCACTTCGGGCTATAAAAGCCGGTTGTGCGGGGCGCCACCTCAAGTCAGTTGCGAGGAGAACTGTCTGCTGGTTGGATCGGGAGCTGAAGCTTGGGGAATCCAGGAAAGGAGAAGGGACACGAAAACCCATTGATACCTGTTGATAAACTTGGACAAATGGACCGCTGGCAGGATCGCGTGGCTGTGGTCACAGGGGCCAGTTCCGGAATCGGAGCGGCGGTGGCCAAGCATCTGGTGAAGGCGGGGGTGGTGGTGGTGGGCATGGCGAGGAGGATGGACCGCATGGAGGCCATCAAGGAGCAGCTGCCGTCGGAGCTGCAGAGCCGCCTGCACCTGCTCCACTGCGACGTGGCGGACCTGGATTCGCTGACCGCCGCCTTCGATTGGGTCGAGGAGACGCTCGGCGGGATCGACATCCTGGTGAACAACGCCGGCTGCCTGAATCCCGGCCAGCTGCTCACCCTCGAGCTGGAGCAGCTGCAGCAGGTGCTCAATGTGAACCTGATGGGCGTGGTCATCTGCACCCGGCGCGCCTTCCGCTCGATGCAGCAGCGCGACTTCGCCGGCCACGTGGTGCTCATCAACAGCCTCACCGGGAGGAACATCATCAACCCTCCGGGCGCCGAGCTCCAGAGCCTCAACATGTATCCGCTGACCAAGCACGGGATCACCGCCCTGCTCGAGATCCTGCGCCAGGAGTTCCGCGGCTTCAACACCAAGATCAAGGTCACGGTGAGTCCAAGCTAGCGGTGTATTGCCGATCTTAACAGATCTTACTAACTACCTACTTGTTAGTAAGATCTGTTAAGAAAACGTTAAATATTAGTAAGAGTGAGTTATCGCAAGTGAACACAAAATGCGTTCTTTCCCTCGTTTTTTTTTAAGTGCTTCACTAAATAAACTTAAGGAAATTCCAGCCGAGAATATTTTTTTTATAGTGAATAGTAATTGCAGCAAGTCCGGCTTAAATTGAATTGTATATATATTTTTTTACAGTGAAAAGCAAGTGAAACAAGTAAGTCCGGCCATTAAAACGGAAATTTAACGTTGAAATCACCCAAGTGAGCAACCTGCAATTGTTCAGTTCGATTTCAACATTTTTTTGGGTTGTGTTGGGTCACTACAAGTAAAATCAAAGTGATAAATACTCAAAATGCAATATTTCGGTTATTCATTTGCAATTGAATTTTTAATGCTCATCAAAAAATGTTTAATTGATTGGCTCTGAACAAAAAATATAATGAACGCTTTTGTCAAGTACCTCGACCATCAGATACTATTAGTTTTAATAGTCTTGACTACTTTTTGAAAACAGCTATCGCTGTTTGACTTATTGACTTTTATTTGCAATTTTATTTTTTAATGGTCTTCTTTTAACATACCAGATGATTGTCAGTTTTTACTGTTTTAGGGCTTAATAAAAATACTTTTTTGTGGTAACTCAATATAACACAACATAAGAGTTACATTGCTAGCTTCTGACTGAAATACCAACAAAAAAGCGAACAAATATAACTTCGTTATTTTAAAGATTATAATATTTATATAAACAGATATAAAAAGTACTAACAAGGACTCGGCAAAATAATTTTGCCAACTAGTGATTCCTCTACAATAATCGTTTATAGTATATTAATCGAAAAAATGATGTGCTTCTCTCCCAACTTTTAGAGCATCACACCCGGCGTGACGGACACGGAGATTCTTCCTCCCGGGTTCGATGTCCTACCGATGCTGAGCCCAGATGACATCGCCGATGGCATTATCTACGCCCTGGCCACGCCCCCTCATGTCCAGGTGCACGAACTGACCATCAAGCCACTGGGCGAACCCTTCTGAGTTCTCACTTTGGATAAGGCCCACTTGGTTTTCAGCTAATATACAAAGCGATGAATAAAATGTCGTGTTCTTTATTTGAAAATAACTTGCGGTGGGAAGTCAGGAATGGCGAACAATATGAAAATAAGGTAGCATTAGCATGCCAAGAGACGCGCTTTTTGGCCGCGGGGAGGTGGAGTCGGAATAAGATTGACGAGTCTACATCCGTATCCGCATCAGCATCCACATTCTCATCCTCAACCTTATCCCCATCCTTATCCTCATCCTCAACCTTATCCTTATCCTCATCCTCATCCTTATCCTCATCCTTGTCCTCATCCTCGACTGCAGCGGGAAGGCTCTGTGTCAATATTGAAAGACTGCGCGTTTGACATAAAATGTAATATAGTCGCAAGTCGCATCCCGCACACAAATAGAGTTAAAAGGAGTTGGTTGGCTATATGCATCGTTCAATGCAACCGCCAAAAGGCGAAACGGGAGCAGAAGTCTTTATACCCTTGCAGGCTAAGACAAAAATACTCATTAAACAACAACTCCTTCGCCCACTAATATTCCCATGACAGCTATACTAGGTTGTTTAACACAATTAATGGTGTATACATTATTAGAAGGGTAAAATGGTAAGTATCAGGTAGAACAATGAACATCCGACCTTATTAAATGTAAGTATATCTCTATTTTTCAAAGAATCTCGAAAAGAACACGCAGCGGAGGAAGGTTTCAAAAACTTGTCACGCCCACTTCTACGCCCATAAATGTACTCGTCGTTTGATGCCTACAATATATTATATATAATATAATAAGTATATAATATAATAAGTAGTTCAAAGGTTAAAAACGCCAAACAAAGTAACTATGGTTTCATATTCGTTAAATTTTGCATTCTTGTTCCAAACTTTCCGGACGGAGCTATTGGACATTTACCGGATCTATGCATCGCTCTTATTTAAGTCATAATTATAAACAAACATTTCAGCAATTTTTAGTAAGTCAGTGTTCGAAGGTTTTCAAAATGTATAAAAGGTAAGTAGCTAAATTGGCTTTTATCAATACCCTGTAGATTAAAGTAATGCTGAAATACTAGGAGTTGTTAACAAAAAAGGAAAACGCTGTTACCAACTCTCATTTGGCAGTGCACCACCCGGTGGCTCTACATTTTGGGTTTTACTTCGGAGTACTCTCAGTGTTTTTTTCAGGGGGCACTCGCATGGTTCGCTCCTCAATGCCGCCTTCATCTTCGAGTTGGCCAAAGTCTGACAACTTTTATGACATGCTCGCAAACAGGAGCAGCTCCAAAAGCAACAGTAATGGTAATGGCGATGCTTATGGCAACTGCAGCAACATCAGCATCAAAAACCAACAATAACTACAGGAGGAACAGGAACATTGAACTTCGTTTCGCGTAACGCCAAGTTGTCAATGTTGCGTGTAAATAGGGAGTTGTCTATGTTGCTGTTTTGGCAAGGGAGCCCAGCACACAATGTTCGCATTGCTCAAAAATAGGCGAATCGTAGAAGAAAAGTGTGTACTAAAGATATTAAAAATTATTTTTAAGGTAGAAGTACATTTTTTCTACCCCGTAAAGTATATATTTTCCTGATTGGGATCATCAGACGGGTCCGCATGAACATTAATATACTATTGGGAACTATAAGGGGTATTGAGATTGAATATGCAGATTCTTGTTATTGGTACGCAGCGCAAATTTATTAAGCTTCATAGCCACGCCCACTTGCGCGCCCATAAGCCCCATTTACGTCACTCAGCTTTTTAGACTTTCAACATTCTACTGTATAGATGAACGATCTTAAGAACAACTGAGTAGAACCCTCTTCAAGAGCAGTTGTTGTCAATATTCACAATCTCCACAAACAGATCTTGATTTAAGAAATATTTTTTCTATTTTTACGGTACATTTAAAAAAAGGAACAAAAACCTAATAGATAATAATCATCATCCCGCTTACATTTTTAATTTGCTGATTAATATTTTGTTTGTAGGCTCTTTGCTTCTTTTTTAGAAGGAACAAAGAGCTGAGGTTATAAATGAATTACGCTTACTTGTTGAGGAATAACTTTTTGCTCGTAGACGTTTTGTTCTTAGTTTTAATTTTTCAGTATTTATTTGGTCATTATTCTTCAACATATTCGAGCATGGAATTGACACAGACATTGTAGCATATGTTGTAGCTAATTGACCGATATTTAATACATTGAACTATAACAGAGAAAACCAGTGATTCGATTCCTACTTTTGTTTCTCAACAACATTCAATCAGTCAAAGGATCTCTTAAGTTATCAAGCAAATCGAAAATTCTCAGAGTTCAAACATTAAACACAGTGTTGAAAACATACGTTTTTTTTTAAAAGTCCGTTCCCATTTTCGTTCATGTTTCATTTCCTCTTTCCCATAACGGTAATTCCTTAAAGTCCTGCTCACACTGGTAATTTGCCTCTGTTTTTTCCCCGTGGCGGCGGGAAAAAGTACGAGTATTTTTTACGCGGCTCTTGAATTTTTCCTTTTTCATGCGCTCCCCATTCTCGGGACTTGCCCGGGGTCACAAAAGGGCGTAGAAGTGGGCGTGGAAGTGGGAGTGGAAGTGGGAGGAGGAGTGGGCGTGGTTTGCGGCATGGGCGGGTGGGCTGTTAGTGTTATGACACTTATTAGTGGCTAGTTTCTAATTTGTTTTTAAATATGTAGCCCCGGGAGCAGTCTGTTAAGTGGTGCCGCCAGAGGTTGCTGAAACACTCGGTGGGCAAAATCTAGGGCAAGTTTGCCTACACTAAGAAATAAACAGCGGGCCAAAGTGAAGTACACACAATCGGTCTTGACTTAATCAGGTTCGTACTGGAGCGAACTTAAATTAAGAACGGTAGAGTGTGCAAAGCCATCGATTGTATGAAAAACTTAGGGATTTGCTTAACAAGACTTAAAAAACTTTAATTTAGTTCAGAAGAAATAGAGGGGAAATTCAATAGTGGATGGTAATAAAAAATTTAGCTTTTGAAGTTGGTTGAGTAGATTTAAAACAGGTAAGCAAAATTAAATAATAAACATACAAAGTCTGTACAGAAGAAAATAAAAATTGAGTTGTGAATATATTTATTTAAATTAAATGTTTGTTGGTATACACACTTGTTTCTTATTTGTTTTTGACACACTTAAACGTGAGTCACATTTTTGTATGTTCTTTGTTTAATTATAAAAGAAATAAAGAATTGTGTATAACATTGTGCGTTAAATACGAGTATGAATAAAAAGCTCCCATGGCTGTTGCATTTGGCAAGTCTACTTTGTCTACGAAAAGTGTTGATAATGAGGAACGTGCTGGAGTTGCAGTCACGTCAAAAAGCGAAGATAGCATCGAACCAGTGTGGAAAATAGTTTTTGAAAATAGTCGAAAAAGTACTGAAGATATTGCAATGGTTTTGGCAAGAAACGTGTGGCATAAAAGGTTTTTCAAAATTCATAATGCACCAGTTCACACATAAATAAGACTCATTCAGAAAATGTTTGTCTCATAAAAGAGTTAAATTAATGCTGAGAAACAATTCCTGCTTTTAAGAAACTTGTTCTTTTTTTTTAGAAATTCTATATATTATTTAAAAAGATATTTTCCTAAAAGGTCGTCCTTCCACAATTGAATTAATTTCTTATTTAATTTTCAAATTTGGTGGTAATTTGTTCCTTTAAAAATTATTAAGATTTTAATAAGCTTTTTGTCTTTGTATATACGAAAAAAACTGATACAAAGCTCCTCTAATTTTTGTTATACGTTTTTTATTTGATTTCGGTAAAGTTGCAGCCAGATTGCAGCCAATGGTCTCAACTCGAAAAGAAAACATTTTTGGTAGGCAGTTATTTGGTTTTGGAGTAGCCTACGCATTGAAGTCCAACATGAAGCTGTTGCCCGTTTCCTTTAAATTCAAATTGTCCAGAACCAAAAAGGTCCCACTACACCCACTACACCCACACACTCTCACACACACACTCCTGTGCCCACACGCACTGACCTCGAGGTCCTGTCACATGCCACGCCCCTTTGCCATCTGCCGATGTCCCGAAATTTGATCAAATTTCTGCTGAAAACTTCGGGCGCCAGCTGGGAATTAGCATTAAAATTGGGCGACGCGAATGCGAGCGGCGTCCTATTAAGCTAATCAGCCTGCTCTTTGACCACTTTTTCTTTCATTTCTTGGCTTTTTGTTGAGTTTTTGTTTTTGTCTTCCGCGGAACTCAGAACTTATCCCTGGGCGAAGCCTTGAACCTTGATTGATTTGCCGCGACATTTCGGCTTGACACCTTTCTCCGTCTAGCGGCTAATTACCATAATGCCGACAGTTTTTAATAAGTTGCGGCTTTCCGGAGGCCTGTGTTTTTGGGTTGGGTTTCGGTCGGTGTTTTCGGGGACCTTCAAGTGGAAGCAGGTGCTGCAAATGCATTTGATTGCCCGATGTAGTAGTTGCCTTTTAATTAAAACTTCAATCCGAGCCGAAGATGCAGACCCAGCACGCCTGTCCTGTCCTTATCCCCAATTTCCCCCCAGATTTCCCGCTCTGCCGCTTTCCCGCCTTCTTTTGGAAAACTCAGCTGTGACTCAATCACGCGGCTCACATCTCGCAGCGAAAATCTAATTAAACAGCTTCTCCGGAGAGAGAAAAGCCGCGGGTGGCACTGAGTTTGTTTCTGTGTCCCGGTTTCTGTGTATCTGTACACTGGAAACAATACATAAGGACCTACGTACTATCGTACTACTTGATATTCCCGTTTTTGGATATTTGAAAATCAACATTTTAGTTTTCTTTGGGCAAGCTTTGAGGTATTTGGAATACTCGTATTACAGAAGTGTTTCTGAAACTAAGTTTGATTTAATTTTTAAAAATAAAATTTGATAAAATTTGCATGTTCAATTGCAACATTCTGGATATTTTATTTGTTTTTAAGATATCAATGTTCAAACAAAAAAATAACCGACGTTCGTTTATATATTGATGGTTATAAATGTAATAAGCTTGAGCTCGTTCTGAATAACTAAAATTTTTATTTTTCTTTTTCTTACAGTTTCAGGGATTTTACTTTTATACGGAAGGACAGACTGATTTTATATATTATATTATATTATTTGTGCTTATATTTTCTTTGTCCAAATCGACTCAGGAACACCATCCTGTACATGAATCTATATATTGACTTCAAAAAATACAATATTCTGCAAGGGTATAACAACATAGATTCTTGCCCAAAAATCACATAAAGACTCAAAAAAGTGCGAGCTCAAGCACTTCGGTTAATACTTCTCCGAAGAACTAACTTTTTTAACTATTAATTAACTATCGTTAATGCTCCCCATTATACTTTATTTTCTTCTAACAGTTAATTCAGATTATAGGTGACATATGTAAATTCTTCAGATAATAAAATGAATATAAACAACCCACATAACTTGAAAGTATTTTCTTAGTTCCATTTATTGTGGTAAGGAAAATGCTGAAAACTGACACCTCCAAAAGGGTTTTTATTTTTTTGTGCCGGGGCCTTTGAGTCTTTTGTGAGCTGCCTTTCCGGACGCTCCATTGGAGTTGAACTTCATATTATTATAGTATAGCCCTCGGCGATTCTGCGGACTTGCATAATTTCCGCTGGGCTTTCGCGGCTGCCGCCTTTCCGCACTTCCGCCTCCGTTCGCGCTGTCGCAGCTAAAAGTCAACTAATTATAAAGTTGTGAGCGGAAACATTTACAAAACATTTAGCGAAAAATGCATATTTCCCAGAAACGTGTGCGGACTTTGTAATATGCGAGTTTGCCACGAGCCAACGAGCTGTCCTGTACCGCTCCTTCCTCCTTCCCCTCCCCCTTCCCCTTCCTTTTCATCACCACCCTCCCCCTCCCCTTTTCATCCTCCGCCCACGACACGTAGAGGCAGCCAACCGGGCATGCAAATGCCCCCATCCGGCGACCAAAGACCGCAAGCGAGCTCCGACTCTCATTCTCCTTCCTGCCGGCATCACACATTTCCCACTCACTCCGGTCCGTTCTAAAAAGAGGAAAAACAAGGCTCGAATTATCTGTAGATTCCAGTACTTCTTACCCTGGAAAATCAGTGGAAATGGATCACCCAATCGGATATTTATTGAATAACCTAAAGAAGAAAGGTTCAATTTAGTTATTTATATTTATAGAAAATCACAATTCAGCAACAGCAACTTTGTAAGAGAATGAAAATACTGTGAACAATTTCCAGTGGCTCAAAAAAGGATAATACCCTCCTGCAGGGTGTGAAAGGGAAGGGGTGGAAAGGGGGGGGTGGGGAAAGGGGGAGGGAGAGAGCCTGTGGAAAAGACGCAGCGCCAGATAATAAATGTCAAGCCGGGCGAGACGTGGCCACTGTGGCTTATGGGCTTGCAACTTTTAAAGTCCATGCATTCCTGAATACGTAATCGTAATCTCTGCATATGCGTGCAACGCACTCGCTTTCCCTGCGATTTTCCCTCCGTCGGCATTTTCCTGAATTCCGCCCTTTTATCGCTGTGGCACCAAGATAAGGCAAGCTAGATGCCCTACGAGTGGAACCATTTCCGAATTCTTTCCAATATTTGATACATTGGTCTGCCTTGTCAGTTTATTTTTTTGCGACTTGTAGCTAGACCAATAAAGCGCAGAATGGGCCTAATGATTTTGTCGTCAGTTTAAAAATGTAAAGATTGAAAAGTATATTAGTGTCGAAAGAGTGGGGAGGTGTTTTTCTTCCCTTACAGAAAACAGTATGACTTCAATCAATCCGGAGTCTATCTATATATGAACGTCTATCTGGATGGGATCATACATATGGAAAATATTTGATACTATTGATTTGTGGAGAGGCTTGTCGTTTTAAGAATTGAGTTCCAAACTCTAGGGTATATAGGCTTAATTTCTTGTATTTAATTTTTTATTACATTTTAAGACATTTTAAGACATTTTAAGTTAATAGCAAAAACTAAAAAAACCTTGCATTTAAAAAATGGGCTCAACACTAAATTAATATTCAAATTTAGATTTTAACTGTCCACGAATTAATTTTAAATTTAATAATTTATCCGTTTTATGATTATTATTCAATTTATTAATATTCGAATTTAAATTTTAACTGTCCACGAATTAATTTTGAATTTAATAATTTATCAGTTTTATGATTTAGTAATAGTTTTTAATAGTTAATGCAATAATTTAAAATCAAGTCTACAACAAAATTTATTTGATATTTTACTATCGAATCTACAAAACTGTATTGTAAGATGTCCAATAAAATCAATAAGCACATTAATATTTAAATTGATATTTACAATGTTGAGATCGATTTCGAAATAACCCACTGAAATGCCAGTATCAATATTAAATTTTGTATGCAAAAAACATTTCAGTACATTAACTGATTAGTCATTATTCATTCCTCATCATCAAGGTACGTAACGCAATTTTTAATAATTTGTTATGAAAAACGATTAAATTCAGAGCGCTTTATATAATAGAAATATAACTGATTTCCAGGAAATTGTGTCGCAGTCGAAGTAGATAGTATTGAATCCCGTTTAAACTCGGTTGCTCGTCGATCTATCGAACTGCGGAATAGTTTACTTTCAACAGGTGATTGATGGATAGGTATTGGGTGATAGTAGTCCGTAGGATGGTGCAGCTACTCGATGTGTTCTGGGAGCAGGATGAGGCGTCCCTGGTTGTCGCAGTCCAGTCGGAAGGGGCTGAGCATCTCACGGGTGTCCCTCAAGATACGAGGACTCTGCTTGGTGACGTGGTTGATGCCGTAGATAACTAACAAGCAGATGGTGGCCAGCGAGAAGGCGAAGACGCCGTGGCTGGAGAGGATGCGGAGCACCAGCCACTCTCCCTCACTCTCCTTGTCGCTCCGCATCCAGTGGCAGGCGCTGATCGCCGAGCAGGCGAAGATCGCTCCAAAAACGAGGCGCCACCGGAAGGAGTGCGGCTTGTCCTCCTTCACCAGATCGGCCAGTCGCAGCTCGAAGGCCTGCAGGTCCTCTGCCTCGGGGTCCTCCATGCTCAAGCAATCCTGCGAACCTTCCTAGATGGCTTTCTAGTGGGTAATCAACTTGAGGGACAGCTGCTCTAAACCGGCGCCATCTGCAGGATTTTGACTGGGAGACAAAATATCACACGAAGCCTGAAGTCTGTGTAAAGGAAGCTAGAAGGTCCAACTGTGATGTTTAAGGAAAGAGTGCTATGTCGGCAAGAATTACAATTCCAAGTACACTCCGAAATCATTCTATAACTAAACGTTATACACTTTTTTACTAATTGTAAAGTTGGCAGGTCTTTTGTAAAATTCAATTGTTAAAAAGGTAAAAAGAAGTCGGCCAAGTTCCCTTGGAATCCTTTTAAAACGAGGACTCGCTGGTTCCACCATTTTAGTGGCTTAAGATCATGTCATACGAGTATTTATGTACCAAAAGATTTAGTAAATCAGAATAAAAGTTTAACCGCCTTAGTAAATTTAGAATAGCCAAGCAAACTTCTCGTATTATTCAAAGTTGTACTCTACGCTTATCTTTTACTTTGTCTAGATACAAACCGCAAAATCGTATTTGCTTTAATAGACAGTAGTTTTCAATTTTTGCCAAATCATGCATCTACTGAGTATTTAAGCAATACTCGTATTTAAGGTTCTAGTTCCCATTGGTGAGCCAACAACTTCTCCCCAGGATAATGAACTGCTGCGAAATCGTTATGCCAATGCGAATCCTCAACTCGAACGGAGGAACAATACCAATTTGAGCATAATACGGCAACCGGCATTTTGCACCCATTAAATCTGTCAGGTGGAATCTGTGACGGGCATATTGGACCGGACATAAACACCCAGTTGCTCCTGGCCGGTGGGGCTGGGTGATTTGGGGTTACAGTCACGAGGACAACCATTCTGTCCGTTTGGTGTGGCAATTGCGACCGGGATTGTTATGAAGCCATCGTAAATACTCCTCGGACACACTGCCCGACGCAAAAGTGCTGCTCAATCGGGTAAGACTGGAGCTCCCCATTGCCCATTCCCCATACCCGCACTCATTCCTTCACCCATTCCCATGGAATGCATTACGAAACCCCCGCCCCCATTTACGCCATGTCAAGTAGTTGCGGCGACTACATGTCTGCTCTAGAGATGGCTTCACGGTCGAAAAATCATTCAAAATATGGGATAACTCCTTGCTTCTCCAACTTAACTGCGAGATATATTTATAAAGACTATGTAGAAAATGATCTTTAAACTATTTGTTTACCTTTCAAGTTTCAAATAAAGATATAACCATTTCTTAGGACAAGATACTCAGTTTTGACCTTTGAGTCTGTTCTAAAATCAATATGGGTCATACCCATTTAAAAAAAATTTAAGATATAGGAATAAATAAATGTTTAAGGTATAATATATTATTTTATAAAATCTGAAACTCTTAAAAAATTCATTAAAAACAAAGGTTAAAAAAACTACGATCTTGCAGCTGTATTATTAAAATAATTCTACAAATGGTGGTGGTGGTTATGGTGGTAAAATATGTAATATATTCTTCGAATTATGCTTTTTTTTAATAGTTGCCTTGTATTAACCGATGTTTTTTTTACGATATCCAAGTGACATCTCTGGTGCGATTTGACTGCCATTGAACCGTGGAGAAGCGTTATAGAAGCGCCGACAATTCAGAGACATTACATTCTTCTCTATGTTCGTGTTATGCAATAAATAGTCCTGTTTTATAATAATCTAATGGCAATTGTGGGCAAAAGTTCTGGTCCCTGGTCGCGGACCCCTACTCCTCGTCGATTCCTTTTTTTAAGGGCCACATACATACTATACTATACTAGTATATGTATGTACTTGTGTACTTGTCTCCTTCGATGTCCGCATGTAGTAGTCGCCGTTTCCCAGTCGCCTGCCGAACGTAAATGGCATGGAAAGTAAAAAAGATGTGGGAAGATGGGGAAATTAGGGGATAAGTCGGACGGGCACTGCCACGCCCCCTTTTTGCCCCCTGTTTGCGGGGACAGAAGAAGCAGGAGCATCATCGCACTGAGAGTCTAATAAAAATGGCAACGAAATTATGCAATTAGTGGCGTAATATGAAGCACTTTACGGGCGTTGTGGGCGTTCTCGTTAATAACGATCTGGGTCTCCCCCGATTTCCCCTTCTCGCTATCATCGCACTTTTCCCTATCCCGAAACAAAAAGTTTTTCCTATTCCCTCGAAATCTTCCCACTTTTGGTGATAATGATAATGAAGTCGAGGGAGAAAGATATTCGACCGCAGATTAATGGATAATCTGCTGATGCCAAAAGCTTTATTGGCCATAATGTCAACTTAGTTTGTAAATAACCTTAAAACATCGCCATTTTTTTGTTAATCAAATGAAATGGTTTCTGCTGTGATTAAAATTGTTTTAAAAACTAAAAGGAACACTTAAGTTGAGTGCAGATAGTCGATCTGATACACTCAAATAAATTTAAAATAAATAAAACTAAACAAAATTAGGCTCGTAATTTATAAATGTTATAACCAACCTTTTTCACTTTCCACTTTCGCTTGGAAAAAGTCGAATTTCAAAAACAACAGGAAAGGAAACTATCTTCGGCAAGCCGAAGTTTATATACCCAAAATTTATATATACAAAATGCATTAAGGCTTAACAACATCGAAGCAATGTCGATTTTTCTATTCATTTTCCATATTTTCGACTATTGTTCATATGGCAGCTATATGATATAGTTGTACGATTTTAATAAAATTTATTTCCTAATTTAAGAGTCGTTAGGAAACTCTATATTCCAAAAATCATGCTTGTCTGATAAAAAACAACGATGTTATAATTTTATTTCAGTTATTTCTATATAGGTACATTTTTCAATCTTTCCTATGGCAGCTATAATATAACGTTGTCGGATTTTTATGAAATTTTTTTCTACATCAAAGAGTTATTAAAAAGCCTCATATTTTGAAAACCATGCTGGAGGGATTAAAAACAACGACGTTATAATTCTTTTTCCATTATTTATATATGGGTGATTCCATATCAGATTTACAGTCGATATCGGGAAATTCGATGAGATATTTTTTTCATGCTCTTTATCGAAAATAAATCGACACGTATTTTTTATATGGCTCAGAAAATTTTTTTGACAAAGTTATGATTTTTTGAATTTTTGATGAACTGCCCTTTTTTGATGACAGTCGCGTTTTCCAGCCCCAATAACTCGAAAACCGTACGTCGCAGAAAAAAATGAATAGGAAGTAAAAATTTCATCCTTCCTTCTTCTTTGCAAAACTTTCATGAAAAAATTTTTTTAAACAATTTTCACCACAAAAAGTTCAAATGTTTATAACAAATTCATTTTTCTCCAACTTGGACATTTTTGATTTTTTTTTCTCTTTCACAGTAAATCCTTCAAATTCTTCTGATGAACATACTAAAATTTCAGAATGGTATCAAAATTAGTTTTTGAGTTATAGAATTAAATAGCATTAAAAATTCATTTTATTGACCCTTACTATGCGCGCGCGAAGCGAATTGACGCTCGTTAGAGTCGTTGGTCGGCGCACGCCCTGAGACCGAGCGCGCGGACCGTGCATGATAATCTTTAAAATTCTATAACTCAAAAACTAATTTTGATACCATTCTGAAATTTTAGTATGTTCATCAGAAGAATTTGAAGGATTTACTGTGAAAGAAAAAAAATCAAAAATGTCCAAGTTGGAGAAAAATGAATTTGTTATAAACATTTGAACTTTTTGTGGTGAAAAATTGTTTAAAAAAATTTTTTCATGAAAGTTTTGCAAAGAAGAAGGAAGGATGAAATTTTTACTTCCTATTCATTTTTTTTCTGCGACGTACGGTTTTCGAGTTATTGGGGCTGGAAAACGCGACTGTCATCAAAAAAAGGGCAGTTCATCAAAAATTCAAAAAATCATAACTTTGTCAAAAAAATTTTCTGAGCCATATAAAAAAATACGTGTCGATTTATTTTCGATAAAGAGCATGAAAAAAAATATCTCATCGAATTTCCCGATATCGACTGTAAATCTGATATGGAATCACCCATATACACTTTATGGGGTCTGAGGTGTCTCCTTCACTGCGTTTCAAACTTCTGACTGAAATTATAATACCCTTTTGTTCTGCAGGGGTAAAAGAAAATGCATTTCTCATAAAAACACGCTTTCAATGACTCTCTAAAATTTTCTTAGTTGTCAAGCTGTAAGATTTCATATTTTATTTCGAAATTTCTGTTTGCAACTTTCACATAGTTTTTGCAAGGCAAAAACAAAGCTACTGTACGTTTTTTTTTAACTTTGATTTTTTAGAAAAGAAAAAATGATTTTAAAGTGATTGTTAAAAGAAAAGCGATCTTTTGCCTTTTCTCGTTAAATTTAAGCTTTGTATTAAACGCGCGTATTATAGCGCGACTTAAAATCGGTTTAAAAAAATCGGTTGTTCTAATTTCGGTTGTCAGAGCTTAATAAATTTTGCAGTGGTTTTCCCATCTTATTTATGGCAGCTGTGGCCAATATTAAATACAAGCTGTTTGTAAAAGCGTTGCGAAATACCGTCAAAAATAAAATATCAACTATAAAAGCAAAATGAAAATGTTTGGTTTTGGATTATTTGATAAGAATTGCAAGTACCGTGTAGTCGCATTTTGAATAATTTGTGGCACACGAATTATATTTTTTTAGCCGGTGAACGTGTCCTTTCCACATCCTCTTTTTAGCCGAAAGCGGCCATCCAAGTCGGCCAACGTGCGACCTCCAAACGGAAAAATAGAAAAATAGGTAAGTGGCAAAAAGGGCAGCGTGCAGCGAGCCAAGAAAATTCAGCAACAGGAGCAGGATGTACTTGCTCCCTGCTCCTTGGCCAGGTGTATATGTATGTGTGTGTGTGTGTGTAAAAGTGCGGTGTGTGTGTGGGCGAACTGGTGTACTGGGTGTTGAGTGTGCCGTGTTTTTGAGGTAGCGCGTAACCTTGGCGTCGCCGGTTCTCCTTTATTTTTGCTAATACCGCTGCCGCTGTTGCTGCTTAACGGTTTGCATGTTGCCACCGGGCGCGTTTGTGGGTGGTGGCTGGTGGGTGGTGGTTGGTGGGTGGTGGTTTGGCGGTGGCGCAACCATAACCGCACCATTGTGGTGGGTGACCCAGCGCACCCACTCTCTCCTGTTCGTGTTCCCTGTGCGCCG